TAATCTAATGAGGTTAAATGTAATTTCATGTTGTTTTAAATTAAAGACACACAGAAATAATGAATGTAATTGAAATAAACATATATATAGATAAAAATATAACACTCTGGGTAAAATTTCAGAAATAAGAGCTGTGTCTTGATTCTGCCATCACAAGAAAATCTGCCCCTGATCAATGTTACCAGTTAACAGTACACATATTTGGCCGTAAAACATGTTTTAGGGGAACAGCAACTGTAAGTTTGTCAAACAGTTTTCCAAAAACTTGAATATTTTGATTTTTTTTATGAAAGATTATGGTTTTTTTCTGTTTTTTTATTTTTGTATTTGTAATATTTACCTTTATTTATTTGAGTTAAAAACATGAAGCAGTCTTTAATGAAGAGGATTTGATCCAATTGAATGATTTATTGTAGGTTATTAAAGTAGTTTTGGTAAGGTGTGCACCTCTCTCACCCTTGACAAGGATCATAAAATATGTCAAAATACAGGCAATAGGTGACTTTTGAATTTTTTAGGCAAACATTCTTAGGAGTTTACTGGAGTACTACACTGACCTTATCATTATCATCCACTCAACACATGACCCTATCCTTGTCTTTAGCCACTCAACACACTGACCCTATCCTTGTCATCAGCCACTCAACACACTGACCCTATCCTTGTCATCAGCCACTCAACACACTGATTCTATCCTTGTCAGCCACTCAACACATTGACCCTATCCTTGTCATCAGCCACTCAACACACTGACCCTATCCTTGTCAGCCAAACAACATACTGACCCTATCCTTGTCAGTCACTCAACATACTGACCTATCCTTGTCAGTCACTCAACACATTGACCCTATCCTTGTCATCAGCCACTCAACACACTGACCCTATCCTTGTCAGCCAAACAACATACTGACCCTATCCTTGTCAGTCACTCAACATACTGACCTATCCTTGTCAGTCACTCAACACATTGACCCTATCCTTGCCATCAGCCACTCAACACACTGATTCTATCCTTGTCAGCCACTCAACAAATTTACCCTATCCTTATCATCAGTCAAACAACAGACTGACCCTATCCTTGTCAGCCACTCAACACACTGACCCTATCCTTGTCAGCCACTCAACACACTGACCCTATCCTTGTCAGCCACTCAACACACTGACCCTATCCTTGTCAGTCACTCAACACACTGACCCTATCCTTGTCAGCCACTCAACACACTGACCCTATCCTTGTCAGCCAAACAACACACTGACCCTATCCTTGTCAGCCAAACAACACATGACCCTATCCTTGTCAGCCACTCAACACACTGACCCTATCCTTGTCAGCCACTCAACACACTGACCCTATCCTTGTCAGCCAAACAACATACTGACCCTATCCTTGTCAGCCAAACAACACATGACCCTATCCTTGTCAACACACACTGACCCTATCCTCATCAGCCAAACAACACACTGAACACTCACATACTGACCTATCCTTGTCAGCCACTCAACACTGATCCTATCCGTGTCAGCCACTCAACACATTGACCCTATCTTAGTCAGCCTCTCAACACACTGACCCTATCCTTGTCAGCCACTCAACACACTGACCCTATCCTTGTCAGCTACTCAACACACCCTACCTTGTCTCACTGACCCTATCCTTGTCAGCCACTCAACACACTGACCCTATCCTTGTCATCAGCCACTCAACACACTGATTCTATCCTTGTCAGCCACTCAACACATTGACCCTATCCTTGTCATCAGCCACTCAACACACTGACCCTATCCTTGTCAGCCACTCAACACACTGACCCTATCCTTGTCAGCCACTCAACAGATTGACCCTATCCTTGTCAGCCACTCAACACACTGACCCTATCTTAGTCAGCCACTCAACACACTGACCCTATCCTTGTCATCAGCCACTCAACACACTGACCCTATCTTAGTCAGCCACTCAACACACTGACCCTATCCTTGTCATCAGCCACTCAACACACTGACCCTATCCTTGTCATCAGCCACTCAACACACTGATTCTATCCTTGTCAGCCACTCAATACATTGACCCTATCCTTGTCATCAGCCACTCAACACACTGATTCTATCCTTGTCAGCCACTCAACACACTGACCTTATCCTTGTCAGCCACTCAACACACTGACACACTCAACATACTGACCCTATCCTTGCCACTCAACACACTGACCCTTAGTCAGCCACTCAACACACTGACCCTATCCTTGTCATCAGCCACTCAACACACTGACCCTATCCTTGTCATCAGCCACTCAACACACTGATTCTATCCTTGTCATCCACTCAACACATGACCCTATCCTTGTCTTTAGCCACTCAACACACTGACCCTATCCTTGTCATCAGCCACTCAACACACTGACCCTATCCTTGTCAGCCACTCAACACACTGACCCTATCCTTGTCATCAGCCACTCAACACACTGACCCTATCCTTGTCAGTCACTCAACACACTGACCCTATCCTTGTCAGCCACTCAACACATTGACCCTATCCTTGTCAGCCACTCAACACACTGACCCTATCCTTGTCAGCCAATCAACACACTGACCCTATCTATCCTTGTCAGCCACTCAACAAACTGACCCTATCCTTATCATCAGTCAAACAACACACTGACCCTATCCTTGTCAGCCACTCAACACACTTGATCCTATCCCTTGTCAGCCACTCAACACACTGACCCTATGACCCTATCCTTGTCAGCCACTCAACACACTGACCCTATCCTTGTCAGCCACTCAACACACTGACCCTATCCTTGTCAGCCACTCAACACACTGACCCTATCTTAGTCAGCCACTCAACACATGACCCTATCCTTGTCAGTCACTCAACACACTGACCCTATCTTAGTCAGCCACTCAACACACTGACCCTATCCTTGTCAGTCACTCAACACACTGACCCTATCCTTGTCAGCCACTCAACACACTGACCCTATCCTTGTCAGCCACTCAACACACTGACCCTATCCTTGTCAGCCACTCAACACACTGACCCTATCCTCATCAGCCACTCAACACATGACCCTATCCTTGTCTTTAGCCACTCAACACACTGACCCTATCCTTGTCATCAGCCACTCAACACACTGACCCTATCCTTGTCAGTCACTCAACATACTGACCCTATCCTTGTCAGCCACTCAACACACTGACCCTATCCTTGTCAGTCACTCAACACACTGATTCTATCCTTGTCAGCCAAACAACACACTGACCCTATCCTTGTCAGCCACTCAACACACTGACCCTATCCTTGTCAGCCACACAACACACTGACCCTATCCTTGTCAGCCACTCAACACACTGACCCTATCCTTGTCAGTCACTCGACACACTGACCCTATCCTTGTCAGCCAAACAACACACTGACCCTATCTTAGTCAGCCACTCAACACACTGACCCTATCTTAGTCAGCCACTCAACACATGACCCTATCCTTGTCTTTAGCCACTCAACACACTGACCCTATCCTTGTCAGCCACTCAACACACTGATTCTATCCTTGTCAGCCACTCAACACATTGACCCTATCCTTGTCTTTAGCCACTCAACACACTGACCCTATCCTTGTCATCAGCCACTCAACACACTGATCCTATCCTTGTCAGCCACTCAACACACTGATTCTATCCTTGTCAGTCACTCAACACACTGACCCTATCCTTGTCAGCCACACAACACACTGACCCTATCTTAGTCAGCCACTCAACACACTGACCCTATCTTAGTCAGCCACTCAACACACTGACCCTATCCTTGTCAGCCACTCAACACACTGATTCTATCCTTGTCAGTCACTCAACACACTGACCCTATCCTTGTCAGCCACTCAACACACTGACCCTATCCTTGTCAGCCACTCAACACACTGATCCTATCCTTGTCGGCCACTCAACACAGTGACCCTATCCTTGTCAGCCACTCAACACACTGACCCTATCCTTGTCAGCCACTCAACACACTGACCCTATCCTTGTCAGCCACACAACACACTGACCCTATCTTAGTCAGCCACTCAACACACTGACCCTATCTTAGTCAGCCACTCAACACACTGACCCTATCTTAGTCAGCCACTCAACACACTGACCCTATCCTTGTCAGCCACTCAACACACTGATTCTATCCTTGTCAGTCACTCAACACACTGACCCTATCCTTGTCAGCCACTCAACACACTGACCCTACCTTATCAGCCACTCAACACAGTGACCCTATCCTTGTCAGCCACTCAACACAGTGACCCTATCCTTATCAGCCACTCAACACACTGACCCTATCCTTGTCAGCCTCTCAACACACTGACCCTACCTTAGTCAGCCACTCAACACACTGACCCTATCCTTGTCAGCCACTCAACACACTGACCCTATCCTTGTCAGCCTCTCAACACACTGACCCTATCTTAGTCAGCCACTCAACACACTGACCCTATCCTTGTCAGCCACTCAACACACTGATCCTATCCTTGTCAGCTACTCAACATGTTGACTTTTTCCTCGTCAGTCACTCAACAGACTGACCTTCTCTTCCGCAATCCAACAAAACAACCTTTATGTGTTCAGTCTTTCAACACACAGATATTCTTGTCTTCAGTCATCAAACACCGTGACATTCTTCTTTACTGTTACAACACACTGGCCATCTTATCTGCATTTTCAATCAGTTTTTTTTCCCAAGTCCCTTTGCATTTTTATTTATTGTTTTTACAAGAGGTTTCAAGAACAAAACCATTTCTTAGCAATCAAAATACAGATCTGCAATCAATAATTTGTGTCAAGCAGAGTATATTGTATGCTTAAAGGGAGACAACTTTACAAATTGAACTTAAAAAATCATCTTACATACAATACAAAGGTATAGACACTGTATGTAACTTGAGTTTGGAGGAAAACTAGGTCAATGTCTTGAAAAAGAAAAAGAAAAAAACCCCAGAAAAACAAACACAAAATCATTACATTTACATCTTTATTTTCCTTCTCGGTTGCACAGCTTTTCTCCAGAAGCCCATGACTTACCAGATAACCAATAATGTGAACATCAAGTCAGTTGTAAGGACTACAAATATTGTCCAATGCATTAAATTGTTAAGCTGAAGAAGCATTCCAAAAAGTGCCTTTAAATAAAAGCCTTTTCTGCTAAAATTACACTGTTCATTATTGTACAAATATAATGTCTTTGTACATGTGAACACATCAACACATTGAGACTGGCCTCAGGTAATTGCACTGACTTGTGCTATCAATCTACTGAAGGAAGGCTTCTTCTTGCTGCTCAATGAGATTGCCTATTTCATTAAAATAAGCTGGAAATGTCACACTCGGTTAAATCATGTACACAATACACAGCCAAGCATGGTTTCACACCAATGGGAACAACTGACAGCCATAATCTGAATCATAGCAAAAACCTTATTTGGACAAATACATAATCGGTACAGATTATTTACAATTTTTTCCGAAAAAAACTGATAAAACACTCAAAAATGTTGATCTTAATTTTCTTCAAGTAATTCAAGGAGATAGGTTTTGAGTACATAATGAAAATATCAAACAAATTGATGACTTTAAGGAATATTTAAATCAAAGTTAATATGTAACCTGAATTTTTCAGACACCACACAAACACAATATACACATATTTTCATAAGATCTAAAAGATTTTAACACTGGAGCAAAATTAAATGTCATGACAAATACTCACTTTTTACCCCAACCCTGGTCCAGGCAAGGGATTCATCATTTTTCTTGATAATTTAGTGTTAATCTATATTTATTTTTGAAAGCACCAATCAAACGATAAACCAAAACTGCCATTTAAAATACAACAAACCATAAAACAAACCTGAACTTTTTCAACGTTTATTCAATTTTCCCTTTGGCTGAGAAGAGATAGGGTAAAATGTAGTATGAAGAGGTGGTTGATTGGGTGTAGTTGAGTCAACAGTGAAAGAAAGGATTTGAAATTTAAAATATTCACAATAGTATCCTTGGTAACTACAAATAACCATGTTTTGGATCAGAGAGGCAGACACCTACAGGACAGACATCAGAACCCTACCAATTAGACTAATAAAAGAAAACATCTTGAAACTTTTTATCATTTAATAGATTTCAAATCTGCAAAAAAAATAAAAATTACAAGAAGTTCTTTTCAGTTCCTTTCAAAACAAACCCTTCTCCATATTGTTTCCTTATATAAAATGAAATTTTTGCCTATGACAATTAAGCAATGCAATGAATTACTGACAAAAACCAATACCAGACTACTCATTTGCTGAACAGATGAAAAAAAAATCAAATCTCCAGACAATTAGAGCTGTTAAAGGAACAGTGATGCCACACAGTTATACCCTTATAATAAAGGAATATTCAATGAAAGTTTGAATAATGTGTTTAATAAAGTTTGAATAATATGTTTAATAATGTTTCAAACTGTGACAACTTTGAACACAAGTATTCCAACTGATTAAAAGTGTCTGATCTATAACGTAACCATCAGAAACATTCCTAGAATAACTTCAGATTGCACAAACACAGGTAACTTTCTGTCCAGCTGATCCACAGCATACCAGAGCAACCTTGCAGTCATTCTCGTAAGGCTATAGTGACATTCTGGACAGAAAGTTGCCTGTGACTACAAGAAAGGGGTTGATAAATGGCAGTTTATGCTGAAAAATGATAACACTGTACCACACAAACATGCACACATTTTGTCATATAAATTACAAGCAACAAGCAGCAATTAAACATATTAATACTTGCTTCTCGTCTGGAGAATTTTACAATTCTTCTCCTAAAAGGGGCATAATTCACCAGCAGAATATTGCCGACATCTGACAGACTAATTCTACATGATGAGTGTTCCCAATATCCTGGAGAAAGTTAACTAAAACGGTGAGATACATGCCCTTTAAGATCTGCTTCAAAAAACTGTAAAAATACCGAAATAAACGGTCATCTGTGGCAACTAAGTCACCTTGTATCTTATGACGATATGATTCTGACACTGAAAAATTATTATAAAACTAATTTAGAAAATGTCCAAACCAATTCAGTTGTAAGTAAATATAAAAGGAAAAACTATTGCATTCTGTATGCAAAAAATCATCTGTAAGAATCAAAATATAGAATTTGATACAAGTATCAGTGACTTTGACACTAACGATTCATACATCATATGATGAGAAAACAATATCCAGGACATTATCAGGAATAACAGATGAACGTTCATAAAATGATAGAACAGTTAATGTTCATGAAAACAGCTCTGTAAAATGTTTATAACAACATAACAGACTAACATCTCCATATGTGTATCGTGCTGCTTCAAAGTTACTCTTTAATTCACAAAAAAAAAATCAATATTTGTAAATCTGTTAAAAAAGAGCATGACATTTAACATTTTCTATTTACAAAATACAACCAGTTATTTCTGAATTAATTTCAAAAAATAAAATCGTGATTTTTTTTGTATGTATTGATCAAATTTAGAATCAGATTTTGGCAGCAGAATTGTCATACTAAATCAAGGGAACGATTGTATTTGATTTGTTAACAACACATCAGCCAGTTTTAAATCCCATTGACAAAAACAACTGTGAATGGCATAGATATGGTATGTACAGAGGTTTCTACTGCAATCAATAATGTCATGAATGGGTGAAAATGTCAAAACAAGAGTCACATGACCCACAGACAACCAATTAAAAATTGATTGGCCTTGTCTATGGTTAGCACTTACATGAGACAAGGAAACTTCCCCTTTTATGACAGCAACTGAAACAGAATGGAAAGTCACGATAAAAACAGGATCATAAAACACCAATAATAATTGCAACATAGGCTAATGCCTTCTGACAATTTTTGGAATATAATTTCTAAAATGTTTTTTCTATAGAGGTAAACAGAAAGAATCTTGACTCTGATAGTTCTTCCTTGAAAATTGTCAAAAAACCTTTAGCATAGGCACAACAATACAGGGTCTTCAGATTAGTGGAATTACAATATGTTTCTTTTTTTTCATGCTTAAACAACTTACTAATGAAGAAATACAAATCTGGAAGAGAGACAGAATCTGCTGAACAAGATATTTACAGTTCAGGTGACTTGGTGTCACAGATTGACAATCTCTGTGTACCTCAGTTCTGTACCTTGCTCTTAAACCTCTGTATCTAACTCAATGACTACTGCCATTCTGTGCCTTACAATCACACCTCTGTAAACAGGTCACAACCTCTCACACTCCTTTAAATATTTCACACCTACTGATATAAATATGAACAAGATGGCATACATCAATGTGACGTAGTCAATAAGCTAATCTGAATAGCTTCCTGGACATACAGTGAGAAGTAAGTGTGTTACGACTATGCCACCAGACCATCTGCTGTACCTACACATTGGTATACTGCCATTGATTTAATCAGAGATTTCCTTACACTTAAATGCACCTGTTGTAATGCCAAACATGTATACCCTCATTTGCCACCACGTTTTTAGAACAGTTGTACGAACATTCTTCTGTGTTGTCTCAATAACTGCCACATTGTCACCAAATTCACAGGTGATATGGTCATCCATTTCAAGGCTGATCATGACCATGGGTCAGTTATACAGATGTATACACTGCACATACAACTACCTTTAAATGTGTTTGATAAACTTTTACAAGGGTACCATCCACTATAATTTTTTTTCTGAACACTGCTCACACTATTCTACTTCACACTGTTCAAAGTTCCGCTGATTTATTATCTAGCTGATAATTTTTTTTACATATTGCGATTTGTGATGCCTCTATGCATGTGCCTACAAAAACAAAAAGTGACGGAATTCTAAAAAGGTACAACAGAACCAAAGTCCGAATTTTAATCTCAGAATACTTTTTTAAAAGGACTTCATATAATATTAATTATTATTGTATCAAAGTTTCCATTTGTACAATAAGCAAGTGCCAATTTAAATTGCAATTGCCTGGCAGAAAGAAACATTGATACATCAAAAGGACAGCCAGATGAGATAAACTTAGAAGGCAGAATGTAATTTACTGGACTTTGGTTTATGTTGAAGAACTATGTGTTGTCAATTAGTTAATCAATGTAAGAAAATGCATCTAATTAATGCAACATATCAACTATAAAGTAATTGTTGGCATTACCATAAGCAGGTACCATGTGCAGTAACATTGATCATAAGAATTTTACAGAACTGTACTGCCAAAATCCTATTTCTGTATGGGAATATAATAATTCATGCTAGATTTCCATACTTTTTTCAAAAATTGGAAAAGCAAAAAATTAAAAAGAAAGAGAGCAGATGAGCTGAGGCTTGCTTAGACTGAGTCGCACTACTGAGTCAGGATGCACTGTAAAATAACATATTTTCATGGGGCTGAAAATTTAATTTTTGTTGTTTTTTTTTCAAAAAATACTATTACAGGGAAAGTTCATTTTGTGGACTAAATATAGCTCAGTCATCCCACTTAATTTAACATTTTTATGGGTGGAGGTACAACATCCTTTGATGTCTAAATTGTCCCAATCTGGACAAACCTACCATGGATATGAATGCACACAAGAGGTCTCAATGGGGTAGTGAATTACTTAATTTAACAACTCCTGGACATATGACCTAGTGGATTGAGAATATCCACAAAATTGATGAAAAGATATTCCCGAGGAAAATGAATGGTTTCACACTAAGTAGTCATCATTATGATGTGATTACTCTCAATCTGTGCAGAGATTGGAGAATTATCTTGTATGCAAGCTTTTTTGTTCCAAAGTGGTAAAGGGTGATATTTGCTCTGAAACAATGACCACCGAAATTGAATCAGGAGTAGACGTTGGTGTTGTGATACTACTGTATAAATGTGTGAGTTCATGAATGCTGACATACTGACAATGTGATTAATATATATAACACACACACATCCCACACCTCATACTTGCAAACTTTAAAATGAATTCAAGTAATAAATATGGAACTCACCTTTACATATATTTATTGGCTCTATGTACATGTGTCAGCCTTCCTTTCTACCTGTTGCTGTTTTCACTTGTGGTTCGTGATCGATTTTCAGAAGAAACACTATTTTCATCTCTAGCTTTGCCTGTACCAAAAATGCTTGAATTGCGAGTGGCATCTGCTTTGCTTGCTACAGGTTCTTTGACTGTTCTTGGAGCCAACTTGAGTCTTGGCCGGGCTGCTGCTGATTCTTTTTAAACAAATGATACATAATCACTGAGCAAGTAAACTGAAGATGAACAGTCGAAGATCAAAAATTTTCTATAGCTACATCAAAACATATGTCAAACTAATATGCCATTCCTTCCAAACACAATTTTAACATGGGCCCTACCTGGGGAAGGTTCCCGTAACTCCATTTGCCCTCCACTGTTTTGTCTCCTCCTACCAGGGCCATCGTCATAGCGATTATATCCCCCTCCTCTTGGACGGTCATTGTAACTTCCACGGTCGCCATGGTCACCTTGGTAACCACCACCACCACCACGGTAACCACCTCTGCCTCCTGGTCTATCGCCATGACCTCCTCGGTAGCCACCTGTAGAAATCAATGCTTGACATTGATCACACATCTCAAAATTTGATAGAAACCATATCTTGTTGAATGGAACCTAATAATAAAGCAAATCTGAATAGCATAACTATTCATCCATACTATGGATGTTCTGATCAAATGTGGTTAAAGAATAGCTTTTTTCACAGCATTGTTGCAATGAAAATGAAACTACATTTGCTTTATAAATAAATTACTCAATCATTCAATTAGCTGTCCGGAAAATATCATTACAGTAAAAATTCGAAATCAGATTTACAGAAGATGAACAAGTAGCCATTTTTTTTTTTCATTAGATTTACCATCATGTCCACCTCCACGACCTCCCCCTCTACCACCCCGGTAGCCTCCACGTCGATCCCCCTGTCGGGACTCCGCCACATCTACACGTAAATTTTTGTCCTCAAATAGCTACAATGATCAGAAAGAATATCTTAACACAAACTCTTTAAGGCAATATATGTAATTTCCATGGTTTTGTTTTTCCACTTTAAAGGGATATTCTGCACAAGTTAGGATTTTCATGGGATACTTTAAAAAAACTATTCAAAATCATCTACTTATGTTCTTGTGGAAATTGTACACCTCTATTTACCATTCAAACAAACATGATATTTAATTTGCAGTAATTCTTTATAGATCTAGCTAGATCAATTTACAAATGATTGCATGGCCCTGATTATGTCTCAATAGGTTTGCGTTGTTGTAAGCCTAACTGAATGAAATATTTGTGTACATTATAAAATCAACAGATAAGATGGCTAATAAAGTAATATGGAGAGATATAATGATGCTAACAATAGTTTTAAAAGTTATTAAAATAAGTTCTTAAAAGGTCAGAATTTTTGCACCTTGAGCAGAATATCCCTTTCAAAAACAGAGGTGATCGTGCACAATGCATATTATAGAAATATTGAGTATATCTAAAACTAAAAAAAATACAGATGTGTATTGAATCAAAAAGTTTTCGACAATAAAAACAAAGTGAACAGTGGAAAGGGTTCATTGAATACTTTGTATACAAACATCTTATTCTTAAAGTGGTCAGAATGACCTTTGTCCCTTTGATCTTGACCAATGAACATGACCACCAAAATTTAATTAAGTGTAAATATAAGGGTATGATGTGGGGAGAATATGAACAATCAAGGTTTTCATGAAATATCTTGTATATGACCTTTATGCTTCAGTTGGATGCATGGATGGACAGGTGCTCCATGCACTGCAAATCTTCAGAGATTGTTATGATATATACCTACTCCTCACTTAAGACGGGTCACAATTCTTTTAAAAGGTAGAACTTTTAATCATGTGCCCCAATTTCCTCAGGAAACAATCCCTCACATTTAACGGGTAAAAATGTTTGCAATTTTTTTATGGAAAGAACCTCCTTCATCTCTAATATGTATTTTTCTCTTTAAAACCTGACAGTATGATGAACAAAAAATCCATTTTGATTTTATCTATTGTGTTAATCATGAAATTTGCGAATAAAATGTGTGTTGATTATTTATAAGTTAAACTACAAAAATTCAAAATGATCATAAAATTTGAGGGATATCATTTGATTATGAATACTTACAGCAGAATCATATGTTAATGCTTCCTTCAGTGAATCAACATCATCAAACTCCACATAGGCAAATCCTAAAACACAATCATTGCAGTTAGTATTAAAACCTAAAAACAATAATCAGTACATTACTAAATCACACAAATTTCTTCGTGATGAAGAATACAATTCCATTTCATACACCTCTGTCACATCATTGACAACGAAATAATTTTAAAGTTTTACTTCTGAGAGTCATTCATACCATATCTAACCTAATAATTGTGCTGATAGGTAACTTACAGGAGAAAGAAGATTATCAAAAGTAACAGCACATAATTTTCCCCTCTGATGGCTTTCTGAACTTCAGAAAGAGACCTTATATTATTACATTAAAGACATTTTTAACTTATAAACTAGGATTGGTAGGAACAGCTAAAAAGATCCAACAATAGATGGACACTGTAGTGATGGGATAAACAACACATATTGTATATTACAATTGTTACTCTTTCAACAGATAAGTTAAATTGAAGTTTTGTTTTCCAAAATCAAACTGTTCTGCTCTAACTGACATGATGGCATATCCTTTCATTAGAACAATACTAGACCTACAACAAAAGCAAAGCTGTTCAATTTTACCCTTATTACTTTGTTTTAAATATATCACCTCTTAAAAAAATGCAAAACTAGTAACAAAACTCCTATCACCTGAAAGGTGATGACAAAATTCTATCACCTGAAAGGTGATGACAAAACTCCTATCATCTGAAAGGTGATGACAAAATTCTATCACCTGAAAGGTGATGACAAAACTCCTATCATCTGAAAGGTGATGACAAAATTCTATCACCTGAAAGGTGATAACAAAATTCCTATCACCTTTCTCACCTGAAAGGTGATGAACAAAATTCAAAACTAAAGGTGATGACACCTGAAAGGTGATGACAAAATTCTATCACCTGAAAGGTGATAACAAAATTCCTATCACCTGAAAGGTGATGACAAAATTCCTATCACCTGAAAGGTGATAACAAAACTCCTATCACCTGAAAGGTGATAACAAAACTCCTATCACCTTTCTCACCTGAAAGGTGATGACAAAACTCCTATCACCTGAAAGGTGATAACAAAATTCCTATCACCTGAAAGATGATAACAAAATTCTATCACCTGAAAGGTGATAACAAAACTCCTATCACCTTTCTCACCTGAAAGATGATAACAAAATTCTATCACCTCAAAGGTGATAACAAAACTCCTATCACCTTTCTCACCTGAAAGATGATAACAAAATTCTATCACCTGAAAGGTGATAACAAAACTCCTATCACCTTTCTCACCTGAAAGATGATAACAAAATTCTATCACCTGAAAGGTGATAACAAAACTCCTATCACCTTTCTCACCTGAAAGGTGATAACAAAACTCCTATCACCTTTCTCACCTGAAAGATGATAACAAAATTCTATCACCTGAAAGGTGATAACAAAACTCCTATCACCTTTCTCACCTGAAAGGTGATAACAAAACTCCTATCACCTGAAAGGTGATGACAAAACTATTACCTGAAAGGTGACATATGTACAGAACATTTACATCTGACTCGACTGATCAAAATGATGGAAACGACAAAGAAGATAGGATGATCCTATTGTCTCATTGTCTTAATTGATAATGGAGATATCGTCTATAGATAAAAAATATTGCAGCACATGACTTCCTGACAATTGAAAAAAACAAAGCCAGAGTATGAAATGTCAACATGGTTTAAGTAGGTGCACACATAAGGTGAAATATAGTTGAGAATAATAGCAACCACAACAGTACCTTTAAATTTGTCTGTTTCTTTATCACGGACAAGACGTACACTTTTGACCTAAAAAAGACAAAGGCAACATTACCTATCCCATCATGACATGAAATACTGCTGCAAGAAAAATGATTCACTACACAAAATTAGCTGAAGTTAAACGAATATGATATCATTATCAGAATAAACACATAGGTAAGATATGTTGTTCACAAACTGCTTACATAACAATCTGTATCTGAAAATGTCCAAATTTGCTCCAGTAAAAAATTAATCAATGTTTTAGTATGTTGCGTATAAATACATTTAGTTTATTGAGTTACATGTATTAGATGTTTTTTCTCTCTAAACATTGATATAATGAACTGATGTTCTGCATCATAAAATAGCACAATTGATCAACATCAATCAGGCAACTGGTTCCATATTTATTTTTCGATACTACCTTTAAGTCCTGAAAGATTTCTTCAAGATCTCCTTGTACAATGCCAGAAGGGAGGTTCCCTACATAACATGTATATGGGGGTTCTGTAGGTAAAGGCTTTCGTCCACGACCTTGACCATAACTATTTCCTCCTGATCGCCCTCCACCATAACCTCTGAAACACACAACAAATTTGTGTCAAACAGTGTTGTTTCAATTGGGGAGTTATGTAAGTGAGGTCATTTAAACAACAAAATCAAGTCTGAATCTGAAATTCAATGATATCTTAATAGTCTAGGTACCAAACAGATCCTACTTTAGAAATAAGTGAAAGATCAATCCAGTACTTCTTACAAAAATTGCAAGAACAAACTTAAATAGTCAAAATTCAAGAGAGCTGCCTGTCAGTTATTCTGATTTCCTAGTCAATACTATTATCAGTAATGCACATCAATCACTTACTGGAACATACACACAAAATTTGAGAAGGATCTCTGCAGTACTTCTCCAGAATTGATAACACTGTATGGCTATCAAAATCAAAGATGGCTACCTGTTAGCCAGTTTGTTTTAGTCAATAAATTATGAACCTGCATATCAAATTTGTGAATGAGACATACAGTGCTTTTCCAGAAAAAGTGATAAAAATGTTTTAAGTTTGGACAGACAAGGGACTAACATTCGCCACAATACAATTTTTATAACACATGATGGTAGGCTAACAATATTAACTTTTCAAAAACATTATCAAGACAGTTGGTAAATAAATCTGAAGTTGAACCTTTTTCAAGGGAAATAACTCCAGAACTCACTCCAAGGGAAGAAACTCAAGAACATAATACTCTGAACAGTAGAATGACATACAATACTTACAAATCCTGATATGTGAACGATTGCGCCCTGTTTTAGGGACCCATACTCATTCTAATAAGTGCTCCCTCCCTAATAAATACTCTTTTCACTTTTCGATTGCCAGGTCAGTTTCTGCAGCAGGTTCACCCCTCCCACATATTTTGGTATAGAACAGTAATTTGAGTTAAATTGGATGGTTTCAGATAATTGCACTGTATCCATTTGATTGATTTATTAAAGGTAAATGGTTCCACACCAGACATTAGTCTGTCAAAAGTGTTGGTCTGTGTTCACATACATGTACATTGCAGGAGTTGGGAAACTTGGACTCTCAATTAATGAGGATTATTGAATAATTCAACTGACATGAATTCACAATAGAAACAAATGAGGACTGGAACCAATAAACATAGATTTCAATTTACACAAAATGACTTCTGTTTTCCTATAGTAGTACTAAGAACAAGTTGAAAGACTGTTAGAATGTATCATTTTTTTCTTACACAATGTAAAAGAACCAGAAAAATGCAACAGAACCAGTAATTTTGAAATGAAAATATCTTTTCGGCTTCATGGTCATGACAAGTAAGAAATGACTCGCAATATTACAGGTAAATGTACACAAGTCCATAGAGGCACCTAACAATAAGAATATGAGTAAATGTTGCAATCAGAGCCCATATATACTACACATGTTAATCATGAATTGTAATTTGCCCTGGTACTATAATGCCTCTATCTCAAATGTGTGTGAAATTTGACATTTTTGTCATCCTGGACGAAAGACACAGGAATGGGTCAATGAATGTTTTACTGAGAACTTCTCTGATCACATTAGGATTTTCAAAACTTTACAACTCCGCTTAATTTTCGAAATCAGGTTAACATTGGAAATTGTTTAACTTTTGCACCGAGTTACATGAACGTTAGTAAGTGCCGGTTGCATGGTCTAACATATTACAAGAGGCGTAAAAAGTTTTAACAAACAACTTGAAATTTTCCGTCCAGCACTTGCCAACAATTACTTTAAATGGGAAAAAACAACTATATTGAATCAAATCTATTACAGTTGAATCTGTGCATGCGATATTAGACATTTCGAATCGTTTGCATTATTGTTAATAAGAAGTAACATGAAGTTGTTCTGGTGACGTTAACACATAAAAAACAGTACGTGCAGTGTATGCCATGTGATAAACATCTGCTATCAAACACGGTGTCCGTATCATAGTTTGATTGCATCTACGGTCCGCTACAACCGATCGATTGTGTCTTTTCTATATGTTGTGATGAAGTTATCGTAACATAAAATGACAACCTTTGATTATAGTCGTTATCATATCCTCGATTTCCACCGTAGTTTGAATAATTTTCGCTACCATAATCAGCCATGTTGCATGTCGGAAAATTAAGACGGAAGTGTAGGTTGTGACATGCGCAGATTGATTGAAGGTTATCACCACAGGGTACGTTAACGTCACAAGTCTTTCGAGATTGAAAGGTCATTGTATGCGAGCACATCCCGTACATACATGTAATATACATGACCCTTACTGTATGCTATTAAGGTCTTCTCTACGCTTAGTGCAAACGACACAAAAAGTCAAATACACATTTGCCGTGAAAGTCTGTCGAGATAAGCATCCAGCGTTTAATTAGTCTCGGTGATTATCAGAGTACACAGTACATCAATGCTTTGAATATAAACATTTTTTAAGAGATGCGTGCGTGGTTCGAACAAACATTTTCTTTTTAAGCTCTGCGAAAAACTACCTCTCCCTTCGACACTTATCCACCATGTGATTTGAAATCCGCCGCCTAGTAACAAAAATAAATAAATGGAAATGGTACCCGGAAATCGGTATTCAATGGCGGGGGAAAACTTGTTTGTCCATCGCTGTCACGTCTAGGCGCAGCACTGGAATATGGCACTTAAAGTACACTTATAGTAAAAGTTAATTAAATTCCATAAGAGAGACAAGCGCATCGCCAAACTTTTTAAACGTGATTTCGACAAACACAATGTAACAAGTTTCACTGACTATGAACGAATAAAAAGTTTTTTTTTTTTTAAACCGTATTACTAGTAAACAATGAAAAGGGGAAAATGATATTTTCTGCAACTTATCTGCTAGGGTGAGACTAGCGAATGGTAACCTTCTACCGCATACTTGGTAAGTCACTCTTACTAGCCCGATTGACGCGCGCACTGACACCCAGCGCCGACAGAAGACAATTCCTGCTATTCTCGGCGAAACGCGGTAACGTTTAAATTAAACATGTTTCACACCGCTTCCATACCATAATTCCAACTCCCCTCCCCCTCTTCGTTCCTTCCTTTTCTCTTATTGGAGGATGAAAATCGGACATATTGCATATTGCATGCCAGATTCATAAGTAACTATAGTATATAGCATGAAGACTTATCTCAAACAGATGCGTATAAAACTAATATGTAAGTCTATGTCCCCATCAAATTTGATATATTACTACCACTATCAGCCTCTACTGACATCTGACTGGGAATTCACACCGCTTCAGTTTTTTGTTTGTTTGTCTGTAATATTTATGTAGACCAGATAATTAAATTGTACCGTGAACAGAATGATATCATACCGCTATATACCTGCAACTACCACTACAAAGCAGTAACGATACTACGGATTATAATTAACGATATCAATTACATACAGCAATACATTTTAGGCCCTAGGAAATTTCGAGATTCCTTCTCTCTCTGGTTTCACCGTAACTTTTGGTACATGAGTTTCACAAAGACATTTTGTGGACAGAAACCCCAATTCCAGTAGCAACATCATAGATATTAGATAGTGGCAAGTGTATATAACTCCTCAATCCAATTCAATATTGAATATTTCTTGGTCTGTTTTTAAGTGATCGTAATTGTAGTGACATGTAAATGTCTCCACAGTCGCAAGTGTGTCTCGCCCTACAACGTGGGTAATACATGGAATCTCTCTCTCTTCTCTCTCTCTCTCTCTCTCTCTCTCTCTCTCTCTCTCTCTCTCTCTCTCTCTCTCTCTCTCTCTCACACACATATGTTTGAATGCTGAACATTGGAATTTGATCACAATTAATCAGCCAAACCTATCTAAAGTGTTTTAAGATAAATAGTGAAACTTGTAGATAAAGACTGTAATATTTACATATTATACGCCCCTATCAGACAACTTTACATATCAAAACGACACGATTCACAATTTCGTGACAAAGATCAAATCACTTGATTTTGACCAAATTGAATGAAGCTTCTAATTTGTTTATACGGGAACGTATGATACAGAGGAACAAGATCTCTTGTGTTAGCTAATTTATTGTTATTTGTTCGTTTACTGAACCGTGAAGTTATCGAAACTTCCATCACAGTTGATGTCTAATCTTATTTACCTAGCTATGCCCTATTCACTTTAATTAGTATAATTATTGTAGTTAATGCGGACTTCGCTCGCTCGAATTTCTTCGTTTTTTAATGCTAAAAAGAGATTAATATATACTGAATATCTATCTGTATGATATGATATCTGATTTAAGGTTAATGAGATATATACTTTGTTAAATAAGAAAATAATAATAATTAAATTAGGTATGTTTTTTAATTTCATTAAGTAAACGATCGACTTGACTTTCCACGTGAAATAAAATACTCAACATGTAGTTCTACCGGAATGAGCATTCTATGCTGTGATTTACGTTCGGAATTCCAGAGTGCTCTAATAACGCTAGAGACGTACGAACGTTTGCATCATGATCGCTACAGCGTTTGTCAAACAAGCAGAAAGAGCTAAAACAGTGATTTAACCGTGTGAAAATATACACGTGCTTAAATACACCACACAGTCAGAAATGGACGTACATGATGCTGATTTAATGAAATATTTCTGGCGATTGGCAGAGCCGGATGAAAATTGTACTGTCAAAACTACAAGGCTGCTTTTAAAAAAATTAGAAACATTGCAAAATGATAACGTAAGTGTTTGTGGAGTGCTCGTTCAGTAGTTCGACAGGCCGGGGACTGGACTTATCCAGTCCTTCATTTACGAGAATGTACTCCAACTCATCAAAGTCTTTTGAAAAAGGGCCATGTTACACGTTGCCTGTCTGAACTCCGACACATTTTAGTTAACTGAAGTCTGTTTCTATTTTTTTTCTTTGGATAATGTGTTGTCGACTGGTATGTTCGCAATTTGATTAATTCATGGACAGTCGCGGCAAAATTATGCACATATGATCGAGTGAATAAGTTTTTAATCAGATAGTGCTCATTGTATTTTTGACCAAGAATTAAGACACAATTCAAACTTCTTTTATTTCAAAAAGTGTTTTGTAATAGCAAGGGATTCACATGTCTCGCCACTTCAAACACACACATGAACTCCTTATATATACTAGCAGGTCCAGAGAGGGTGTCTTGGCCATCACTCCCATTAATCCCAATTGTGATTGTGTCCTTTTTCAAAAGGTCCTTAGCTCTCCGATGAAAAAAAGACGGGTGTGTATATAAATGAAAGATATAGAACTCCACCAATGCTGTTTTATGGCATGTTGGTTCTTGTGTGTGAATGTTTGTTATCATTATTTATTGGGAGAAAAGTGATAGATTTTGGGACAGATCAGGAAAATAAGATGGCTGCAATATGTGATAAGAAAAATGGAATGGCAGCCATATTTGCTTTGACAGTGAAAGATAACATTCACTATTCCTTAAGAAGAATGTTTTAATTTCATTATCAGTAAAAGCAAAAGCAGGGAAAAAGAATAGAAAGGGAAAAGGTCCAACTTTTGAAGAACAGATAAAGATCAGCATTGGTGGGCACCAAGATCCCTCCTGGATCTTTTGTATACATCTATCAGTATATTATAGGACATATCATTTATACTGAATTAATGTAATATTGTATGTCATGTTGTCCATTGGTTAGCCATTACCACATCAAACTTCGGCTTTCGTTTTACTATTTACTATCACAGTAAGTTTATGAACAGCATGATTAGAAGATTTCTTGGAGAAGTTTTTCTCAGTTTTTATCTATTAGAAAGTTTGTAGAGTAAATAATTTTTCAGCATGAGATGGATTTGTTTCATTAAGCTATACATTTCATTTCAATTCTACGGTTTTTATTACCTAATCATTTTTCAGCAATTAAATCTCTCATGATTACCTCTCAGTGAAATTTTCTACCAATCTGTTTGAAACTTTTAGGCAAACTTTTTTTGCCTCAGGTAGTTGTGCTTCCATTGTGGGATTAAAAAGTTTTTGTATTGTTACATTTCCATAGTTTTAACCCACCATCATCAGATGGTGTGCTGTTAGATCGGCCCTTGGTTTAGATCTTTGGTCCATCAATTGTCTATCCATCTATCATCCGTCTATTCACTTGTCATTCATCCATCTGTCCTTTTGATTTTTTTCAGTTATGGTTTGTTATCTATTTCTGGAGAAGCACCATATGGATCATTTAAAAATTTCATATTTAGGTTTTCTGTAGTCTTTAGTATTGTCCATTCTGGGACTGAATGATTTTTGAGAGTATTAGTTAGTTTTCAGTATTTCTGGAGAAGCACTGGATGGATAATTATCAAACATTTCATGTAGGATTCCCTTCAAGTTAGTAGCTAGATGTGTATTTACCATTTTGGGATTGGTTGGAACTAGATGCTAGATGATAAAACAAATATGGCAGAGACAAGCGGTCATCGTAGATTTTGACAGAAATAGCTTAATTTGGTATTATTATTTATTGAAGTTCTGGAAGAATCTTTGTCTGCAAATGTTGGTTTTCCATTGTAACTTATTGCCCAAGTTCAGCATTCTGAGCACGAAGAGAATAAAAGAGAAATCATGGAAAAGATTGAATTAATAAGGACTCAATAGAGATCATACTATGGTGGACACCAGGATACCTCTGGGATCTCTTGTTTTGCATCGATACAAATACACAATAATGTAGTTATCTTTGACATGGGCAGCCACATACTGTACTGAACAATCTTGTTATTTATTCTTACAGGACTCTGTGGGAAAGGATTTGAAGTATACACTGAGAAGACTTATAACAGGTGTATCCTCCAACAGAAAATGTGCCCGCCAAGGATTCTCTGTGGCATTGTGTCAGGTATTATTGATGATGGTCAACAGATGTAAACAAACTTGTGAGAAGACAAATCCTAAATAAGTTCTAAACTTATGACTAAATGTTTTATGTCTAGGAATTAAGGACTATTTCAGTAAAACACTGATCTTAGGACTCCAGGTTTTGTGGTACATTTGTAACACCATTACTTTAATTGATAATATTCATAGGAATTATAGGCAGGAAAGTGAAAACCTGTGGTTTAGTAGATGTTTTACTGGAATAAGTCTAAGTGCATTCTTATAGAGTAAAACAATGTATCAATAAAATTATAAAGAATGGGAAAAAAATAAACATGGCCATATTTAGTGAGGCCACCACACCTATAAAGTAGAAATACCATCAAATACTACAACTTGGTGATGTTTAGTTAATGGTCAAAATTGTACATACTACATTTCTAGTAATATTAGAATGACTGCCTATGATGATTATGAATTTGTGATTAATTCACAATGTATAGTGCTGTCAATGAAACGGAAAATTAAGAAGAAAGATTTTAAACTTATATTGATTCAATGGATCTCTTCAGAATTAAGTAACTTTGGATAGGTAGGTACATAATTTTTAGTAATATAATTGAATTGATTGAATTGAGAATAAAAAATTGAAGATAATGTTTATAACAGTTCTTTTGTATCTGGTATATGTTGTAGATCTTACGAAAGTTCACTGCCATCAGTGTTGAAGAGGTGCTATCTTTAGTAACTAAATACCTCCAATTGTCTAAAAAGGATGCCAAAGGTGTAAGTATATCCTATTTATACATCATCCACCCAACAGCATCAACTATTAGCGTTTTATACATAGACCTCTATTATAAGTTTTACCACAAGTTCCATATTATAGATTTCTGGAGTAAAATTTGATTACAAGTTATATACTATAAAATTAGAAGAATGAATATACATGTATAGTAAATTGGATCTAATTATTTTTATTGTTAAATGGTATGCATTTAGTATCCCAGATGAGAAATTTAATTTTCCAGTACGTAAGTAATGTGATATATAGTAACCTGAACATATCTAGATGTTTCTTAACATTTTATATGATAGTCAAAAATCCTTAAAGAACATTTTTAACACTGAACAATTATTAAGGTGATTAAAAATTTAATATTGATCTTCAGTTGATACCTGTAATATGAAATACATTTTTAATTTTCAAGTCATTTTTGAACACTACCATATAACATGTTCATCAATTATGAGTTTAAACCATGTAATGTTTATTAGAAATTGTAATTATTCACAATTGTTAAAAGAAAATTGTACGGTTGAACTTTCTTTAGTTAAAATCTTTGACTTATTTCTAGGAAACTGGTAGTATCTTACTCGGCAGAGCAATGGTTTACCTGGCGCTGATTCAGTCTGGGAGACTCACACAGGTAAATTTAATTTTATATATTGTACAGAACATGTATTTATAACAGAGTTTGTTTGAATTTTTAACTTGAAATTTATAAATTAATTTTGTGCAACAAGTATTAGGTAATATATTTTATTTAGACATACCTGCATAGAGACTTTGATATATTAATAGCAAATATGTATTTTCCATTTGAAGGGTTCTCCTGAATGCATTAAAGAGGTTATTGATAACCTGCAAGACATGAAAACAAAGCGTTCCTATCTCCAACAGATCTGTATTGGTGGTGTGGCCCATCTCATACCTCAGGTATTCTCTTGTCAATATCTGTCTATTATTTGTAATGATTTGGCAACAGATCAGTCCATGATGATAGTATTTGATTTCATACTCTAGACGTATGTGAGACAAGTGACCCATTTTCTGATCTTACAAAGACATTTCTATTAACTTTTGGTCTGTTAAACAATTACTGACATAGAGAATAGAAAATTATGAATTCTATTTAACATTTATTGATTTACAATGTTATAACTTGTTAATAGGTTGATACAGAAAGGTTCGAGGAGGGTGTGTTTCCTGGTATACAGACTGAACTGATGTTGGGTTGGGATAAGTGTACACCTGACGCTCTGTTGCTGTTATTGCTGTGTCGTAAACACCATAAGGTAAAGAAAGGTTTCCTGTTCTTTTTTAAGCATTTGAATGATAGGAATATCGTAAGCATGCTTCAAATTGATTTTAAAAGTCTATAAACATGGTAAAGATATCTTAGCTCTATTGTGTACAGCATTATGTATAATGAGGAATTGTAGCACAGATTGACCAGTGTAGATATCTGTACACTAGCAATAACAATGAAACAGTATATCATATTATGATATAAAGTTAATTAAATTTTCCTTTTTTCAGCATCTTATTGGAAAAGCATTTTTGAAAGAGCATTGGAGTCGACCAAAAATCATTACAGAGAAGAACTTTGATAATATATGTCAAGTTGTGTTAGTAAGTATAACAAAATTGCAGTTCATTGACCATGTTCCTATTAATGTACTGCAGCCTGTTTCTTTTCAACTTTCAGTGACTGGTTCTTTTGTTGGCTATGGTTTTCTGTCTCATCAAATGCTTTTTGTCCTATTAGATTTTAAACTTGTTTAAGAAATTCCATTAACTGTTTGGTTTGCAGGCAGTTTGAAATCCATTGTGTCTGTTTTAAAATGCAACTGTTTAGTCTGAAATTTGCTGGGAATAATAACTACCCAGTATGTGTTCTCCAACTTTGCATGTTATTTTGAGCAGATATTAAATCCAATATGGCCATCTTTGCTTCATGAAATCTTTGTTAAAAATAAAACTCAGATTCTATTCTACAGATACTGATATATTGTAAATCACTTAAATTTCATGAATACATTATTTTATGAACTTATCTGTTCAGACATATCTACAATTACATGATTTCCTTAAAGCTGATCTAGAATTGACTTTAAATTAACAAATGATGAGTTACTAGAGATCAGGATTCTTTGAGACTCTGATATCAGTAACCAAATCAACAGGAATGCTTTCAGAGTTACTTTCGTCTAAATATTTGCAAAGGATTTGGTTTTGCGATTCAGTCTCCTTGCGTATTCACATGAAAAATATCCCATGCAAAATATAAGTGATTTACAGTATTTGAAATTTTGATGAGAAATGAATTGTTTTGAAATTATAAAAGATTCTTGTATAATCAGTAACAGGCATTGTTCTAGTGTTGGATATTTGTGAAAAATATCATGAATGTTAATATTAGATAGACTGCAATAGGACTGTCAGATACAAAAAGGCAGTTTCAAAGATTGTATCACAGGTCATATGCTTGCTTCCAACAATTACAATGTCATATCTTTATTATAAAACATGAGTTTAAATTCAACATGGAATTTATTTCACAGATTACCTGATTGGAAAAAAGGGGGATAATTCTATTTTTCTTCTCTTCTATCTTTAGTTATAAATAGTCAATAGATCGTTTGTACCAATCCCTTATGTCTTGTCAAAATGTCTTAACATGTAACTGACTGTTGTACTGAAGAAGACAACAGTAGCATTGATACAGAATAATGAGATAACTTGTTTTTGTAGAAATCCTCAGAAACATACCCGGTCATCCATCCTGTTATTCCAGAAGTCCTAGAGCAGTTTACAAAGTCAGAACTGTCAGTCACAGAGTTCTGGTCTCACATTGTCAGTAAGTATCTACAGTTTCTAATATAGAACACAGTTTACAAATTTATTTTCCATGAGCTCTGCCATGAGCCCACCACATACCATACATTGTGCTATATAACAATAAAATTTTATAGTCTAAAATATTGGTCCTACTGTGAAAAAAAAAGAAGAAAGACAATGTTCAGCATTTTAATGTGATGTAAACTTGTAATGCTTTCCCATAGGAATTTGCTCAGAAATTCAGGATATAGACACCAGGCTCTCTTGTGTCATTGCCTTTAAGATCAATATTTGTGGAATAGTTCGTAGATGAATTAGCCTCTTTTGATAAATCGCCAAAATTTCTTTTTTGAAAAGTGATTTTGTTTTGGTTGCTATGATTTTTCTCTCATTATAAAGTGTGTCGTCCTATTAAAATATGTCTGTATCATCATTGTCATGCTGAATTTAAGAGCAGTTTTATTGAAAATCATTTGTAATATTCAGTATGTATTTACACCAACATTGGCAAGTATATTTTATCTACTGGTTTTTTCACTTTTGGCAGTTGCAAAATCAGCATTTTTGCTGAGGCTAATCTGAAAGCCTGATATTACTATTGAATTTATTGTAATGCTAGGTATGAACATTTAAACACAAATATTCCTTTTGTGTGTGAGTTGGGATTGTTTTACCTTAAAATAGGAAAAAATGAATTACTTTAAAGCAGTACAAAGTCCATCTATTTACATTAGATATTGTTTGTTTTCAGAGCTGCTCTTTTGTAGCAACCACACACGCTCTACAAATCTGGGACTCCATATCTTTTGCCAAGTAATTCCACTTGTAAAGACATCACAAGAGGTATGTACAGCCACAAATGTGAGACCCAGGGGAGGTAAGATCTTCCAAGGTTTTTCCCTGACCCTCAAAAACCTTCATTTTTACTTCGAAGGTTGAAAAAGAACCCTCAAATAAATAAAAATTTAATCTATTTCATGTATGATGTGAATCCGTAGGCCATTACAAATTTGAGGGTCCAAGAGGTAAGCCTGACTCTCACAGATTTGAGCAAAAGAATAAAAGAGTGAAGGGAGGGAACTGCCATAGGTATGAGAGTCAAGGGAGGTAATTACTGCCAGATATTGAGGTTACATGTTTGTGAGAGCCTGGGAAGTTAAAAACTGGTGCTGTATGGGGTTACATGGTGAAAGGACCAGGGCTAGTAGTTGCACATGTTTGGGTAACCTGTAGTGGTAAGTAGTGCTAAAAATTGAGGTTACATGCTGTTAGGACCATTATAGACCAGAAACACTAGATTGTTTGAGCCAAGGGAGGTAATAGCTGCTAAAATTAAAGCTACAGGTTGTGAGAGCAAGGAGCAAGATTACATTTCGAGATGGTAATATTTATTTTCAATGGATCCAGATAATTTGTCGGACATTCTGTACTCAATCATTTTTATTTTGATGCAACTATTTTCTAACTTTCTCTGTAATTTTCAAAAGATTTTCTAATAATTTTACAAAAAACAAACTACCTCCATGTTTCATTTTGTTTTCTTTTTGACAGGTTGAATCTGTTTGCTGCCCATCAGTCTTACCATTACTGGTTCGACATCTAGACAAGAAATCTAACAAGGATAACCCTCTTCATGCTATGGCGAGGCAGGCGGTGAGTTATGTAATTGAAGTGTCTTGGTCCACACTATTGTTAATCACACCTTGAGGTTGTACTCCTGTGTTGTTCACTCTGACCTTGAACTTCAATCGTTGTGGAAACTCTTGCCTCATTAATGAATATTATCATTTGTCCTGACTGATCTTATTGTTAACAATTTATAAAAAAGCAATCACACCTATAAAAAAATGTTATTTTGTAGATGGACAGTTTGGTGACCTTTCTCCAAAAATGTGAGAATGGTAAAATTCAACATGCAATGCTGACCAAACTGTTTGATCTGAAAGGGGAGAGACTGTGCACAGAGATGAACCGAGTGATTGACAGGATCACACTTCATGTAAGTCAGTATGGGATCTAGACCCTATCCTACTGGTGACTGGTTATGTACCTAATTACATTGAGATCTAGACCCTATCCTACTGGTGACTGGTTATATACCTAATTACATTGAGATCTAGACCCTATCCTACTGGTGACTGGTTATATACCTAATTACATTGAGATCTAGACCCTATCGTACTGATGTCTGGTTATATACCTAATTACATTGAGATCTAGACCCTATCCTACTGGTGACTGGTTATATACACATTAGATCTACATCGTACTGGTGACTGGTTATATACCTAATTACATTGGGATCTAGACCCTATCCTACTGGTGACTGGTTATATACCTAATTACATTGAGATCTACATCCTACTGGTGACTGGTTATATACCTAATCACATTGGGATCTAGACCCTATCCTACTGGTGACTGGTTATATACCTAATCACATTGAGATCTAGACCCTATCCTACTGGTGACTGGTTATATACCTAATCACATTGAGATCTAGACCCTATCCTACTGGTGACTGGTTATATACCTAATTACATTGAGATCTAGACCCTATCGTACTGATGACTGGTTATATACCTAATTACATTGAAATCTAGACCCTATCCTACTGGTGACTGGTTATATACCTAATTACATTGGGATCTAGACCCTATCCTACTGGTGACTGGTTATATACCTAATCACATTGAGATCTAGACCCTATCCTACTGGTGACTGGTTATATACCTAATTACATTGAGATCTAGACCCTATCATACTGGTGACTGGTTATATACCTAATTACATTGAGATCTGGACCCTATCCTATTGGTGACTGGTTATATACCTAATTACATTGAGATCTAGACCCTATCCTACTGGTGACTGGTTATATACCTAATTACATTGAGATCTAGACCCTATCCTACTGGTGACTGGTTATATACCTGTCTAGACCTTATATTACTTGAGACTTGTGAAAAACTCAGTAAGACAAAACATCTTAAACACATTCAGTCAAACTGTGATATATTGATATTGGAGGAACTGTTTAGAAAACTTTGAAACACGGAGAATTTGTGTTATACCTGTTGATGGTACATCATTTCAGGAGACTGAATCACAAACTTTGATTTAACTGTGGCATTCTTGCTATGGCGTTACACAAGTATTTGCTATACCACTGTAACTGTGATACATTGAAAATGTACAATGCAAACTCAAATTATGGATGACATTTAAAGGCTATAAGATTAACGGATATGTTTTGTCCTGGTAATTACCCATATTTATTCTTTTCCAAATTTTGTTTCAAAATGTGGGAGGCCCCAATCATTTGTCATTTACTCTTGAATAAGATAAAGTAAGTTGTATATTATTATTCCTAAGACATCTGACAGAAACTCTCAATTTAAAGGGGCTATTTAGTCAAACAACGTTTTTTCTATTCAGCTGGAAATGAAAATATATGTGTCCAGACTAACAAATCTGTACATAATAGTTTTCTCCTACGTAGCCAATGTCCAGTGTGGTCAGTTTAAAATCTGGGGAAGCCCCCGCAAAAAATAGCGATAATGAAAGAAATTGCGTGGTAAACCTTTGTGAAACATATAAAAGTTACTGAAGTTCATGGTGAATTGTTATTTGATGGTTTAAATCTGCCAAACACGGTCTGACATACACAAAATATCACCAGCGATGATGACTTATCACTTACCAACAGTCTAGCCTCTAGGAGAGTCTTCACAACTTCTTCATTAATTTGGAAAAAGTTTTCTTTCTTGAACTTGTCCCACCCCTCATACTGCTCTTCTATTGTTATTTGAGGGTGAGCTTTCTGCCACTGGCCTTTTCTACATTTTGTGTGCGATGATGTGCCCCGTTTGCCACAAACACGCTTCGGCTGGGAAGCCATTTTTGTTAAGTTTTTTCAGACGCGTTTGCGCATGCTCACAGTTCAAAGTGTGCATAGGCGGCTTGCTCATTTGCATTTTATCATGTCTGTACAGACAATTAGGGTTTCCCATATCATTAATCAAAAAACCGATGGAAAACACGCGCTTGTATCAATATGTCAGCGAGGATAGTTCATAAGGATTATAGAACTGCATTTTTACGGATGAATTTGTAACTAGAAAAAAGATAGACAAACTTGACTAAATAGCCCCTTTAAGATTCAGCATCAGTAGCAAAACTTCTTCTGTTTTCTTGACACATTTGGAGATTTTTTTATTCAAGGTTAGATCATTTAAGAATCATTGCCTCAAAATCATTTTACTTTCTTTTAGTTTACTTTAAAAAGTATCAGTTTTTTTGCATGAGAAAACCAGAACTATTTCACTTGTTAAAATTTGATCATGTTTGTTTTCCAGTTAACATCAGAAGGTGCTGAATGTTACGGAAACTTTTTAATGAAATATTTTGCTGACGCCATTGAGAAAAGGTATGCCTTTATTGTAGTGATTTCACATTCCCTACAATGTTAATAATATTTCCTCTATCTCTATGAAAGGAAAGGGTCATTGACTGAAAATTCTGTGCTCAACAGCTATAGTTCTATTACCAACATGAATACAAAAATGTATGTAAAGTTAAAGTATATTTACCCTTTACTAAACAATAGAGCAAGGGACTAACTTTGAACATAGATGTTTTGGTGTTTTGGTGGTTATCGTATTTTTCAATTTTCATGCTGAAATATTACACTAAAATACAATTGGGCCAATTGTAGTCCTTTATTTGTGTTTTTATACAGAAATTATCACAGATGTGTAAATCAATCCTTGTCAGTGGTCAACTAGTGACGACTTAAGACTGTACTGAGTTCAGTTTGTTAACACTACTATCAAACTCAAAATTCTGTAGACGTTGCTATGTCATTAGATTAATACTGTTATAGTGCCATTCAGGATATCTCATTACCAGCACAGTATAACACTCATATCTAATGATCTGTGTCTTACTAAAAACTGAATAGACCCTGAAATATCAATGCAGGCCCTATGGGCCATTTGTTTGTTTTTTATGAAATAAGTCATTCTTTGTTTAATGTTCTGTGTTATATTGAATCCATGAAATATTTAAAGCACCAAAGGGACTGTGAACTGGTTTTCTGGTACTTACTTAGTAAATTATGTGTGAACTTCTGATGTACAATAATACTGGCAAAGCCAAGGTTGAAATAATACAAAATATCAGCCCAAGAGTGATAAAAATTGAACCTAATCCCATTAAAGGGCCATAGATTAATAATTCTGCATATCAGTTTCATGATAATAATTTCTGAATTCTACAATCCAGTCGAATTACTTTCCTTTTGAATTATAAGTTGTAATTTGATTGACATCATTTTGATTGCAACATGCCATTAAAAGATACTGATCGGTTTGGATGACACAGAAAAGTTCGGTCCAAATTAACGTATACGACTACCATCCCTTATAAGTGGAGAGATAAAAAACAGAATATTGATGAGCTTACATAGACATGTGAAAGATTTTTCTGTGTTTGTTTACAGGGACAATCAGGAAGACATATGGTCACAGAAGGTGATACTTCGTTTGAAGGATATCGTTTCTGAAGTGCGTAATCTAGTAACATTGAAGAGCAATTGTACTGATCATGATCGGCAGTTACATTTGTTACAGTTCCTGGCAGTTCACTCATTCTGGGTTGTCAGTAAACCTACCAAGATTGTACATGTAAGTGATCATCTACTGGCCGTAATCAGTCACATAATGGTGGTCTTCCACCCTAATATAGCACAATAGTCATTGAAAACTGGTCTTAATTAGTCACAAAGTCATTAAAGCTCAATTCATAGTATTTGAGCAACAGATTCTGTTCCATATATGTAACAGAGGTCACAGCGTTTTTTGTACTGATTCTGATATTAGTCTGTTTGGGATCAAATCCAGGACCTGTGTTTACTGAAACAAAGATTTGTTGGATGAAAGTTTGCATGTTAAAGATTAACACCCTGTTATATCACTCATTCTAACTTCTTGTTAAATTTAATGGGATTAGTGCTTTGTAGGGAATACACAGCAGGGTAAAAGTCGTTATCATTCATTATATGGGAAATGTTTTGATCACTGGAAGGTCAAGTTTTTTCCACTTTAAACAACAACAACTAAATTAAACTAAATAAAAAACTCTCAAAGGAAACATTGAAGTTTTTTTTCCTTATGTAGTATGGTATATGCCATGTTACATATCATTGTAGTATGTTATATGCCATGTTACATATCATTGTAGTATGGTATATATCATGTTACATATCATTGTAGTATGGTATATATCATGTTACATATCATTGTAGTATGGTATATGTCATGTTACATATCATTGTAGTATGGTATATGTCATGTTACATATCATTGTAGTATGGTATATGTCATGTTACATATCATTGTAGTATGGTATATATCATGTTACATATCATTGTAGTATGTTATATGTCATGTTACATATCATTGTAGTATGGTATATATCATGTTACATATCATTGTAGTATGTTATATGTCATGTTGCATATCATTGTAGTATGGTATATGTCATGTTACATATCATTGTAGTATGTTATATGTCATGTTACATATCATTGTAGTATGTTATATGTCATGTTACATATCATTGTAGTATGTTATATGTCATGTTACATATCATTGTAGTATGTTATATGTCATGTTACATATCATTGTAGTATGTTATATGTCATGTTGCATATCATTGTAGTATGGTATATGTCATGTTGCATATCATTGTAGTATGGTATATGTCATGTTACATATCATTGTAGTATGTTATATGTCATGTTACATATCATTGTAGTATGTTATATGTCATGTTACATATCATTGTAGTATGTTATATATCATGTTGCATATCATTGTAGTATGTTATATATCATGTTACATATCATTGTAGTATGTTATATGTCATGTTACATATCATTGTAGTATGTTATATGTCATGTTACATATCATTGTAGTATGGTATATGTCATGTTACATATCATTGTAGTATGTTATATGTCATGTTACATATCATTGTAGTATGTTATATGTCATGTTACATATCATTGTAGTATGTTATATGTCATGTTACATATCATTGTAGTATGTTATATATCATGTTGCATATCATTGTAGTATGTTATATATCATGTTACATATCATTGTAGTATGGTATATATCATTATTATATTTTGTCAGATATATATATTTTCTCTATCATTTGTCTGCTTGTTTATACAATTAATATCCAGCTCTACCATGTTTAACATTTCAGTGTACGCAGACCAACAGAAGTTTAGATACTCTTACGAGAAAACATATACAGGATAATTTCTTCAAGGCACTGAACAATCTGCTTGTCTACAAAACAGGTAATGTTTTCTGAAGATCTTCTGGTCTACAGTGAACCAAGAGCACATACAGTGTAATGAAAAGACATGTTAATGATGCCAGAATGACATGTACTGACGGCCCCTGTATAGTACATTTTAATGTATGTACATGTAGACTTCATAGTTCATTTGATGGAGGTGAAAGTGCAGTCACTGCACATAAATTTCTAAATGGTTGTAAAAATTGTATTCAAGTATATATATAATTATAAACCAGGATCAACTACATTATACATGTACACAATTAATATTAATTATCACATTAGTAGATATATATTGAATGATGTAACATATAATTATATACGTCTTTGATTACACTGTATGTATGGTCTCTTTGTTACACTATTCAGGTCATAATTTGTTTAAAAAATTCTGTTCTCCCTCCTTTTATTCTATTCCATACATACCAATCAGCAGAAAATCTTTCATATGATAAAATATTTTAAGTTAATTAATTCTGATAGAATTGTTTCTGTTACAGAGAAATCAAAACCATTGTCAGTGATTGCTTATATACACACAGCACAAAGATTGATGGAGTACATGCAGGTGAGTTTTAACAATTTAACACCTGATCTGTAGCAAATAATCAAACAACCAGGAAAAACCGGCATAAACTAAGACAAGTTTGGATTCTAAATTTGAAAACTGAACTAAACTTTATATTGAACAAAATTAGATCTTTATCTGTAGAATTCCAAATATTTACCACTGAATCATTTACGTATAGTAGGCGATACCACATATTGTTAAAGTTTTAGTTCACATAGGGTGGACCATGTAACCTTATCTGTGATATAGTGTCTGTCTGTCCAGCCTGCATCAACTTTTTCCTTTTACTGACTTCTTCTTAAGAACCAAAATGCTTGGAATCATATTTGGCTGGAAGGTTCCTTGGATGAAGCCCAACAAAGCTGGCAAAAAAAATTACCTTGACCCAAAATCAAGTCACAGGGGTTAAATTTGTTAACAAACCTTTTCTTCCCAATATTCAAAATGACAATAATAATTGGCAGGAAGATTACTTCGATGGAACCTGACAAAATTTTGAAAAAAAAAGTGACCTGCAAGGTCACAGGGATCAGGTTTGTACAAACCTTTCAACAATTTCTTTCCAGTATTAATAAAAGATATTTTGTTTATTGGGGTATTTCACGTAATGGTGGTATCAGTCATATTTTGTTTCATTGTACATAATGTCATTCTTACCTATGTTAGGGAATGGGATTCACAGAGAAGGCTTCGGTTAAATGACATGTATTTGACACTGTTTATGGATGGTGTTATTACATTGCCCACCACATTGGCTAACAGAATTGTATTTGTTGTTTGCGGTTTTGCAGTAATTTGTTTTTATCTCTTATATTTCAGACATTGATGGAGACTGACAGTGTTGCTATTTGCCTGGTAACAGAGCAACAAAATAATGTATGTATTCAATGATATAGTTGGAATGTTACCATTTTCCACTCTATTTATCCTGAAATTGTCAGGTACCCTTAATTTTTTTAAATGATAATAAAGGACCTTGGAAAAGTAAAGATGTGATGTAGTTTGTAACTTTTATGAGACTAAACAATACTGTAATCAACTTTACGATCCATCCTGTTTCTGTAAGCTCATCGATTTCTCCAAAGTCTGTAAAACATAGCTTACTTCACTGGTCTTCTATTACAATATTCAGTATTTCAACTCTTTGACTCCAATAAAGTCAAATGACTGAATTTTTCAATTTTTAGCTTGCTCGGTATAAGAAGAGGGAGAACTAATATTGTCACCTGGTGTTAGTGTTGGATGTTAGGTGTTAAGATTTTGGTGAAAGTGATTAGTGCATTATATTTATACCAGGATATTAATGTTTTGTATCAGGTCCATGTAGGGTTTAACATTTCCTTCACAGAAATGGATTTTGGGGAGAAATAGACATAATCTTGGACTTATTTTTGTCTGATAAAATGTTAAGATTTTTGTTCAAGTGTTTAAAGAAATCACTCGTTAATTGTACTCAGGGACTGATATTTGTTCTGGGGTGGGGGGGGGGGGGGTTCCTTTTTAGCTTAACTTAGCTTTCCCAGACAAAGGAATATTTTAGGGGGAAATACTTGTTTTTTGAAATGTTATGGACATCTTTAATATTATATCATTAAACTTTTGTTGACAGGTAACTTGTAAAATCAAATTTATTTATAACGTACATGTATATAGAGGTATAAGTAGACAATAAACAAATTATATCTGTGTCATTTGTTATTGACAAACATTTCCAAATTGAGCTGTGTGTTTTGTCAGAGCTCTGATTATTTCAAATTCAGATATTGTTATCTGTTACTGAAGTTTTATGTCTGTACAGATATTTCATGTGGAGGGTTTTACCTTTAGTTTAGTTAAGCCCACCTGTCTTTTCGTTAGTTTTAATTAGGTATTACATATAACAGTACGTTGTCACCCTCTGTTTAGATGCCTCATGAGTGGGTGTCAGATTGGAACAAGGTCCTGGAAACTATGGAATCTGTTCAAACAAAGGTATGCACTTTCTGTTTTACTGTTTACAAGTATGAAAAATGGAACTGGCTTGAAAAAGCAGAGAGGAGATGAATAGAATAGCATTTCTCCATTTGGGTGACAAAAAGGGGGATTTCAACTCAGGTGGAATGATAATTAGGTTGGCATGCACAAGGCACGACAAGTGTTTTGAAACTGAATAATCTTAACAGATAAAGATGTGTTACCTTTATTTACAGGTATACATGTGTTACCTTTATTTACAGGTATAGATGTATGACCTTTATTTACAGGTATACATGTGTTACCTTTATTTACAGGTATAGATGTATTACCTTTATTTACAGGTATAGATGTGTTACCTTTATTTACAGGTATAGATGTGTTACCTTTATTTACAGGTATACATGTGTTACCTTTATTTACAGGTATAGATGTGTTACCTTTATTTACAGGTATACATGTGTTACCTTTATTTACAGGTATACATGTGTTACCTTTATTTACAGGTATACATGTATTACCTTTATTTACAGGTATAGATGTGTTACCTTTATTTACAGGTATAGATATGTTACCTTTATTTACAGGTATAGATGTATTACCTTCATTGGATGTGTTGTTACTCTGACATAAATTCCAAGTTAGGGACCAGAAATCAGTTACATTGCTAAATGTTATGTCATGCTTTTAAGAGATTGTAAAGTATTACAATGTTGGTGCAGAAAGTCATTTTTACCGCCCAATAATTATGGAAATATTAGTATCAGGGTCCATCTGTATCACTTCTTATTATCAGTGTATATATATGATAATAACTTTAAAATTTTCATATTTGCATCCAGCATATCACTGCCAACTCTGACAAGATGACCACTGGCCATGCTTTCTTATTACTACTGTTCTACAACATCACTCAGTTACTGGTTGACCCTGTTACTGTCTCCAGTCACTTAGAGGTAAGCTTCTGTTCTACAACATCACTCAGTTACTGGTCAGCCCTGTTACTGTCTCCAGTCGTTTAGAGGTAAGCTTCTGTTCTACAACATCACTCAGTTACTGGTCAGCCCTGTTAATGTTTCCAGTCACTTAGAGGTAAGCTTTTGTTCAACAACATCACTCAGTTACTGGTCAGCCCTGTTACTGTCTCCAGTCATTTAGAGGTAAGCTTCTGTTCTACAACATCACCCAGTTACTGGTCAGCCCTGTTATACTGTCTCCGGTCATTTAGAGGTAAACTTCTGTTCTACAACATCACCCAGTTACTGGTCAGCCCTGTTAATGTTTCCAGTCACTTAGAGGTAAGCTTCTGTTCTACAACATCACCCAGTTACTGGTCAGCCCTGTTACTGTCTCCAGTCATTTAGAGGTAAGCTTCTGTTCTACAACATCACCCAGTTACTGGTCAGCCCTGTTATACTGTCTCCGGTCATTTAGAGGTAAACTTCTGTTCTACAACATCACCCAGTTACTGGTCAGCCCTGTTAATGTTTCCAGTCACTTAGAGGTAAGCTTCTGTTCTACAACATCACCCAGTTACTGGTCAGCCCTGTTACAGTCTCCAGTCGTTTAGAGGTAAGCTTCTGTTCTACAACATCACTCAGTTACTGGTCAGCCCTGTTACTGTTTCCAGTCACTTACAGGTAAGCTTCTGTTCTACAATATCATCCAGTTACTGGTCAGCCCTGTTACTGTTTCCAGTCACTTACACTGATACAGCGTGTAGATATCTTAAGTTTATAACAGGAAACATGTTTTATTCTTTAGGATGTCTATGGCTGTCTGAAAAATGCCTTCAAGTCCAAAAGAAAATCTGTTTCTAAGAAGTGTTGTGAAGGTAAGAATTCTTTCCTAATTTTTCGCTTCAAACTCAAAGTTAAAGAATCGTGTCTAGACAAACTACTATTGCTGTAGACATCTCTCTGACTGGCTTTAGGAAATGATTGCAAATTGATGTTTTCAATGTTGACAAGCTAAATCCTGATATTAACATGCTAGATATCTTGACATTCCTATGTCAACAAATGTGTGTTTGTGTTAAAATTATACTGAGATATGTCAACATTATGTGTACTTGTGTTGAAATTATACTTATATATAATGTCAACATAATGCGAACATGTGGCAAAATTCTACTGAGATATGTCAACATTATGTTTACGTTTGTAAAAAACTTAAGCTAAGGTCATGTGTTGATATTCAATATGTCAACATTATGCTTACATCTTAAAATTACACTGAGATATGTCAACATTATGCTTACATCTTAAAATTACACTGAGATATGGCAACATTATGTTTACATGTGTTAAAATTACACTGAGATATGTCAACATAATGTTTACATGTGTTAAAATTACACTGAGATATGTCAACATTATGTTTACATGTGTTATAATTACACTGAGATATGTCAACATTATGCTTACATCTTAAAATTACACTGAGATATGTCAACATTATGTTTACATGTGTTAAAATTACACTGAGATATGTCAACATAATGTTTACATGTGTTAAAATTACACTGAGATATGTCAACATAATGTTTACATGTGTTAAAATTACACTGAGATATGTCAACATTATGTTTACATGTGTTAAAATTACACTGAGATATGGCAACATTATGTTTACATGTGTTATAATTACACTGAGATATGTCAACATTATGCTTACATCTTAAAATTACACTGAGATATGTCAACATTATGTTTACATGTGTTATAATTACACTGAGATATGTCAACATTATGTTTACATGTGTTAAAATTACACTGAGATATGTCAACATTATGCTTACATGTGTTATAATTACACTGAGATATGTCAACATTATGTTTACATGTGTTATAATTACACTGAGATATGTCAACATTATGTTTACATGTGTTAAAATTACACTGAGATATGTCAACATTATGTTTACATGTGTTAAAATTACACTGAGATATGTCAACATTATGTTTACATGTGTTATAATTACACTGAGTGTTATATGTCAACATTATGTTTACATGTGTTAAAATTACACTGAGATATGTCAACATTATGTTTACATGTGTTAAAATTACACTGAGATATGTCAACATTATGTTTACATGTGTTATAATTACACTGAGATATGTCAACATTATGTTTACATGTGTTAAAATTACACTGAGATATGTCAACATTATGTTTACATGTGTTATAATTACACTGAGATATGTCAACATTATGTTTACATGTGTTATAATTACACTGAGATATGTCAACATTATGTTTACATGTGTTAAAATTACACTGAGATATGTCAACATTAGGCTTACATCTTAAAATTACACTGAGATATGTCAACATTATGTTTACATCTTAAAATTACACTGAGATATGTCAACATTATGTTTACATCTTAAAATTACACTGAGATATGTCAACATTATGCTTACATCTTAAAATTACACTGAGATATGTCAACATTATGTTTACATCTTAAAATTACACTGAGATATGTCAACATTATGTTTACATCTTAAAATTACACTGAGATATGTCAACATTATGCTTGCATCTTAAAATTACACTGAGATATGTCAACATTATGTTTATATGTGTTAAAATTACACTGAGATATATCAACATTATGTTTATATGTGTTAAAATTACACTGAGATATATCAACATTATGCTTACATCTTAAAATTACACTGAGATATGTCAACATTATGTTTATATGTGTTATAATTACACTGAGATATATCAACATTATGCTTACATCTTAAAATTACACTGAGATATGTCAACATTATGTTTATATGTGTTAAAATTACACTGAGATATATCAACATTATGCTTACATCTTAAAATTACACTGAGATATGTCAACATTATGTTTACATGTGTTATAATTACACTGAGATATGTCAACATTATGCTTACATCTTAAAATTACACAGAGATATGTCAGCATTATGTTTACATGTGTTATAATTACACTGAGATATGTCAACATTATGCTTACATCTTAAAATTACACTGAGATATGTCAACATTATGTTTACATGTGTTAAAATTACACTGAGATATGTCAACATTATGTTTACATGTCTTATAATTACACTGAGATATGTCAACATTATGCTTACATCTTAAAATTACACTGAGATATGGCAACATTATGCTTACATCTTAAAATTACACTGAGATATGTCAACATAATGTTTACATGTGTTAAAATTACACTGAGATATGTCAACATTATGCTTACATCTTAAAATTACACTGAGATATGTCAACATTATGTTTACATGTGTTAAAATTACACTGAGATATGTCAACATTATGCTTATATGTGTTATAATTACACTGAGATATGTCAACATTATGCTTACATCTTAAAATTACACTGAGATATGTCAACATTAGGCTTACATGTGGTATAATTACACAGAGATATGTCAACATAATGTTTACATGTGTTAAAATTACACTGAGATATGTCAACATTAGGCTTACATGTGTTATAATTACACAGAGATATGTCAACATAATGTTTACATGTGTTAAAATTACACTGAGATATGTCAACATTATGCTTACATCTTAAAATTACACTGAGATATGTCAACATTAGGCTTACATGTGTTATAATTACACAGAGATATGTCAACATAATGTTTACATGTGTTAAAATTACACTGAGATATGTCAACATTAGGCTTACATGTGTTATAATTACACAGAGATATGTCAACATAATGTTTACATGTGTTAAAATTACACTGAGATATATCAACATTATGCTTACATATGCTACTGTTTGTTATGCCTACTTGGGTTGATATGCTTACAAATGTTGACAAACATGGACATTATGTTTACGTATGTTAACATTATAGATGGCGAACCAGAGTGGATAGAAGTGATGACAGAGCTGTTAATCAGCATGATGTCACAGGGGTCAATCCTGGCCAGGACAACTGCTGCGGATGTGTACATGGCTTTGGCTGACCACATCACACCAGACTCTGTCCAGCTGATAATTGATGTGAGTATATTATGATTAAAGTCTCCCATTAACTCCGTGTTAATCTGGATCTTCTTCACAGGAATATAGATACTTTCTATATTAAAAGATCCGATATTCCTTTATTATGGCACCATGTTGTCCTACATCATGCTTTACATATTGCCTCAGATAACACACACTACAGCTTTACACCAATCATTCAGATGATGTAGATTTTTTGGAAACTCTTCCATCAAGTGACCCAGATTGCATTCATATTCATAAGAAAAAGAATTTAAAATCCGTTCAGTAGATACATAATGAAATTCCATATTTACTCTCAGCATTATATAGCTTTATGCTTCATCTATTCATCGTGTTTACCTTATCCGTCATCTTTAGAAGTTAAATTGATGATGTTATCAACTCTGTTGGCCAGGTTATAATGGCGGATGACAAGGACTGTTGCAGTGGCAAGGAATGTTGCAGTGGCCTGGTCAGCTTTGAAGATGTGGAAGATGATGAGGCTTTTGATGAAATGAAAGGTGTCGAGGAAGAGAACGGTAAGAATTGCATCAAACTGCTTATTTGAAATGCCAGATTTTAGAAGTTTATGTGAGCTTACTCTTATGGAACACCTGGTTTCATTATTTTTGTACTTTTTCAGGATTCTCTATGTAAATCTTTCTTTTGTTCATATTTTGCCCTAGTTTTATTAAATTTGAGTGTGAATTATGATTATGTTGACATGTTGGTATTTTCTGTTTTTTTATATAGAGCAATGGTTGTAATCAATTCTCTTACTGTTACTTAATGATGAAAAATCTTTCCTGGATTAGATAATGGCAATGTGATAGACTATAAAACTCTACAGTTACATTGGAACTTCTCCAAACTGGTGAAACATGGGACATGAATATTTGGACAGTTTGGGAAGCATGTGGTTTGTAGAAGTAACAAAATGAATGGGACTGAATCCAGCTAATATTGATGCATTTCATTCATTATGTACTTTCATGCCTATAGTTTATTCTATACTACACGTAGTCAAGTTCTTCAGTACAGAAAGAAAGTTGATGGAGTCAAAAGTATTGTTAAAATGAAGTTTGAATCTTTTTATGGAATGTCACAGTGACTCCATTGGAGAAAACATCTGCTTATTGCCGCATGAGGTCGGCACTGACCTAGATTCAGCCTTCTGTGCCGATCGTTGATCTATCTGGAAGTGTATACTACCTACGTAATATACATTTCAGGTCGACATCAAAATTTTATCTTCTAAAATAATATTACATGAAATTTTTTATCTCAAATAAGTAGGTGACCAATTCCAATTAGTTTCGAAACTGAGTCTTTCGAGCTCTGATTGACATGTTGTTACTGGTAATAATTATATCAAAAACTCACCTCTGTCACATATGCACGGCATCCCAAAGCACAAAGTATGAGACAAATCTCGTCTCAGGTGTTGATTTCATGATCTGCTGTGATAACCCTTCCATGTGATAATAGGACTACATAGGTATCTGTAGGAATATGTGACAAATCTGGTCTCAGGTGTTGATTTCACGATCTGCTGATAACCCTTCTGTTTGATAATAGGACTACATATCTGTATGAAGAAGTTTTTATCACTTGAATTAAAAAGAAAACATTCTATACTTTTCCCGTTTGGTTTGGTATCAAGAGAGGATTTTTAATCGTTAGTTTCAATAGTATACAGTGGTTGTGAAACATTTTTGCAATTATAGTATGACATAAAATGTGATATTTTCAATAGAGTGCTAATGAAACATTTATGTTAGAATTATATTTTGATCTTAAACCTGACAATGATTTTATATTAAATATCAATATTTTCAATAGAATTCTAAAATATGTAGTACATGTACAGTTATCATACTGTTTATCGGATATTTTTGCCCCAGATAATTGTTGCCTGTGTCCCATTTTACACAAATTCACGTCATGTTCATTTCTACCTCAGTGGCAATTTAACATGTTACATAAGTACTTGTAACAAATTTTTGCCTCCATTTTAAATTCACCTTCCAAGTTCATGGACATCAAGGGCAAAAAGGATGGAAAACTTCCCTTTATACAGTACATGTACTCTGGAAGAAAGTGTTTGAGAATATGTGTGTAATACAGTATATATTGCAAAATACTGACACATTGAAGTCTACTTCTATGATACATTAAGACAATACACTATTTATTTGTGTTATATATGTCTGACACAAACAGGAGTAGAAGTCGGAGAATCAGACGAGGAAGAGTCAGAGTCTAGTGAGTCAGAAGAGTCCGAAGAGGAAGAGGTTGTAGACGAGGAGTTTCGTGAGAAGTTGAGATCAGCATTAGGTCCAGCTGCTGTTGCGGAAGAAAGTGACTCCGAGGTCAGTTATGATACAAGATATTTATGCTTTAGACATTAGGAAATGTTACGTAGTAATAGTTTATGGGAGCTGTCTTGTAAGCTTTCACATGATGAATTTGTGCACATAATGTAGAAAGAGAGAACAAATTGACATCAAATCATACTAGTCCTAATGTGTTCAGAAAGGTTTGGTTTGGTTTGTATATAGGGGAACACCAAATTTATATTGGTTTTGTTTTTCTTCCATCTTCCAATAAAATGTAAATTATTATAAGGAGCAGTGGGTAGTCAAACTCTGATCTTGATATGTGGGTTCTCCAGCAGTTCTCGTAAATTAGTGTGTTGAAGCTTACAACTGAATAAAGATGTTGGACTATACATGTACTGATACTCAATTGACTGCTAAATAGCAGACATAGTTTTCATGTGACCAAGCAGGTGTCTTCATATGACCAAGCAGGTGAGCAGGTGGATGGGTGTCCATTCAATATCTTAGGTAGAAATAGTGAATCCCATTCATCATTCATCGCCTTCAAAATTTTATAAAAGCTTAAATGTAGAACTCTGCCATTATCTGACCATATTTATTGAAGGTATTATTCTATGATACAATGTAATGCAACAGCTTGAACTCATTCATTGTTACAAGTCATGAAGAATTTCTCCTCTTCTCACTCCATATTACACAGCTAGAAGACTTGACTGACAGTGAAATGTTTAAGCTAGATCCAGTGATTGCAGCTGCCTTCAAGGGAATGAAACAAGCAAAAGCTAGGGAGAAGAGGAATAATAAAAAACAGATGCTGGCTTTTAAAATACGGTACTGTTTCACTTTTCTACGAAATCATTTCCATTTTTTAGTCTAGCATACAAGTTAATGTCCCTTAAAAACCTCCAGGTTTCGCCTTATCATCAAGTTACTTTGTTGCTATGTGAAGTCGCACAGTGTGATGATCAGTACCTTGAAGAAGAAATATAATACATAGGATACATGTATAATTGACTTACCTTGGATCTCACTGCATTTGTGGGTCTGTAACACCTGCAGGATTTCAAAACTTCTTGTACTTTTAAGATAATTGTTAACATTTCAGTACATCTTGTGTGTGGATTTTTGAGGCGGCTGAATTTGCCAATGCTGGTACTAGTTAGATATTTTACATTGTAATCTGTGTATTAAGTGTCACCTCAATGTATTTTTCGTTTTTGAAGGTTGCTGGATTTGCTGATTGTTCTTGCCAAAGAAAAAATGTCTGCTGATGTTGTCATGGTGAGTTGATTTTCTGGTAGATGTCTTAAATTAACATACTGCCTCAGTTATTCACAACACTGTTTTTATGCCAAAAATGGAATGATAATAAACATGGAACGGTACCAGATATGTCTTAACAAATGATAAAAGATACACGCTTCAATTGTGAATTGTGTATTTAACCTAGCACATTATGTGAGTTTGAAGGCCAGAAGAGTTCAGTTGATAGAGTGTGCCATTGTTGACATAAAGTGACTCAAACATTGATAATCTAACTTATTCCAGTACTAATATCCACTTTTGAATGGTTTGTGAATGGTTTTGCACAAATTTAACAGACTCTTTGTGAATGGGTTTGTGGAAATTTAATTGACTCTTTGTTAATGGATTAGCACATACTTAACAGACTGTTTGTGAATGGTTTTGAGGAAGTTTTAAATGACCTAGTATGAAGTGTTTTTAGGACTTTTAACTGACCATAAATGAATGTTTTTTTAGAGAAGTTTCAAATGACCTTTTGTGAAAAGCTTTGAATGTCCTGTATGAAAGGTATCAAGGGAGATTTAACTGAACCTGTGTGAAATTATGAGGGAAGCTTTAATTGAAACTGTGTGAAACATTTTTAGGAATTCTAACTGACTTGTGTGAAAGGCCTTGAAGGACGTTTTCATCGACCATGTGTTCAGCAATGTTAGGAATTTTAACTGACTTGTGTGAAAGGCCTTGAAGGACGTTTTCATCGACCATGTGTTCAGCAATGTTAGGAATTTTAACTGACTTGTGTGAAAGGCCTTGAAGGACGTTTTCATCGACCATGTGTACAGCAATGTTAGGAATTTTAACTGACCTGTGTGAAAGGCATTGAAGGACGTTTTCATCGTCCATGTGTTCAGCAATGTTAGGAATTTTAACTGACCTGTGTGAATGGTTTTCAGAAAGTTTTAACTGACACTGAGTGAAAGGAAATGGGGGAAGATTTATTTAATCCAGTATGATAGGTTTAAAAGGAAGATTTTACTGAAACCTGTGTGAAAGATTTTGAGGATATTTTAACTGACCCCATGTGATAATTGGTGTTGCCCAGGACCTGAATCTGCCTTTGCTCGTGCTGATGCTGAATGGAGAAAAGAGAATAGAAGAACGAGCACTTGGGCAGCATGCTCAGAAATTATCTCAGTTAATGTACAGACAAGCAAAGGTATGCTACATCTTTTGTTCCCTATAGAGAACATAATGCCCTTAACTTACTGTTTGTTTCATTATAAGATTCTGATGGGTACAGACACTTTTGTTTGGGATACACTGCATCATCTGTTGTGGTCAGGGGCATGCCTATTGCAGCAAGTTTTGAAGGGTATCAGACAACAGAGTCATCAATCATCAATGGCTTTCTGTGGTAGAAGATGTATAAATTGGGAAATTCCTGGTCTTGGATTTCTTCGTCCTCCTCTTTCCCAAATTTTAGAGCAAGCGTTTCAGAATTATTTCAAAAACCAAATGAAATCAAAATGAAATACTGTAAATAAGTTGACAAGTTTTTAAGAGATTTTAGCTGAATCATGATTTTGATGTAATTTTATCTGACTTCAAAACATTAGTGACTCTATGTTTGTAGGAGCTGCAATCTGTTAGCCTTGATAAAGAAGCCTGCACAGAACGCATCATGGACATCATACATTTCTCCACACGAAGTAAGTCTGGGGTTTTTGCTGACAGATAGAAGATAAGAATTTAAAATGATTCCAGTTCATGATGAATAAATACAAGATGCCGAAAAAAAGATTTTAAGTTCAAAAAGGAAATGATTTTGTTTCTACTGTTTATCCAATAGTTCATGAGAGGTATATCCCCTACACCATTAAGATAATGTCCTCATTCTGTGTTTTCATCCTCAGCCATATTGAGCCAGTCACTTGTCAACTGTGTTTCGGATGCCTGTCTGCTTGTAGTAAGTATGATATCTTAGATTATTTGGAGACTATAGATCTTATGTACAAAACCACTACATATAAATGTGTAATCCTACTGTACCACAGTACCATAGAACCCCACCTTATCAAAACCACTATATATAAATCTGTTATCCTACTGTTCCACAGTACCATAGAACCCCATCTTATCAAAACCACTGTATATAAATCTGTTATACTGCTGTTCCACATTACCATTGAGCCCCACCTTATCAAAGTCTTCAAGACCAGAAAAAATAATCTGTAGATCAACATTTGACAAGTTAGCCTCTACAATTACGCACTACACTATGTACACGGAATAGATCACTACACTATGTACACGGAATAGATCACTACACTATGTACACGGAATAGATCACTACACTATGTACACGGAATAGATCCTTATCTCATTGATTTTTTATAGAGGATGTTTAATACAATAAAATGCTGTTTAATTTGTATAAAAATGTTATACAATGTTCTACTGTGTTAATATTGTGTTCTACTGTAAACATACTGATGGTGCAGTTTTACCCACATTTTACTGTGTTAATATTGTGTTCTACTGTAAACATACTGATGGTGCAGTTTTACCCACATTTTACTGTGTTATTAAGATGTTCTACTGTAAACATACTGATGGTGCAGTTTTACCCACATTTTACTGTGTTAATATTGTGTTCTACTGTAAACATACTGATGGTGCAGTTTTACCCACATTTTACTGTGTTAATATTGTGTTCTACTGTAAACATACTGATGGTGCAGTTTTACCCACATTTTACTGTGTTAATATTGTGTTCTACTGTAAACATACTGATGGTGCAGTTTTACCCACATTTTACTGTGTTAATATTGTGTTCTACTGTAAACATACTGATGGTGCAGTTTTACCCACATTTTACTGTGTTAATATTATGTTCTACTGTAAACATACTGATGGTGCAGTTTTACCCACATTTTACTGTGTTAATATTGTGTTCTACTGTAAACATACTGATGGTGCAGTTTTACCCACATTTTACTGTGTTAATATTGTGTTCTACTGTAAACATACTGATGGTGCAGTTTTACCCACATTTTACTGTGTTAATATTGTGTTCTACTGTAAACATACTGATGGTGCAGTTTTACCCACATTTTACTGTGTTAATATTGTGTTCTACTGTAAACATACTGATGGTGCAGTTTTACCCACATTTTACTGTGTTAATATTGTGTTCTACTGTAAACATACTGATGGTGCAGTTTTACCCACATTTTACTGTGTTAATATTGTGTTCTACTGTAAACATACTGATGGTGCAGTTTTACCCACATTTTACTGTGTTATTATTGTGTTCTACTGTAAACATACTGATGGTGCAGTTTTACCCACATTTTACTGTGTTAATATTGTGTTCTACTGTAAACATACTGATGGTGCAGTTTTACCCACATTTTACTGTGTTAATATTGTGTTCTACTGTAAACATACTGATGGTGCAGTTTTACCCACATTTTACTTAATTACCAGTTATCTTACTCTGATTATTTCCGATCTTCCTTTACTGATCTGTATACCTGTGTTTGTTTAGATCTGGTGATTATTTCCGATCTTCCTTTACTGATCTGTATACCTGTGTTTGTTTAGATCCTGTGATTATTTCCTATCTTCCTTTACTGATCTGTATACCTGTGTTTGTTTAGATCCTGTGATTATTTCCTATCTTCCTTTACTGATCTGTATACCTGTGTTTGTTTAGATCCTGTGATTATTTCCTATCTTCCTTTACTGATCTGTATACCTGTGTTTGTTTAGATCCTGTGATTATTTCCGATCTTCCTTTACTGATCTGTATACCTGTGTTTGTTTAGATCCTGTGATTATTTCCGTGTTTGTTTATCTTCCTTTACTGATCTGTATACCTGTGTTTGTTTAGATCCTGTGATTATTTCCTATCTTCCTTTACTGATCTGTATACCTGTGTTTGTTTAGATCCTGTGATTATTTCCTATCTTCCTTTACTGATCTGTATACCTGTGTTTGTTTAGATCCTGTGATTATTTCCTATCTTCCTTTACTGATCTGTATACCTGTGTTTGTTTAGATCCTGTGATTATTTCCTATCTTCCTTTACTGATCTGTATACCTGTGTTTGTTTAGATCCTGTGATTATTTCCTATCTTCCTTTACTGATCTGTATACCTGTGTTTGTTTAGATCCGGTTATATTTGAACATGAATGCTGATGATGTTGGACCCTCACCAGTCAAGACACGGTCACAGAAGGAATCCAAAAAGGGAAAGGTTGACTCCAGCAATGTACGTACAGCAACAAAATTATAGTATTGGCCTGAATCTGTTTTAAGGAGATTGAGATTGGGAGGAGGAGGGATTTGGGGTGGGAAGTAGGAATTTTGGTAACATCCAGGACATTTCTTTTTTCTTTTGTAAATGGTAATTTCCCCTTTGAAGTATTTGATACAAGGTTTAAACACATGAAGTTGAATTTACCTGGTTAAGTTTGTTTGAAAAAATATAAAAGAACTTAAATATGAAAAAAAAACTATCATTGAAACCCATTGATGCCTGCTTATTTCAAAATATTTCTGAAGTTGAAAAGTACATCTGTCTGTTTAGAATTTCTCTTTGAAATTCCTTTTTTTAATTGTGAGAATGATTAGTTCTACAATATTAAGTATATGATTTTTGATATTGATGACACACAGTGTAACAGCTAAGCTATTATCTGTTTAATACCAGACCAGACATGAAGAAGTGATGGAGATTATCACCGACAACCTCACCCACTGCCTCCATGGTCGGTCAATTAAAGACAAAGCTGGCAGGTAAGTTTACAGGTAGACTCAAATTACCTGTAAAAATAACCAGTTATACAATCATTTAGGATACAAAAATCAACAATTTAAGTGGTATCATTAATACCGACTCTCAATACGGTCTTTTAGGATAAAATAAAAACATTTTAATTCAATTTAATAAACACTGTAATTACTATAGACTCTTAGTTGTCATGGTGTTTTAAAATTCAATCTAACTACAGTATGCCCTTATCAAACTGTAAAGAAATTTTGTATTATACAAATTCAAAACTGTTATCATTGATTATTTAAAAAAAAAACTTCTTGATTTGCAGAGAATTGCACTTGAATCCAGCATTGTTCCTGAATATGTTCACAAAATATCCTGTAAGTATTATTTTCTGGGATTTTGAAAACTGTTATCACTCTTTTTGGAGAAGAGCTTTATAGATCATTATCAAGAGAGTAGGTTTTCATTTGTTCTAAGTTTTGGAACTTATCAGGAAATGGTAGAAATGTGACCATCTTAGATTTTGAAAGTTACAATTCAGCAATTGGAAGGGAAGAAGGAAAAAGAAGAGTGAAAAAACGAGAAAAGAAGAGGAAGAAAAGATTCGATAATAACATATGGTTGTTATCAAGATTTCTAGTAGATTTCTGCTTGTTTTTAGGTCATCTGACCCGAAGGGTCCGATAACCTGTAGTCATCATGCTTCGTCCGTCGTCGTCCGCCGTGCGCCGTCCGTAAACTTTTCATTCAAACGACTTCTTCTCAAATACTAGAAGGTCTAGGGGGCTAATACTTGGCACAGAGGATACTGGCATGGAGCTCTACCAAGTTTGTTCAAATGAATGACCTTGACCCACTTTAAAGGTCACAGGGGTCAAATATGTTAAAATCTTTAAACAACTTCTTCTCAATAACCAAAAGGCTCAGATTGCTGATATTGTGCCTGTGGCATGCTGGGATGAAGGGCTATCAAGTTTGTTTAAATGAATGACCTTGAACAACTTTCAAGGTCACAGGGGTCAAATATGTCAAAATCTTTAAATAACTTCTTCTCAAATACTAGAAGGCCTAGGGGGCTAATACTTGGCCCATAGCATGCTGGCATGGAGCCCTACAAAGTTTGCTCAAATGAATGACCTTGGCCCACTTTCAAGGTCACAGGGGTCAAATATGTTAAAATATACAAAGGACTTCATCTCAATAAGCAAAAGTCTATGAGTGCCGATATTGGGTCTGTAGCATGCTGGGAGGAAAGGCTACCAAGTTTATTCAAATGAATGACCTCAACCCACTTTCAAGGTCACAGGGGTCAAATATGTTAAAATATACAAACGACTTCTTCTCAACAAGCAAAAGTCCATGAGTGCTGATATTGGGCCTGTAAGATGCTTGGAGGAGAGGCTACCAAGTTTGTTCAAATGAATGACCTCAACCCACTTTCTAGGTTTGGCTTGCTTTTTGTCAGATGACCGTTAAGGCCCATGGGCCTCTTGTATTTTCTCCCTATTTGTAATGTGTAAAATCTCTATGTACAGGTCCTGTTTTGGGATGTGACCAGCTGTCTGGTAAAGGTGTATGATGACAGCAGTGTCAAGGTATATAATAAGGTAAGTAGAGGCCAGGCGTTATTTGAAAGAGACATTAAAAGTCTACATATTTGTAGCCATATATTGAAAAATGTTGCTATATGGATGGTCATTCAGGTCATATTGGTAATTCATATGCAAGTTTTGCACAGTCCATTTTCAAATTATCATGTTCTATCATTTTTCACCTTAATAGATTTTCTCAATGTTTGTAAAGTTACCATGGTGGAACACTTCCTTTATGGCGGTAAAAATATATAGAATAGAATTTTGTATATCACAAACTGTAAGTAATTTAATGGCTACACTACCATCTTTATAAGACAAGAGACCAGTGTGAAATGTCAAAAACAAATGGTTGTGTTCTGAATTTTGTGTTCTGAGTTTAGAAAAGTTGTCTGTAAAGCAGTCATGATTGCATATCCTATATTTATCAGCAGTTCCACGTACTTCACCGTTTATGGTTCATAGTGAGAGTTGATGGAGATAGAATTATTGTCTATTTTGTCTACAGGGTTCAAAAATTTATTCATTGTAATAACCACCTCTTTGTGATCTTTCAGACCCAGGCCAGTGCTATGTTGGTGCATATGCTGAATAAAGATGTGGTGGGTATTGCTAGCTTACTTGTCTAAGCAATAGACAACATTATGTCTTGTCACGTTTCACAACACCTGTATTTCTCTCTATTGTAATAGGTCAACAGTTTCCACAATGTAACACTTTTGTTTCATGTAGAGTATAAACTTTATCTATTTTACAACAAAGGAAGCTATCAGCTACTATTAATCATCACTCTTGTTGACCTGGATGAAATGTGTAGAGGGGGTCATACTGTGGGAGGAAACTGGATCACTCGGAGAGGGGGGGGTGTGTGGAGGAACCCACATGGTCGGGCCGGTGACCCCATACCTTTTCACGACCATTCAGGGATTCAAACCTGGAAGGCTAGGTGAAAGGAGAGTGTGTTACCACTGCATCACAGCTCTACATGTTTGATAAAACAATGTTTATGGTATATGAAGGACTACATTAATTAAATGTTGCATAATAATTAAAAAGAGTATGTTGCACTTTTAATGGTCAATATTTTCTTCCCAATAACTTTACATATTTTGATGAACTTGGTCAGATTTAATAACAAAGAAAAGAATTAGTTCAAATTTCAGCAGAATTTTTCTCCAATTTAGTCAAGCAAAACATGTGTAGTGGAATTGTCTAAATTACTTTTATGATATCATTTTGCAAATCGATTTATGGATATAGATTATAGGAGGCTGTCTCCATACTGTTAGATTTTTAGGTCATCTGACCCGAAGGGTCCGATGACCTATAGTCATCATGCTTCGTCCGTCGTCGTCCGCCGTGCGCCGTCCGTAAACTTTTCATTCAAACGACTTCTTCTCAAATACTAGAAGGTCTAGGGGGCTAATACTTGGCACAGAGGATACTGGCATGGAGCTCTACCAAGTTTGTTCAAATGAATGACCTTGACCCACTTTAAAGGTCACAGGGGTCAAATATGTTAAAATCTTTAAACAACTTCTTCTCATTAACCAAAAGGCTCAGAGTGTAGATATTGGGCCTGTGACATGCTGGGATAAAGTGCTACTAAGTTTGTTCAAGTGAATGACCTTGACCTACGTTCAAGGTCACAGGGGCCAAATATGTTGAAATCTTTAAACGACTTCTCCTCAATAACCAAAAGGCTCAGATTGCTGATATTGTGCCTGTGGCATGCTGGGATGAAGGGCTATCAAGTTTGTTCAAATGAATGACCTTGAACAACTTTCAATGTCACAGGGGTCAAATATGTTAAAATCTTTAAATAACTTCTTCTCAAATACTAGAAGGCCTAGGGGGCTAATACTTGGCCCATAGCATGCTGGCATGGAGCCCTACAAAGTTTGTTCAAATGAATGACCTTGGCCCACTTTCAAGGTCACAGGGGTCAAATATGTTAAAATATACAAAGGACTTCATCTCAATAAGCAAAAGTCTATGAGTGCCGATATTGGGTCTGTAGCATGCTGGGAGGAAAGGCTACCAAGTTTATTCAAATGAATGACCTCGACCCACTTTCAAGGTCACAGGGGTCAAATATGTTAAAATATACAAACGACTTCTTCTCAACAAGCAAAAGTCCATGAGTGCTGATATTGGGCCCGTAAGATGCTTGGAGGAGAGGCTACCAAGTTTGTTCAAATGAATGACCTTGACCCACTTTAAAGGTCACAGGTGTCAAATGTCTTAAAATCTTCAAACAACTTTTTGTCAATAACCAAAAGGCTTAGGCAACTAATATTGGGCCTGAAGCATGCTGGGGTGAAGGGCTACCAAGTTTGTTCAAATGAATGACCTTGACCTTCATTCAAGGTTACAGGAGTCAAATGTCGTAAAATCTTCAAATGACTTCTTCTCAATAATCGGAAGGCCCAGGCAACTAATATTAGGCCTGTAGCATGCTGGGATGAAGGGCTACCAAGTTTTATTCAAGGTCACAGAGGTCAAATGTGTTAAAGTCTTCAAACGATTTGTTCTCAATAATCAAAAGGCTCAGGCAACTAATATTGGGCCTTTAGTATGTTGGGATGAGACTTCACACATTTCTTCTGAATAATTAAAAGGCCCATGGTGCAGATATTTATCCTGTAGAATACTTTGATGAAGGTCTACCAAATTTGATAAAAGAAATGACATTTGTCCATTTACAAGGTCATAGGGGTCAAAAATATATTCAAAACCTCAACAAACTTCTAAATAACCAGAAGGCCCAGGGTGCAGATATTGGGCCTGTAGGATGTTGCGATGAATGTTTAAGTGAATTACATTGATCCTTTTGAAATTTGAAATCTTGTATTTTATGTCAGATGACCGTAAAGGCCCATGGGGCCTCTTGTTTTTTTAATTTTTAAAAGGGTATTTTTCTTAATTCAGCCGATGGATATGGTAGTAATGTAGTACATTTAATTACTTTCCTGCACTGAGTCAGGATGATGATAATTATGACACTTATGTTGTTTACAAGGTGCTATGTAACATTAGGTATATATATTTTTGTACTTTCCCTTTAACGTTGTTGGTGTCGTTTATGATTCAGGTAGAAAAGATAGGAGAGGAGGTATGGACAGAGTTTGTCACATCCACATTTACCACACTTACAAAGGTAGGAAACAGCTAGAGGTTGGAAAGAAAAAAAACATCATTTCTATAGATCAGTTTATATAAGAATGTTTGGCATAAAATACAATTGTAATATTATTTTGTCACTGCAGACACCTAGTTACATATATTAATAGCAATTTGGCAGTGCCTAACTCATCAGTAGATATTTTGTTTCTCCTCCAAAAGTAGTTAATGGTGAGGCCATTTAAGGAATATAAATAGTTAATTAACATTTTCTAGCAATACCCAGATCCAGCAGGGTAAGGAGATACCGTTTAGCCAGTTATTATCACAGGGATATTTTCACTATTTTGTTGTACGTTAAAAAAAAACCCCAAAATTATTCCATAAAATAATGAGACACATGTCTCATATTAGATGTTTACATTCAGATTCCAAAATGTTTATTTGTTATTATATAATTATTGTAAAATCACAATAAATTTGACCCATGAAAATTAACCAGCTGTATGGTATGTGATTATCTAATGAAGAAACTATTGTTATGTGCAGTTAACAAAGTCACATAATTTAACCATAGTAACGAGCAATAACTTCTTTATACAAATTCTAGCACTACTATTCTCACAATAAAGCATCAACTGTAACTATTTTTTCCAGGTCATTTGTAATACCACAAAGGAGAGCTATTTTGAAAAACTGATGCACAACATACTACAAATCCTCATCAAGATCTCTACTCTGGCAGGTTCAGCTCAGGTCAGTGTACAGCTGTTATACAAAAATCTGTATATAAGTGTTAATGTATTTGGGAATCCCTGCTCTATATATATTTCTTACTATGCTGGCAGGTTTAGCTCCTCAGGTCAGTGTACAGACGTTATACAGAAATCTGTATATAAGTGTTAATGTATTCGGGAATCCCTGCTCTATATATATATATTTTACTATGCTAGCAGGTTCAGCTCAGGTCAGTGTACAGATGTTATACAGAAATCTGTATGTAAGTGTTAATGTATTCGGGAATCCCTGCTCTATATATATATATTTTACTATGCTAGCAGGTTCAGCTCAGGTCAGTGTACAGATGTTATACAGAAATCTGTATGTAAGTGTTAATGTATTCGGGAATCCCTGCTCTTTATATATATTTTACTTCTCCTCATCAAGATCTCTACACTGGCAGGTTTAGCTCCTCAGGTCAGTGTACAGATGTTATACAGAAATCTGTGTGTAAGTTACTGTATTCCGGAGTCTCTGCTGCATATATATATAGCTTAGAGATGGATGTGTGGTCACTAAATATCCTTTTATTTTCAGGGTTGTGTTTTGTCAACAGAAGCTCAGAAACATCTAACTGATCTACTGCCACGCTGTAGCAAAGAAAATCGTCGCCTGGCTCGCATATTACTGAGGAAAGCAAACCCAGATTTTGAAATGGAGTCAAGGTATATTTGTTTTTCAGCTGTATTTCCTTCTGATACTATTTCATGTAGCCTTAATCGGTTTTCAGAAAATGAGAGATCAATAAAATTTTTATGAAATTTCATACAAGTAATACTAATGTTGGTCTGTGGAAACCAGATGAAGGTCAAGGTTGTCCATTCAAGGTCAAGGTCACTGCTGTACAGGCTGATTTCAATATAAGATCCTTACTTGTCTCAACTTAATTTCATAAACATTTCAAGTTATTCCAAAAGGTGATGAGTTTAAAGTCAAGATCACATTTAAAGAATCTTGAAATGATAGTTTCGTTCAGATTTTGTAAAATCTGTTACTTTCAATCAACAACTTTAACATTTTAAATTCTAATCTGTAACAAACATATGTAAAACAGATTTACAATTTAAAGATTTGTAGCTATTTCAAAAGTAGCAACATTGTTTTTTGGAAAAATAATTAACAAATTTATTCTTAATGTATTTTTGTTTACTATTCAGTGGAAAAAATGATGGGTCGAAAAAGAAGAAAAGAAAAAGGAAACAAAGAAATGAAAAATCAGCAGAAAAAATTAATGATAATGAACTGAAAGGAGGTGAAGATTTGCCTGCGGTGAAAAAAGCAAAGAAAGAGGAAGACGATGAAAATTCAGCTAAAAAGGTAAAGAAAGCAAAGAAGAAGAAAGAAGTTGAAAATTCACCTAAAAAAGTGAAGAAAGCAAAGAAAGAAAAATGTGAGGAAGAAAAATTACTGGTGACAGAGTAAATGGATGTAACAAGGTGATGTGCAGTGTTCTGACAGATGTATTAGGAGTGTGATATTTACTGTTCACCCTAAAACCTCAATTTTAAGTATTTGTGGATTCAGATCAGATTTTAATGTTTTTACTTAAGGGGATATGTGCCTTTTGAATTGAGGTAAATTTTACAATGAATATTTTATTTGTTGAATATAAACTTAAATAATACATGTTCAATGTACAATATATCATTACATTGTTTTTATTTAGGAATTGTTATGTGTAGAGTTCTCACATGTGAAGTAAAGTCTGAAGTATTGAAAAGGGTTCCATTACCTGTTACACAAAATACTTCAGAATTACTAGAATAAAACCTGGTTATAATGCTGTAACACAGAGTCACGTCCTTACTTGTTAATTTCTACTAGAGGTCATCAATTAAGGCGGAACGTTATTATTGTTGAATGATTTATTAATGTTTCATCAGTATGATGTAGACCATGTGTAGATTGCTCCCTTATGTACTCATCATCATATGATATATAGACTATACAACAGGGTACTGATACTGTACCCTAAGCCTCTCAGTCTGTCTGAAGACAGCATGGATCATACAGGTGTTCCTTACTGTATCCTACACCTCTCAGTCTGTCTGAAGACAGCATGTATCATACAGGTGTTCCTTACTGTACCCTAAGCCTCTCAGCCTGTCAGAAGACAGCATGGATCAAACAGGTGTTCCTTACTGTACACTACACCTCTCAGTCTGTCTGAAGATAGCATGGATCATACAGGTGTTCCTTACTGTATCCTACACCTCTCAGTCTGTCTGAAGACAGCATGGATCATACAGGTGTTCCTTACTGTACCCTAAGCCTCTCGGTCTGTCTGAAGACAGCATGGATCATACAGGTGTTCCTTACTGTATCCTACACCTCTCAGTCTGTCTGAAGACAGCATGGATCAAACAGGTGTTCCTTACTGTACACTACACCTCTCAGTCTGTCTGAAGATAGCATGGATCATACAGGTGTTCCTTACTGTACCCTAAGCCTCTCAGTCTGTCTGAAGACAGCATGGATCATACAGGTGTTCCTTACTGTATCCTACACCTCTCAGTCTGTCTGAAGACAGCATGTATCATACAGGTGTTCCTTACTGTACCCTAAGCCTCTCAGCCTGTCAGAAGACAGCATGGATCATACAGGTGTTCCTTACTGTATCCTACACCTCTCAGTATGTCTGAAGACAGCATGGATCAAACAGGTGTTCCTTACTGTACACTACACCTCTCAGTCTGTCTGAAGATAGCATGGATCATACAGGTGTTCCTTACTGTACCCTAAGCCTCTCAGTCTGTCTGAAGACAGCATGGATCATACAGGTGTTCCTTACTGTATCCTACACCTCTCAGTCTGTCTGAAGACAGCATGTATCATACAGGTGTTCCTTACTGTACCCTAAGCCTCTCAGCCTGTCAGAAGACAGCATGGATCATACAGGTGTTCCTTACTGTACACTACACCTCTCAGTCTGTCTGAAGATAGCATGGATCATACAGGTGTTCCTTACTGTACCCTAAGCCTCTCAGTCTGTCTGAAGACAGCATGGATCATACAGGTGTTCCTTACTGTATCCTACACCTCTTAGTCTGTCTGAAGACAGCATGGATCATACAGGTGTTCCTTAATGTATTCCACACATCACAGTCTGTCTGAAGACAGCATGGATCATACAGGTGTTCCTTACCATAATTGTACCATACTGCTGGCTTGATATTGGTACTGGGTTAGTTCCCATCAAGTGTATGAGAGTGTGTGAATTTGGTATGTTGTTCCATTTGGTATTGATTGTGTACTTTCCCAGTAGATTTTACAGTTTGGAGGTATGTGAGCAATGAAAATATTATTGACCCTTTGTATAATGTATATAATATGCTGTTACAATAGGATTGTTTTATCAACTATTGTTGCATTCTGATAACACATACAAAAGTGTTGCTGTTGAACATGTACATTCAATACAGAAATAAATTTTCCATCATATGTTTATATTGTAGTAATCTCTGAAGCAATATGGTCCGTCATTTTATAATACAAAAGGGCCATGGCCCTTAATAGCCATCTGACAATTGACAAATGGATGAACAAACCACAGAATTTGCTGATGGTGGTCTGACAAATTTGATGAATTCAAATTGTGAACATTCCTTGAAAGTATCAGAAACTCATTAACGGTAGGTTCTGTTCATGAAAAACAGTTGCATAGTCATGTTACAAAACGGTTACTATAGTGACCATGTTGAAGTTTTAATCAGGCTGAAAAACAACAAATCATTTCTTTCTTTTCCTAAATACACTCCAAATATTTTTCTCATTTGCGCAAGTGAAACTTGTGTCGTCGTCGTTCAGACTATTTGTTCTAGATAAGTTATGTTGGATTATGGACCAAAGTGAAAAAGAGAATGTGGTCAGGACAATCTCTGTATCATTTTATTGATGTTTGATATCATCGCCACTCCCTGATAATGTTTCAGGCCAAATTAAGTTGAAATCTACCCAGGAACTGAAAAGGAGTAGCATTTTGGAGCAAAATATTCCCTTCTGAAGGCCCTGTCTTCAGGTTCCTATGGGTCGAATCTTCTTCCTGAATTTAAACATGATTCTCTACCCACAATAATGTTTAGTACCACATTTGGTTTAAATTCAGTCAAGCGTTAAGGACGAGCAGCATTTAAAAGCAACATTATTGACTAATTTTTTATTTTGGGACCCTGCCCCCAGGTCTCTAGGGGTCAAATCATCTTTTAAATATAAAAGAAATGCTAAACCCACCTGCAATAATGTTTTGGACCAAATTTGGATGAAATGTACCCTGGCATTAAGGAGTAGCATTTAAAACAAATTATTGTCTAACTTTCCCTTTTGGGGCCTCGGTCAGAAGTCCATAGGGGTCGAATCTACTTTCTGAATTTGAGCAATATTTGCCGACCCCAACTTATGTTGGTTGAAAGCCTCTAAGGCATTAAGCAGGAGTAGTGTTTTAAAGCAAAAGTTTATGGACAGCAAACAGCGCATGACGACAGACAATGCACGATAGCATTCGGTCATCTTGACCTTTCGGGTCAAATTACACAAAAATTATGTATCTTGAACTATACGTTGCTTATTTAGAAATAAGCCCATGCTTAATGATAAGTCCACAAACATTTATTGTAGTGAAATTACGGGTTCCTTTGGCTTACTAAAGGATGATTATTGTACGTGTATAAACAAGATGTCCAATGGGCCTGCATCAGCCACCTGGTGTTAACATACACAACTAATCCTGGTAAAAACAGAAAACAAAATCAGGGAATTGTATTAAAAAATGTGATTTTATTATTCAAAATAGGAATATGAAATTCTATTCCCCATAGACTATATTTGGGTAAAAATATGAAATCTGTGATTTTATTCTTAGAGACAAGCATATAACACAAATACAATTAACTTCATAAAAAAAATCCTAATGATTATTAAGTATCTATGAAAAACTGATTGAATTGGATTTGTTAAAAATATAAATTAACCGGTAAAGAGTAAAGTATTTGATTTCAAAATACAATTAACTTTGTGTAACTCCAAAGCACCACACTCTGTAACAATTGGTATGTAAATGAAGTGGAACAAGGATGATCTGTGAGGTTGGTGAAAATTTCCGTTTTAAAGTAGGCCTATTTCAGAACTTCAAACATCTCAAGATGTACACAGTTCACATATTCCTTACTTTTTTTATCAGAAAGTACATGTTTATGATGTGTTAATGAAAAGCACTTTTAAGCTTTAGAGACAAGGTTGCTTCATCCATCTGAAGGCGTAACAAGCAATCTATTGCGACCTTGCCAGTTCGTATACTCTATAACATATCTAATTTACTTCTAAAGCTTGTCAAGTATCACAATGAAATTTTATGACATCTTGCTTTAAAGAAAATGACAATGTATTAGGTTGGTAGTAATGACGGCAAGAGATATTAAATTGATCCATCTAGTTTCAACATTCAAATAATGTTGTGCTTGCAGCTTTGTAAGTACAAGTTAAACATGAACAAAGTCTACACGAAATCATTCGGCATTAATGTGAATCATGCACAACATATGAATTTTTATTTGGCCATTTCAATTTCTATTGTGGCAAGATACATCAATTTTTGTGTTCCAGAATAAAAATGATCATTAACAATTTGTTTCTAGCGAGTACAAGATAAAGATTAACCAAAGTTGGAAACATTGTAATCACTGATATTTAAGGTCTAAACTGGCATTCACTCTTCAAAGTCACAATAAATACTAAAGTTTAATGTTTTGGACAGGTGGCCATATTGACACCTAGATCATATCTTTGTTGTGCAATAACAGACACGTCATAACCTCACTGAAACACAAAATTGTTGATTACTAAGAATAAATTTGTGTTTTTTATATGACAACAAAATGCCTTAGTCAGTACAACACATCATGTGTTAAATAGAAAAAATGCAAAAATGAAAGACATTCACACACAATCATTACAGGTATAAAATACTCCTTATATACATGATATATAGGAATGAAATTAACCTGATCAACACAAACAATTTGTTTACAGCAATCACAACCCTAGAATAAGTGATATGTTATATATAGGCTCTGTACTAGCACACTTCGGCAGTGTCGGCATTAAGAATATGAAAATGAGAAAAAAGGAAATATGATAATGATAATTATTCTTGTATTCCATGTCGAGATTTTACAACTCCTGAGTGATGATTCGTCTCATGGTTATATAGATATAGAATGTCTATGGAATGATTATGAATATTCAATACTTTACACAAAACTGATCCTTTTTAAAGGTAGATAACTCCTCACAATACCATAATGACTAGGTTGTGATTCCGACTGGAATGAGCAGCTAGCAAAATATTATTAGAATATGCAATATATATATAATTTTTATGGTGTAATTATTTGTCATGGAAACTATAATTTATGCGTAGTACACATCAATACACTCCTATTCTTTTTCCACAATACAAAGCACTCTTTCAAATTACTAGATTATATACAGAATCTGTTGAATATTACCTTTATATTATTTTTCTCCAAAAAATGCATCTCTATGGTTGGACTTGTCCAAATAAAAAGACAAGTTATTTCACAGGACTTACAAGAAACCTGTACCTGTAATTTAGGATATTTAGAATATATTACAAAGATATACATCAATATATATAACTTCCGGTTTCAATACTGTTTCAGGAAACTTAAGTTTTATGCTTTTTTGGTTTTAAACACATATTACTATGTCCACTTATGAAGCTGATAAGATCAAGATTGTCTCCAATAAGGATACAAATCCCTGTCTAAATCAGAATTCACACGATGACCTGATGAACGAGGAACATAAATTTACGGTCCGATAATGAGAGTGAATTAGTTAGGTGACTTAAGAGATGATGCAGAGTGTTTATGTGATTAGTATTAGTTACACCTATATGAACTGAAACACCTGTATTTAGTGTACAGGTGTGTTAGCCTAGTATATATAGCTATAGCTAGCTACCTACCTGGAATATAGGCTTTGTTTCTCACACTAAATATATAAAAAGTATGCCTTCCTTCCAACATTGTACCTAGCCTGCTTACTAATAACACATAATTACACATAAATCAAGTCACATTATGTTAATGTATTCAATCGTTAATAAAAAAAATGATGATTCCGTCCTGTTAGACATGTTTGTAGTTATGACACGTTGGCAATACTGAGAAAATATTTAAACATCGGACCCGATATGATTTAAGCTGGCTAGTATCTGTTATGATAAAAATGTTTGGCTTTTAGAAGTGTTGGACTCTTACCTTATTGTGGGATTTGAATGTGTACACAGCAGAGCCAGTTAGCAGTATATTCTACATAATTATACTCTTTACGAGAGTTTAAAAAAAATTCAGACCACGATTTTGTCATATAGTGTTGCATAAGTTGTAACAACTGACAATGATGACTTGTTAGGAATAGAAAAACTATGAAACATAACCATCATATCATAAAAATAATTCATCACTATTCATTTTGCATATAATTAATTTCATTCAAATGATAAAATACATTTCAACAATCCATGTAACAAATATATGAAGATTTGGATACACAACAATCCATCCTCTGTGAACTAGGTCAGATTTCAACCTATTGTAGGTTTGAAAAATGTTATTGAGATATAATATCTTCCACCGAAATGATATCTCTTTAGTTTGAAAATAAAGTTGATCATATTTCATAAGCCCCTGCCTTGAGATAAACCCATTTATGTCAAATGTCAGACTTATTCAAGGAAAAATTTCCTGTTTTATGTAAAAAATCGTCTTTGAAAATGATGAAGAAAAACGCTTCACTTGATCCTTGGAGTGGAATGAGGCATGGTAACACATGAGCTGGCATGATCCATTTGTAAGGATTGTGTTCCAGGAAATATCAAAATCATACCAGGTAACTGTGGAAATGGAATTTTTCTGTTACTTCAATGGCCATTGAAAACAAGTGTCTTTTTTTCAACTGTTTTTGGCACAACAGAAAGAAAATAAAGCAGTTTTAAGCCACCTAATTTCTGTAAATCTGCAGAATCCTTTCTATATTTCTTCATACACTGCATTGAAAGCTGTGCACGTTGTCTGTGTTACTGAGCTTAATCAGAATCCTCATACTGGTTATACATATCAGCCAATTTAGCAAACTTGGGTCCCCAGTTGTTAAGGTAATCATAGTCTTGGTCGCCTCCACTGGACGATGTGTTGAGCGAGCTAAGAGAACCAGCTGAGCTGCCACCTCCCTCGTAGTTCAACTCCATAAGTGTGTCATACGGGGGAGCTCCGGGATCATCGTCAGCATCTCCGAGTCGATCACCAATGAACTCTCCAATACCAGGACCTTGTGGAGGACCAGCTGTAAGGACATATCAAGTTATATTACAGTTCTTCTTAATCTCTAGAGACTATTTAGATAAATATAAATACTTACATACTTCAGAGTAGCAAGTCTATTACTTGACTTTTATCATCTCTTTTATTAACTCTTTTTAAAACAAAATAAAATAAAAAAAATTTCCCTCTTTTTCATTTCTGATACTGGTAGAAAACAAAACATTTATTTCATTAAATTCACCTTTTAATAGCTTATTTTATACCACCGTATTAAAACTGTATTTAGATTGTCTCCCTTTGCTCAAGTTTTTAGTTACTTTGCACAATTATGATTAAGGAAACACAACAAATCTTTTAACATGCTTTCCTCAAGTTCAAATAAGCCTTCGTTTTCAAACAGTATAAATGTTACATTTTTAAAGAGCAGCTCAGTCTGACACTCCTCATGTGTATCAATTTTCTTCCAAGAATGGTCATTATATTTTAGATAACACTATCATCTTCATAGAGTTACAAAATTGAATTGCCTCCATTTTGATTACAAGAAGTGTCAACAGGATTATGTTTTAGTATTCCTACTCACATTTCACGGGTCTCTCATTTTCCATGTTCATTAGGGGTTTATCAGCTCTGGACATGTCCATGGGCTTCCGTAGTCTGTTAAGGTCATACCCCTCATGGTCTTCTTCACCTAGATAAATAAATGTCAATGTAGTCACTGTGCATATGTATAAAGCTTTTAATTACATTTATTTCATATGAATTTTGTAGTCTTTACAGTTAAAAACCCTGCTGAGATTTATTTGCACCACCCCAGACATAGCAATATTTTTCCTGTTTTCCTACCTTCAAATGTATTTGCATCTTCCATTATAATATAATACCAAACTCTCAAAAACTTACCTGCACTCTCCTTATCAAAAGCCAACATATTCTAATAACCTTTAGACTGACCTGCACAGCCCTCCTCATTATCTGCCATATTCTGACATCCTTTAGACTTACCTGCACCATCCTCATCATTATCTAAAATATTCTGATATCTTTTAGACATACCTGCACCTTCCTCATCATAAGCCACAATATTTTCCCTAATGTCGTAATCCTCCTTCTCATCCTCTACTAAGTTAGCCATGTCATCATTGCCAGCACAACGTTTGTACAGCAGGAACAAAACAAACGCAATGATAAGTACTGAAAAAGGAAGTATACATACATGTACTTTTAATTAATCCTGTGTCTACAGCAAACTATATCCATAAATTAAATCATCAGTCTTATGCTACAACCTTTCATTGCTGACACAATACTGGATTGAGATCATTCAGTGATTATAGACTTAGTGAATCAGGACTTAAATGCGGTATTTGGGAACATTTAACACCAAACATTTTATTCGAAATCAGGCTATGATAATAAATAAAGTCAAAAGGCTCTCTAGAAGATACAAAGGAATATTTTGACTCCAAGTCTGAGACTTTTGTAGGAAATATGCCTATATATTTGGACTCTTAAGCATTAAGGTTCTATAGAAGAAGATACCCAGATAAGTTGACGTGGACCTTGGTTCTTAATTATCACTTCTGGCAGAGGATAGATCTGACAGTTCTGTTTAAAATGATATTGAACTTTTCAAAGTCTTACCTAGGACCACAGCAACAATGATACCAACTATGAGTCCAACATTAGTACCACCTGCTGGCACAACCTCAACAATGGCTTGCAGGTTGCATCGCTTGCCCTTCCAGCCCTCAGGACAGTCACAGATAAAGGTGCCGTTTCCATTTCTACAAGTAGCGGAGCCCATGCACGGACTGTCCAGACAGTAGTTGATATCTACGCAGGTGTTGCCCACTTCCACCTTCCCACTAGGACATCTGTTACATACAAATAGATATATGATTTCCACCACAACACGTTGTGTTACTCCACTCTCAGATCATTTTGTAAATGTGCTGACAGTAGGATAAATGTATGATATATAAGATAATAAAATATAAAATTTTTGTAATAATTTTATTTTTATATGGATTAATTCCCATCAATTAAAAATCTTGCTTTGAAAATGACAAACCTATTTATCTAAAGACTCACCTTTCACTTTGTTTGGTGGATTAGATCATAAATACAGTGCAGCACAAGGTCAACTGCATTAACACAAAGCGATTTCAAACAATTTACAATTTTGTAAGGCCAACGCCCACTGTATCAAGTTGTTTGCTCTGTAATTATGAAGACTGGCATACTCACATGCATTTGTATGCCTCCCACAGGCCCTTACAGACAAAGGTAGCTGGGCAGGACACTCCCACACAATCATTTCTGACACAGTTATTCTGAACTGATATACGTCTGTCAAGGTTAACAAGGGTGTTTTCACTGGATTCTGCAGTTGTCATGGGGAACCATGCAGTTTCAAGCCGAATGTCATTGTAACAGGCTGCAACAGAGCATTTAATTATATATTACACTTCTTAACACAACATTTACATACAAGCTTCCCATACACTGTAGAGCTCTGATAAAGAGACTTTCAGAACTCTTTTATGTAGACATAACCAACAACACCAAGGTGTTTTAGCAAAATTTTGACTGAATCCAGACTGTTATCAGATGTATATGTTAGTCACCTGATGGTGAAGTAATATCTACTCACAGCTGTTGAAATCTTTGCCATCAAATGTTCCAGTTGTGTCTAAATTGTCATCATATAGCAATTCAGCTCCAGCATAGATCTGTCTTTGTAACAGAGTAATCTCCCCCTGACTATTTAATGGGCCAGATGACGTGACATAGTTTAGTCCTTCTCCACCATCTACGGCCATCACAAAGGTCCTGCTGACACGCTTGATGTTGACTGTGTGCCATCGCCCGTTACTTGCTTCCACCCCAGGCATGGCCAGTGACCCTTGATCTCCACCAAGGTTGTAAACCAACATCAGCTCATTATTGATGATCTGGGGAAACCAAACAGCAATATATCAAAAAAATTGTATCACTTTGGCAATACATCAATGCCTGACCCTTATTGCTGACAATATAAGCTTAAAGTTTCAGAATTATTGTGAAATAAAGTTAACATTTATTTTTATCTATTGCTGATAAACAGAAACAGCAACAAATGCTATTTCATATCCTGTGATATCATCTCTTCCCATTGATAAGTTAAATTACATTTTTGTGTAAATGACTTTCTAAATGGCTTCTCTCGGGAAAAAAACGGATACCCATTTTGTTTAAGAATTGCCTATATTATTCTTCTGCTTGGAAAACTAGTAGATGAGAAAAAGTTGCTATCATGTTAAATGTATAAAAAAAAGTACTTAATTTAGTAATTTTTCTGTTGTTGTTTCAGAATAATTCCCTTACCTGTAATCTGATAAACTTGTCGGCCTCTGACGAAGTCAAGTGGAAAAGGATACCTTCCTGATCTCTTGAGCGATACATCATCTGTAGTTCAGTTTCCTTGACTGACAACTGATTAGCAAACGATTCAACTAATGACCACTCCATGAAACTGTTAGCACCAAAATCCACGGTGGTTGTAACTGAAAAAGAACAATACCTACATATTAATTGACAAATATATTTTTCATATGATTCCACTATTATTTAATCAGGACACATTTACTTCTTGAAAAAAACCCAACTCATACTCGATAGAAAAGAGAAGACAAAAGCAAAGCGAGTGATGACACACTTAAACATACCCGCCCCACCCCCGCCCCACCATATCCCCCCAATTCCATCCCCAACCTTGATTGATAACAACCAAAATCTAATCAGGCGTAGACCTTAGTGGGGTGATGCAATGCAAAATAAATCTGTCCATAGGTTCATGAGATGTCATGAACACACAGTCATCATGGACCCACACAGATGCACATACACACACATGCAGGGACATACAAAGTGTATTTCATATAAGTCTCCCTCAACCTGTTGTATATGGTTTTCATTGTATCAATATTGTGGCAAAATACAAGATATGAAAGACGTCTTCATCATAATTACATTTCTTATATGCTTTGGTAAATGTTCAACATTTATCTTCATCAAAGCTAGGTAAAGTACAACATTTATCAGACATTTTCATCACAGCTTGGTAAAGTACAACATTTATCTGACATCTTCATCACAGCTTGGTAAAGTACAACATTTATCTGACATCTTCATCACAGCTTGGTAAAGTACAACATTTATCTGACATCTTCATCAAAGCTTGGTAAAGTACAACATTTATCAGACATCTTCATCAAAGCTAGGTAAAGTACAACATTTATCTGACATCTTCATCACAGCTTGGTAAAGTACAACATTTATCAGACATCTTCATCACAGCTGGGATAAGTACAACATTTATCTGACATCTTCATCACAGCTGGGATAAGTAAAACATTTATCAGACATATTCATCACAGCTGGGATAAGTACAGCATTTATCTGACATCTTCATCACAGCTGGGATAAGTAAAACATTTATCAGACATATTCATCACAGCTGGGATAAGTACAACATTTATCAGACATCATCATCACAGCTGGGATAAGTACAGCATTTATCTGACATCTTCATCACAGCTGGGATAAGTACAACATTTATCAGACATCTTCATCACAGCTGGGATAAGTACAGCATTTATCTGACATCTTCATCACAGCTGGGATAAGTACAGCATTTATCAGAAATCTTCATCAAAGCTGGGTAAAGCACAGCATTTATCAGACATCTTCATCAAAGCTGAGTAAAGCACAGCATTTATCAGACATCTTCATCAAAGCTGAGAAAAGTACAGCATTTATCAGAAATCTTCATCACAGCTGAGTAAAGTACAGCATTTATCAGACATCTTAATCAGAGCTGGGTAAAGTACAGCATTTATCAGACATTTTCATCAAAGCTGGGATAAGTACAACATTTATCAGACATATTCATCACAGCTGGGATAAGTACAGCATTATCTGACATCTTCATCACAGCTGGGATAAGTAAAACATTTATCAGACAAATTCATCACAGCTGGGATAAGTACAGCATTTATCAGACATCTTCATCAAAGCTGGGTAACATACAGCATTTATCAGATATCTTCATCATGGCTGGGTTAACACTAGTAAACCATAGGTCCAGGGTGTAATGTTGTACCAAACATACCCTCTGCATGAATATATGAACTGCACCTTTATACTGAAGATATACAGTATGTGCACAAAAACGAGCTTATTGCGGTCATTCACCAGAAGTTTTTGACAGCAAGTATTGTGTACATGACTAAAAGTCAAATGAATACAATAATTACTTACTGCAACTGAGGTATGTATGTGCCTGCTTCCGGAAGGATTCTAACGGTGAGTGACATACACGACCATTTTGATTTGCCACTTTCTCGTGTAGTCCCGTTTCTACTCACGGACGCTCTCAAACACGCATACTTACCTTTATTAACATGGGAATATTTAAAACCGATATGCCCACAGGTGAATGACAGAACAATGTACACTTCAAAGTTATTACACATATAACAAAACAACATATACAACAGTCCTGAATCTATATGCGATCCTGATACAGGGTTTGAGTATTCGAAGAGGTGATGAAATAAAGAATGACCTCTGTTACACTTGCACCCATTTGGGGATGCAGGAATAATACTTGGCCATGCCTTATCAGCTGTGCTGACAACCTAGAAACTCGAGGACAAGTTCCTTCCTGCAGGATAATTTATGTAACCCTGGTAATTAACCCTGGTAATGTACAACTTGGTTTGAGAGATCTGCTATTTAGCTTGATCAGTTGATCATGGGACTAGTAAACTCCAGCTGTCACATTCAAATCCTAGCAGAGGCAATGGGATATTGACACCTTTCACATGATAATGATTGACACAGACAACCAGTTGGCTGAGTTCCAAATCTTTTTTCTTGGCACATGAAAGGAGTCTGCAATACCACTATTACATTAAATATATGACTTCCTAATGACAGCTGGAATGATGGTGCTGTGCTCAGAGTCACAGGTAGGGGACAAGTGACAGGAAAAGAATGCACACTGGCGACATTGTTTGTCAAGCCAGCCCAATTACATTCATCAAATCTGTCTAGTTGTGTTGTAGCTTGAATTAGTACAACATTTATCAAATATCTCAATGTAGCTTGATTTAGTACAACATTTATCATATATCTTAATGTAGCTTGATTTAGTACAACATTTATCATATATCTTAATGTAGCTTGATTTAGTACAACATTTATCAAATATCTCAATGTAACTTGATTTAGTACAACATTTATCATATATCTTAATGTATTGATTTAGTACAACATTTATCAAATATCTCAATGTAGCTTGATTTAGTACAACATTTATCATATATCTTAATGTAGCTTGATTTAGTACAACATTTATCAAATATCTTAATTGTAGCTTGATTTAGTACATTTATTAAATATCTTCATAAAAGCAAGTTCTAATATCCAAATATTCGTTAGAAGCCCTTCCAGAGAAGTGAAATCAAAATTAGGAGTCTTACCTGTACCACAGTTATCTCCACGGTAACCACCATCACAGATACACTCAGTGGTCTTGGGCGTAACAGAAATGTCAGTGACACGACATTCTCCATGGTCACCACATTTGTTCCCACAGGCTTCGTCTTCCTCTGGGCAGCTGTCTGTGGTCCCATCATACACACCTCCCGTGTGAAGGTCATATAACTGCAAGGTCACAATATACAATAACATAATTACAATACTAAAGGTTTCCATCAATGAAAACAAGGGTACTGCTGCATGGTGAAACGACCTATCTCACCCATGCTAAAGTGAATTGTATTATTGCATAAATTCTAAATCATATATCAATCTGTATATAAATACATGGACAAGCAACAAATAATTAAAACATGTCCCTAGAGATGGAAAACTGAGAGAGATCTTCAGACAAGATTGAAATGATGTGAAAAGGGAAATAAATCTTGTAACATATTGTTTAATATAAATGAAAACACAACATTATTTCCTTTCTAAAACAATTAGTCATATAATGAGAGAGGTGGGGTCAATACAAGATCACCATGATAGAAAAAAAAAGGACATTACTGTTCCAAAATTTTCATATATCAAAATTCTAAACCACGTTTTGCTATATTCACAAAGCCAAATGAGTCAAAAACGGAGAGGAGATTTTCCGTCAAACATTTTGTCAAGCTCACAAACAATCAATTCTGTTTACCTCTCCTTTATGTCGTAGATTCCTCATACATCCAGAAAACTTTGCTGCAGTGACACCCTGTGGTGTTTGGAGTGTTGATGGAGATGTTCCTCCCATCTGAAGTGGTGTGTTGATGTTGAGGTACATATGTGTGCTCTTGGTATAGCCAGTCATTTCACAGCTACTTCTGTCTGTACCCGAGGCTGTTCGACAGTGGTCCACTGTCAGAGTGATCATCTGTAAACATTTACATACACATCCACTGTCACGGTGATCCTCTATAAACATTTATACATACAGTCCATCGTCACGGTGATCCTCTATAAACATTTATACGTACAGTCCACCGTCACGGTGATCCTCTATAAACATTTATACGTACAGTCCACCGTCACGGTGATCCTCTATAAACATTTATACGTACAGTCCACCGTCACGGTGATCCTCTATAAACATTTATACGTACAGTCCACCGTCACGGTGATCCTCTATAAACATTTATACGTACAGTCCACCGTCACGGTGATCCTCTATAAACATTTATACGTACAGTCCATCGTCACGGTGATCCTCTATAAACATTTATACGTACAGTCCACCGTCACGGTGATCCTCTATAAACATTTATACGTACAGTCCACCGTCACGGTGATCCTCTATAAACATTTATACGTACAGTCCACCGTCACGGTGATCCTCTATAAACATTTATACGTTCAGTCCACGGTCACGGTGATCCTCTATAAACATTTATACGTACAGTCCACCGTCACGGTGATCCTCTATAAACATTTATACGTACAGTCCATCGTCACCCTGATCCTCTATAAACATTTATACGTTCAGTCCATCGTCACGGTGATCCTCTATAAACATTTATATTCTTTTAACCTACATCTTTAAGTGCAATCTTAGTACATTGCTTTACAATTTGAAAGTATGAAATATAATTGTGCTAATTGCTCTTTATGTAAACTACTTTCATAGAAATGTTTACCGATGGTTGTTATCATCAGGTTAATTATCTACAAACATCAATAGGCAAAAGTCAAACCAATATGTTATCTGTATATCCAAGCATTGTATGTTTTTATAAACTGTTGTCTCTGGTTACATTAATTTTAATAAAAGTCAAATGTATTGCATCAATTTACTACAATATCTGAAATAATGGAAAATTAAGTATAATGATGTATTATAAGACGTAGAGAAGCCTACTTTTCCATCCTTGATGATGTTGATGTGATGCCACTTGCCATCGCTGAGTGTACTAGCTCCAGTGCCATCAAGGTACAAAGTCAGTGCACCTGTACCAAGATCAACTGTGAGCTCAGGATAGCCATTCCTAAGTTGTAGGACGATGTAGTCGGTAGGATCAGTGTAGGACAATGCTGTTAGGGGCCCATTGTATAGGATAAGTCCATTGGCATTCTGCGTGATAAACTCTATACTAGTCTCCCACCTGAGGCACTGTTCCAGGGGTTTGAACAGAGCATAACCACTTCCTGAGAAACCTTTCTTGGTGTTTTGACATCGTGGACCATCAAATGAGGCTGTACACACACATCTACAATACAATAATTTTCTTTGTTTATCAAATTTCTCTGATTCATTCTCGTGGGCTCAAGTCATATATCCTCCATCTTTCATCTAGAGTGTCTTTACTACCCAAAAGTATTGATCTGAACAAAGAGACAACTTAAACTGTTAACCTGGACATTCACTACAAGAAATTTTCTCTTGTTTTCTCAGCTTTTCACGTTTCATATCTTTTTTATTTCACTTGTCTTAAGTTTTTAAATATTGAAAACCATAAACGATTCTGAGTTTGTAATTCAATTCTTAAGCATGAAGAATGAAGATAAAGACGTACGTGAGTATTCCGTAGTCATCTTTGACACATTGGCCATCGTTGAAGCAATAATCTGGGGTACACTCTGTCTGACTGACAGGCACACGACAGCCACATTGTGGAACCACACCAGAGACCACACCCACTTTGGTGTCGGTGCCTGCATTCACCACATTGGGGCTTTCTTCAACAACCAATTTGTCCCAGCAGCCTCCTTCACAGGACTCTTGCAGGCACTCTGACACACCCACTGTCTCTATCTTACCACCAGAAGCAGTTTCAAACTGTGATAGATGTATAACATTTTTGTTAGAATGAAGAACAACACAAGTTTCCATATATCATACAATCTGCTATTAAAACACATTTCTACACTTTTTTTTAAAATCATCCAATTATTTCAATCAGTGATATATTGAGAGGAATAAAAAAAAATATGAAAGAAAAATGAAACATATGCAAAATGGATTATTATGGTAAAAACTTTAAGTCCTATAATGAAAGTGTAACTCAAAGTAACACATCTTTTATGACAACTGAACATGATTCAAGGAGAAAGGTCACCATACCTCATTTTTGTTGTCCGTGACTATTCCATTGAGTCGTGCACTTGTATAGTATGGAGATCCATGGGCAGCAAAGCGTATTTCTAAAAGATCCACTTTATCTAGCATGGTAACTATTTGTACATTGTCAACAGGTTTGCCTAGTTTTTCAGCCATCTTTTCACGGAAGAGTCTATAATGACTTTTACCATCATTTCCAGGTGGAGTACTGATAAATTCCTTAGCAGTGATTCCTGAAAAAGAGTTGATGAGAAAATTCACTACATGTTCATACAAATAATGGTTTGGAGAGATATTTTTTCAAGGATCACACATGAAAAGTAAGAATGTCCACGTTTCAGCCATCATCCTTGTAAAATTAGGATGTTCTTGTTTCAGCCATCATCCTTGTAAAATTAGGATGTTCTTGTTTCAGCCATCATCCTTGTAAAATAAGGATGTTCTTGTTTCAGCCATCATCCTTGTAAAATTAGGATGTTCTTGTTTCAGCCATCATCCTTGTAAAATTAGGATGTTCTTGTTTCAGCCATCATCCTTGTAAAATTAGGATGTTCTTGTTTCAGCTATCATCCTTATAAAATTAGGATGTTCTTGTTTCAGCTATCATCCTTATAAAGTCAGAATGACCAATATTTCAGGGACCATCCTTGTTAAGTTAAGATGTCCCATGTTTCAGGAACCATCCCTGTAATGTGAGGATGTTCCATGATACAGGAACCATCCCTGTAATGTGAGGATGTTCCATGATACAGAAACCATCCCTGTAATGTGAGGATGTTCCATGTTACAGAAACCATCCCTGTAATGTGAGGATGTTCCAAGATACAGAAACCATCCCTGTAATGTGAGGATGTTCCATGATACAGGAACCATCCCTGTAATGTGAGGATGTTCCATGATACAGAAACCATCCCTGTAATGTGAGGATGTTCCATGATACAGGAAACATTCCTGTAATGTGTGGATGTTCCATGATACAGGAACCATCCCTGTAATGTGAGGATGTTCCATGTTTCAGAAACCATTCCTGTAATGTGAGGATGTTCCATGATACAGGAACCATCCCTGTAATGAGAGGATGTTCCATGTTTCAGAAACCATCCCTGTAATGTGAGGATGTTCCATGTTACAGAAACCATCCCTGTAATGTGAGGATGTTCCATGATACAGAAACCATCCCTGTAAAGTGAGGATGTTCCATGTTACAGGAACCATTCCTGTAATGAGAGGATGTTCCATGTTTCAGAAACCATCCCTGTAATGTGAGGATGTTCCATGTTACAGAAACCATCCCTGTAATGTGAGAAACCATCCCTGTAAAGTGAGGATGTTCCATGATACAGAAACCACCCCTGTAATGTGAGGATGTTCCATGATACAGGAACCATCCCTGTAATGTGAGGATGTTCCATGTTTCAGAAACCATCCCTGTAATGTGAGGATGTTCCATGTTTCAGAAACCATCCCTGTAATGTGAGGATGTCCATGTTTCAGACCACCCCTGTAATGTGAGGATGTTCCATGTTACAGAAACCATCCCTGTAATGTGAGGATGTTCCATTATACAGAAACCATCCCTGTAATGTGAGGATGTTCCATGTTACAGACCACCCCTGTAATGTGAGGATGTTCCATGTTTCAGACCACCCCTGTAATGTGAGGATGCTCCATATTTCAGACCACCCCTGTAATGTGAGGATGCTCCATGTTTCAGACCACAACTGTAGATGTAGGATGCTCCATGTTACAGACCACCCCTGTAATGTGAGGATGTTCCATGTTTCAGACCACCCCTGTAATGTGAGGATGTTCCATGTTTCAGACCACAACTGTAGATGTAGGATGCTCCATGTTACAGACCACCCCTGTAATGTGAGGATGTTCCATGTTTCAGACCACCCCTGTAATGTGAGGATGTTCCATGTTTCAGACCACAACTGTAGATGTAGGTTAGTCCACTTACATGTTATTATATGCATATCATTCAGTGTAATAAGGTATACTAACCACTTAATCTGATAGAGCCCGCCTTGTAGGGGGCCTCAGCATCAAGCTCCTCCAGTGTTACTGTAACTGTTGTGGTGGAGACAACTGTGGTGACCACACCATTTATTTTGACGTTTGTGTCCTCCACAGTTACTTTGAAATCAAATGTGCCATATGGAACATTTGATAATATCACAATATCACCATTCAACTCGACTCTGTATAAAAGAAATCAAGAGATACTTAAATATCAGTCAAAGTCATTTCTTTTCGCAAGTTTTGTCAGGCAGTATCCTAGGAATATAACAGGTAAATATTTTTTCTCTAGGCCTTTAAGTTCATGAGAAGAAGTCATTTAAATGTTTTAACAAATTTGACCCTGTGACCTTGAATATACGTCAATGTCATTTGTTTTGGACAGTATTATTGGAATTCATCCTAGGACTACATTAGCCAACTATCATGCCTCTAGGTGTTATAGTTCATGACAAGAAGTCATTTAAAGGTTTTAACTTATAATCAGCAGTGGCAGACAGGTAACTAGATGTCCATTACGAATGATATGTTTCTTTATCTAACCCTTCTAGTCCTTTATAGTTACCTCACATAGAAATCTGTATAGTCTGATACTTTAGAAAAGGTTTTAGTAGCTCTGTCCTCATCTCCATCAAGATCGTTGAAACCTACACGGCCTATGACAACATTCTTAAGTATACCTGTAAATAGAGAATACAATGAAATATCCATAAAAAATAGAAACATTGGATTGATATCAGATAGTTTCAACATTAAAGTGATCTACAATTTGCTAGTCACAAGCTCATGAAAAAAACAAGAGGCCCATGGGCCTTAATGGTCATCTGACTATAAAAACTTAAATATGAAAGACGCCAAATAAGCCTAAAATAAAATGCTCAACTACTACACTACAGCTTACATAGAAGACAATGTTGGTTCTGAATTTGGTACACTGCACAATCTCTTAGTATTACCAATGCATACATAAAGTTTCATGATCCTAGTGTTAATGCAAGCAATGCTATGCTTTTGACAAAAACTTTTGAAAAATGCAGATAACTCTGTACCGAGGGGTCAGAGGCAATGATTTTGCTACACTGCAACATGCTTTTGTATGACTGATGTATACATCACGTTTCAGTATCCTAGTTTAATGTAGGCAAAGTGATGCTCCAGACATTAAATTTTAATGAAGGGCAATAACTCTGTAATAACGGGATTTCAGACCCTAATATTGGTACACAGCACATTGTCTATGATCAATGTAACTAACACGTTTCATAACCCTAGTTTAAATGCAAGCAATTTAAAGCTCTGCTCTAGACACTGAATTTTAACAAAGGGCAATAACTCTGTAATTAATGGGTTGAGTGCCCTGAATTTGGTACATTGCACACCACCTTAGTATGAACAATGTGTACACCAAATTTTATGATCTTTGCTTAACTGTTGGCAAAGCTCTGCTCTGAATATGGAAGAACAGACGGCAAAACAGACCAACGGGCGAACAAGGCGTATCTATATGCTCCTTAGAAGATGTTCAGGCCGCATAAAAAATGTCGTCATAGTCAGAAGTACGAGGAACATCTAATACAATCATACCTTCTATCACATTACAGTTAAAAAGTTTCGAATCCACTGTTTGCTGTACTGAAAATTGTTCATATTTCATCCTTATACAGTATCAAAACTGAAACATGTTACTCATCCGAGAAAAACTTCTGTAAGTACACTTACCGTTGTAATTGTAAGCAAAAAGTGACTGTTGAGCATCTGTGTTTTTGTTGTCATTCTCATCCTCAATAAGGATTGTGAGGGTGCTGGTAGCAGACATTCCATCTTTGTCCTGTATCACCACATCAACGAGGTAAAAGCTTGCTTCCTCACGGTCCAGTGATGTCAAGGAGCTACATGACAAGGCCTGGCCACCTTCAGATGGCACTGAAACAGACACAAACTGCATTTGTAGATGCTGACAGTAAGATTTCACTGAAGGCACAAACATTGGTATAAATATATAAATTGGTAGATGCCAACATTATGAGGTGTGACAAAGTATTTGTATCATTACTAATGGTAGTCATAATCCCTTATATCATTCTAGATTCCCTCTTTATCAAACTAAAAAGACAAGAGATCCTAGCAGGATCCTGGCACCCACCATCATTTGATCTTTCTTGTTCTTTGAAAATTGGATTTCCCTTCTTTTCTTTCCTCTGTTTGTGCTCTTAATTCTATGAAATTTTAAAATTCTTCCAAAAAATTAAAATTGTGGTTATAATCTTAAACTGCCAAATCCAAGATAGCTGCCAGTTGGCCAGTTTATTCTTTTTACCAGTCCTAAAATTGAATGGGCACAACTAAGGGTGAAGTTGAACCTATATATTATATTTGAGAAAGATCCATCCAGTACTTCTCAAGAAAGAGCATTAACAAACTTTCATTGTCAAAATCTGAGATAGCGCTTGGAAGCCATTTTGCTTTCCTGTTCAGTCCAAAATCAAAAGGGCAAAGCTAGGGACCTAGAGGAACCTATGCACATGAAATCTGACAAAGATTCATCCATTACTACTCAAGAAATAGCAACAAAGTACTGTTAATGGATGAACGATGCGCAACGTAAGGCAATTTTAATAATCCGTCATCTGATGATGGTGGGCCAAAAATGAAACAAAATAAACTTTGAAAGTATTTCATGGTACTTCGTAACAAATGGTATTTATTAAGAAATTAGACCTTTTGAAATTCTTACCAGCAGCTTGTATGTTAAACTCAAACTTGCCACACACAGATGGAGAATTGGAGTCACATACAACTTGGTTGAAACTAAATGGCGGTCCATTCTCTGGGCTGTCTGGATCTTGTGCATACAGTGTTTCAAAATTAGGCTGGGGTGGAATATTCTCCTTTATAGAAATTTGTGTTTTCTTCAGGATAGGTCCATTGTCATTTACATCTTCCAGAATGATCCTGATGACTGTGCTCCCTGTCTGTGGAGGTGAACCTACAACAGCAGATACACAGAAAACTACAGCCTTTAGAACCAGAAACTAAATAGTATCCTCAGTTATAACAAAGGTGGAACATTTTTACCAGTTGTATACATGTAGTGCTTGCATGATCTTATGAATCTGTTAATCTACATTAAGTTTAGATTTGAAATCTATTAAACTTTTTTGTAATAAACTTTTCACAAGAATAATAGTCGAGTACAACATGATTCTTTACACCAATGTTATATACAGTATGGGAAATTATTCTTTGTCTTCATTCCAGAATGGTATGATATTCATGACAAGCAATAATTAAGGTAGCATACATCCTAAAGACCCCTGTTACTGTAAGATAGCAAACATCTTCCAGTTTCCATGTCACAGTAAGATAGCATGCATCCTTAAGTCTCCATGTCACAATAAGGTAGCATACATCCTTAAGTCTCCATATCATAATAAGATAGCATACATCCTTAAGTCTCCATATCATAATAAGGTAGCATACATCCTTAAGTCTCCATGTCACAATAAGGTAGCATACATCTTCAAGTCTCCATGTCACAATAAGGTAACATACATCTTCAAGTCTCCATGTCACAATATGCTAGCATACATCCTTAAGTCTCCATGTCACAATAAGGTAGCATACATCTTTAAGTCTCCATGTCACAATAAGGCAGCATACATCCTTAAGTCTCCATGTCACAATAAGGCAGCACACATCTTTAAGTCTCCATGTCACAATAAGGTAGCATACATCATTAAGTCTCCATGTTACAATAAGGTAGCATACATCATTAAGTCTCCATGTTACAATAAGATAGCATACATCCTTAAGTCTCCATATCATAATAAGATAGCATACATCCTTAAGTCTCCATATCATAATAAGATAGCATACATCCTTAAGTCTCCATATCATAATAAGGTAGCATACATCCTTAAGTCTCCATATCATAATAAGGTAGCATACATCCTTAAGTCTCCATGTCACAATAAGGTAACATACATCTTCAAGTCTCCATGTCACAATATGCTAGCATACATCCTTAAGTCTCCATGTCACAATAAGGTAGCATACATCTTTAAGTCTCCATGTCACAATAAGGTAGCATACATCCTTAAGTCTCCATGTCACAATAAGGTAGCATACATCTTTAAGTCTCCATGTCACAATAAGGTAGCATACATCATTAAGTCTCCATGTTACAATAAGATAGCATACATCCTTAAGTCTCCATATCATAATAAGGTAGCATACATCCTTTAGTCTCCATATCATAATAAGGTAGCATACATCTTTAAGTCTCCATGTTACAATAAGATAGCATACATCCTTTAGTCTCCATATCATAATAAGGTAGCATACATCTTTAAGTCTCCATGTTACAATAAGATAGCATACATCCTTAAGTCTCCATATCATAATAAGATAGCATACATCCTTAAGTCTCCATATCATAATAAGGTAGCATACATCTTTAAGTCTCCATGTTACAATAAGATAGCATACATCCTTAAGTCTCCATATCATAATAAGATAGCATACATCCTTAAGTCTCCATATCATAATAAGGTAGCATACAGCCTTAAGTCTCCATGTCATAAGGTAGCATACATCCTTCAGTCTTCATGTCACAGTTTATCAATCAATATTGACATCCATAAAGTAGATGCAGGACATAAAAATCCTATTTTCATATTCTGTGCATTACAAGGCTTTTCTATATGATTTTCTTACCTGAATCTATAGCCAAAACAGTAAGATCAAATTCAGGTACAGTCTCTCGATCCAACGCTCTCTGGACCTTTATCTTTCCTTGACCTTGAGGAAGATTTTCAATTGCAAAGTATTTGTTGATGTCTGTATCCAGAAGGATAAAAAATCTGAAAAGAATTAGAGGTCACATAAAACACTACACAGAACATATCATATAATCAAGTAAACTCGCCTAACAGATAACCCAGTAAACTCACCTATAAAATAACCCAGTAAACTCAAATATAAAATAACCCAGATAATCCAGTAAACTCACATATAAAATAACCCAGATAACCCAGTAAACTCAAATATAAAATAACCCAGATAATCCAATAAGCTCACCTATAAAATAACCCAGTAAATTCACATATCAGATAATCCCATAAACTAACATATCAGATAACCCAGTAAACTCACCTATAAAATAACCCAGTAAACTCAAATATAAAATAACCCAGATAATCCAGTAAACTCAAATATAAAATAACCCAGATAACCCAGTAAACTCAAATATAAAATAACCCAGATAATCCAATAAGCTCACCTATAAAATAACCCAGTAAACTAACCTATAAAATAACCCAGTAAATTTAGATACTTTAATTCAGAATAATTTATCAAAAATGAAATATTTTATAGCCAATGTTCAATGTTATCATTTTTCAAAGCCTGCTCAGTTGTTCATTTCTATTAGCAACTTTTAGAACAAAGTTGAGAGACAGACAATGGCTGCCACAGAATCCTGTCAGATGTTGGCAGCTCACACCTGATGAGCTAAAAAAATTCTACATTATTATAACTGACAAAAAATCTAACAGAATTGTTGTTTAAACAATTCAACACTTACTCAAATGCCTGGTTGTCACCAGAATCAATATCAGTTGCCGTAAAATTTGCTATTTCTGTGTTAACACTAATATCTTCAGAGATATTGCCCCCTTGACGAACATGGATGTCAGAAAAAACAGGAGCATTATCGTTGACATCTTCCACTGTTACTTCAACATAACATATAGCTGAGTTAGTTCCATCTGTCACAGTTACCGAGATGTTGAAAAATGTCTCACCAATGTCAAAATCAGGACTCTGGAAACCAAAATCAAAAAGGAAAAAGATTATTTGTGAAAATGAGATCCAAACATTAATACAAACACATATCCTGTACAAAATATGTTTGATTGGTCAGTGAAAATAATTCACAACAGTGTAACTGCAAACATACTGTCAACAAATTTCTCATTTGAATTTCTAACCCAGACAACAATTGTTAATGATGTGGAAGACCTATGACACATCATGAAAATAATGTCAGGAACAATAGCATGACCCCAAATAGTCGCCTCATTTTGCTTTTTACTATTGTTACAAATCCTGATTCTGGAAACCCAGTTTTCAGTTTCCTGAAAAATAATGCATAAAAACAAAAAAAAATAAATTTAAAAAAATAAAAATAAAATAAATGAAAAATAAAAACAACAGTACTTTATTGTTTACTTGTGAATTATAGCATCACTGATATGAAAGTTTCATCACAATATATACCCTCGAAAATTTTAAAACATAATGTCACCACATTATACCTGGACAGGAAATGATTCAAAATGATCAAATGTAACACTTCACTTTTTAACTCTTTATTTCAAAAACAAAATCACTCATCCATAGGTCACACACTGTTGTCCAACAAACAAGAGGTCCAACTGGCCTGCATCACTCACCTGATATTCAACGTTCATCAAAATTAGAATCGGTGTTTATCACAATCACATGAACATGTTAACCTATGGTACTTAAAGTGGGCACATCCAATTCTAATCAATTTCCACAACAAACAGTTTCTAATACCCAACATTCAACAATGACACTTTCGACCTAGGTTATAGGTAATCACCATTTTTTTTGCTCTCCAAATTTGACCTTTGACCTAGAAACACTTTTGCTGACTTTTAGTTTACAGAAAGAATTTTTTTTACAGGTTTTGACAATTGGACCTGTGACCTTGAATATGGTTCAAGGTCATTTATTTTTCAGAAAATTTGTCAAGCTTCATCCCAGAAACCTATCAGCAAAACACCATGATTTTGCACATATTTGTTGGTCAGAAGTGGTTATTTACATGTTTTACTACCGTTGGCCCCTGTGATCTTGAGTAAGGGTCAAGGTCATTTCTTTTCGCAAATTTTGATGGGCTTCATCCCAGCAACCAACCAGTCAAATACTATAATGACATTTGGTCATTTGGTTATTGATAAAAAGTTGCTTATGTGGAAAGGTTGACATTAGACAGACAGACAGACAGACAGACAGACACCACACCACACCATGGCATAAGCTGGCTTGATCCTTTGGGCAAGGTGAGTGAAAAATCAACAAGTTTGTGGAAGTGATAAAATTATGATAACAGTGTTTATCAGATATTTTTGAGGATATGACAATATTTGATATTGACACAAGTATACTTACATCATGGACAATGACGTTAGCCACACTGTTTTCTTGTTGTATGGCAAAGTGTGCAAAATCTGAATCTGAAACCCTGTAGGACAAGATGTCCAATGTGTCTGCATCATACGCATGAACTGCTATGAATTTACCCTCCAAAGTCTCCTTAATGGTAACAGACTGTAGACTATCGTTACAGTGAGGATTGTTGTCGTTGATGTCTATAACATAGATAGTGGCTGTACCAGTGGTGGATCTGGCAGTGCCTCCAGTGCCACCATCCTGGGCAGACACAAGAACAGTGAACTGGTCATTCTGCTCACGATCAATTACAACGTTGGTTTGAATCACACCAGAACTCCTGATTGGAATTCTGAAAAAAGGGTTGGTGACTGGGACTAAGCTATAGGACACTTCTCCATTTGGACCCTCATCAATATCATCAGCAATGACCCTCATCACAGTAGTACCTGAAACACAAAATTTTCCAGAATTTATACATCTATTTCCATTTACGAAGACAAATTTAAGCTCATCTTCTTTTCAAAGGGTGACTTATGCCAATGCTTGAATATGTCACTTATTTTTGTTTAAATTCAAAGTTTTACACCAAATTTTAGAGTTGATATATCAATAAACTGAGGAATTCTTGTGACAGAAATCCTGCTGCAACTACTTTCCATTTTAACAATTTCAATTCATAACACCAATGCCACATTCCAAAACATCTAGGCCAAGAGTCAATATTACAAATAATTAATATATACATGAGGAAAAAAGACCTGAAATGCCTAGACATTTTTGTTGACCTAGGAATGGCCATGACTCAGACTTCAGATTTAGGGTTAAATAATATCTTACCGACAGGCTGCTCCTCCACTACACTGCCTACCAGAGTTCCTTCAACAAAGATTGGGTCGTTGTCATTCATGTCCTGCAAATTAATTTTGACCGTTGCATAACCTGTCCTCGGGTTGCTAGAGGAAGGTTCGTCTATTGCACTCACAATAAAAGTAACGACAGGCTGAGTGTCTCTATCTAACTCTCCCTTCACTGTTAGGTTGCCAGTGGTTGCATCAAGCTCAAATTTGCTGCTGATGGACGTGTCCCCAGGGTCTGTTAGAATGCTGTACCTAATATTTGTCTGTGTTACCCTGCCTGTGTCCCCATCAGCAGCCAGCACCTATAATTACCAAGAGTTTTTCTTTCAAAAACGAAATTTGGATAAAGACAATACAAAATACCTCTAAAGTTGTTTTCACTTCATTCACTTAAGTAAGACAATACACAAATAAACATAAAATAAATGAGTCAAAAAGATATTTCAGTAATTAAGGTAAATAAGTTCAACAAATAACAATCAGAAATTATCTCTTACAGCACAAACATCAAATATCTAGAAAGCAGTTATTAATATCACTTTTTTATCTCCTATAATTTCCGAACAAGTTACCAGAAGCTGTTCAGAAGGAACGATAAGAAGCTACATTCTGGTGATATAAGATTAGAAATCAGTATCATGTGTACATCAACTCAAAACACTTGACAATGGTATAAAGTAAACATTTTGATGACATAAGACTAGTAATCAAACAGTTTGAAGAACATGATTGCTAGGAAAATACACGAGCATTATTTTGAGCTGTAAGCACCACGAAAGTACAATCTATAAACTTCAGAGTGTTTCCTATGTAACAACTATCTACAACAACGGAACCTGTGCTAACAACGTTATCAAGTCTATGTTAATTGTGTACATGTAATATTTTGCTTTGAGTAAGATCGTACTGCTCATACATGTATACTCTACACTTACCCGACCAAACAAATAGGGATTACTGCTATAGTCTCCCTCGTTGACATTGTCGAAATTGTACGTAGATTGGGAGAAAACAGGAGGCATGTCATTTACATCCAATACCGTTATATCAACATTGGTTTGTGCGATGAATTTCCCATCAAAAACTTTTGCTGTACATGAATACTACAATAAAGAAAACACATATTTATTTACAAATCAACTGACTCATTCATGATAGACTTCTTACAGTGGTGAATAGTTGTAAAAGAATAAGATTTAATCAATTTTGACTGAAAATTTAGCAAAAAATCTTAAAATTAATAAATTTTTTTAAAAAAATATGATCTTAAAATAAATAAAAAAATTTTGAAAATATGATGATTATGCCATGAAATTACACTTCATAACTTATCAACCAAACTTTAAGCATTGATTGACCCTCAAATGAAATTGCATCATTATCAAGTTTTCAATAATTAGAATATTTGAATGCTGGGTATTTTTCAGATAAATTCTCCTCATAGCTGGTGGCTGTTTCACTGAACAACATACTGGAGGTCTTTCATATGCCATTCTGAGAAACTACCATAAAGTATTTCGCCCTAGGACACACACACAACAGCACAGACCGGTCTGTCTCTCAGCTTCCTAAGAAACGCTTCACCAAGGATGGAGAGTTTTGAACCATGAACCTCAGACCTTCACTTTAGGTTGATATACGGAGAGCTAGGTTAATGGGGGATGGATTTACAACACAGGAGAGTTGCATAGCTAGATTAATTGTAGCTAGGTCACTAATGCAGGATATAGGGACAACAAGATTAATGGTAGATAGGTCACTAATGGGCTGGGACAAACAAATTAATGTTGAATTGTCCTCCCTAATAAGCTAGTGAAACTGGTCAGCTTTTGATTTGTTCCTTTCAGGTTTAACACTTACACTAGCTGTTGATTCAAAGTCAAGGTAACCAGAAACATAGATCACTCCAGTGGTCCAATTAGCAGAAAATGGTATCACAGCTCCAGTTGGTATATTGCAGTCCAGGGTAAATCGAAACACATGACCTGTTGAGCAATTATAACATAAATAGATATAAAAACATTTAAAAAAATTTAACTCCTTATAAAACTAATTTCAAATTAACAGGTTATTAAACTTGGTTTAAACTATTTATGTATCATATTTGATTTCAACTCCCTAAACAGCTGATACTGATCTAAATTTTATGTACAAGTCTGAACTCAGCATAAGTGTTAAGTTTGAGTTAGGGTCTACAAACCTGAGTCTAGGTCTGTTGCCTTGAGTTCCCCGACAGATGATTCCAGAGCTGCATCCTCGGGGACAGTGAATGCGTATTGCTGTAAGTCAAATGTTGGTGTGTTGTCATTGGCATCACTGATTTGTATCTGTACAGTGGCAGTAGCTGAAGTGAGATTAAAACATTTTATCTATATCATTGAGTTTATTGTAGTATACCTGACTAAGGGAGCTGTAATAATCTACAGCACTCCCATCATTCACAGTTTTACCAGTTCATGATGTCTTTGTCACTCTTTAAGGTATGATGGCCAGCATGCACCATAACACTACTCACATCAAGGTAGCATCATTATTTTATGAAGCATAACCATGGTGCAACCTGATATCATCAATTTCGATGCACATATAATGGAATATTGATGATGGAATGGTAAATAGATTTCAGAATAACTTCAGATTTTCTACTTATATTCTTTACAGTATGTAAGAAAAATTATAAAACATGGGTCTGTTCTGTGGACAGGGATATTTCAACCAGAGTTTAAGAGTTTGGCAAGTAAGCATAAGAATTGTCCTCATGTAAGTATTTTTTTTCTATTCAGCATTCGCAAGCCTTATGCTGAATAGCCAAACTATACCAGTCAGAGTTGAAATATACCTGTCCATGGAATACAGCCATGAAACATTCTGTTCATCATCTCACCATGACACACTAACCTCCCTATAGATATGATAAAAGTTTTACACAGAATTCCAACATTCCAGCAAAACCCAAAACAAAGTAAAAACCTGAACAATATCTATGATATCAATGCAATGAACAGCGAGTTATCTTAATTATTTAATCATTCTATAGAGAGGAAACATGATACACAGGCTGTCTAACTATAACTGAAGAAGCCAGCTAACCAACTACCAACACAGACTGGCCAGCTAACCAACTACCAACACAGACTGCCCAGCTGACCAACTACCACCACAGACTGGCCAGCTGACCAACTACAACCACAGACTGGCCAGCTGACCAACTACCACCACAGACTGGACAGCTGACCAACCACCACCACAGACTGGCCAGCTGACCAACTACCAACACAGACTGCCCAGCTGACCAACTACCACCACAGACTGGCCAGCTGACCAACTACCACCACAGACTGGCCAGCTGACCAACTACCAACACAGACTGCCCAGCTAACCAACTACCAACATAGACTGGCCAGCTGACCAACTACCAACACAGACTGGCCAGCTGACCAACTACCAACAGACTGGCCAGCTGACCAACTACCAACACAGACTGGCCAGCTAACCAACTACCAACACAGACTGGCCAGCTGACCAACTACCACCACAGACTGGCCAGCTGACCAACTACCAACACAGACTGGCCAGCTGACCAACTACCAACAGACTGCCCAGCTGACCAACTACCAACACAGACTGGCCAGCTGACCCACTACCACCACAGACTGGCCAGCTAACCAACTACCAACACAGACTGCCCAGCTGACCAACTACCAACACAGACTGGCCAGCTGACCAACTACCACCACAGACTGGCTTTTGACCAAATACCACCACAGACTGGCCAGCTGACCAACTACCAACACAGACTGGCCAGTTTACCAACTACCACCACAGACTGCCCAGCTGACCAACTACCACCACAGACTGGCCAGCTGACCATCTACAACCACAGACTGGCCAGCTGACCAACAACCAACACAGACTGGCCAGTTTACCAACTACCACCACAGACTGACCAGCTGACCAACTACCACCACAGACTGGCCAGCTGACCAACAACCAACACAGACTGGCCAGTTTACCAACTACCACCACAGACTGACCAGCTGACCAACAACCAACACAGACTGGCCAGTTTACCAACTACCACCACAGACTGACCAGCTGACCAACTACCAACACAGACTGGCCAGCTGACCCACTACCACCACAGACTGGCCAGCTAACCAACTACCAACACAGACTGCCCAGCTGACCAACTACCAACACAGACTGGCCAGCTGACCAACTACCACCACAGACTGGCTTTTGACCAAATACCACCACAGACTGGCCAGCTGACCAACTACCAACACAGACTGGCCAGTTTACCAACTACCACCACAGACTGCCCAGCTGACCAACAACCACCACAGACTGGCCAGCTGACCAACTACCAACACAGGCTGGCCAGCTGACCAACTACCACCAAAGACTGGCCAGCTGACTAACAACCACCACAGACTGGCCAGCTGACTAACAACCACCACAGACTGCTAGCCAGCTAACTGTCTCAGTAGTATACAAAGTACCCACCACTATTTGATGTTCCTGGAGGCTGATGGTTTGGTGTTGCAGAAGGTGCTCCATCTTTTGCAATAAGACTGAAGTAGTAAATTTGTTCCTCCTCTGCATCAAACACCTTCTTGGTTCTGATTTCTCCTGACACACTGTCAATACTAAAGAAGGCACTGCTGCTTTGTTCATAGTAAGTTACCTGTAAAGAATACAAAAAAAACTGCATTATAATGAACAACAAATCTTTACCTTTTTAGGTGTAAGCTGTATCCGGGAAATATGACACTAGAGGCTGCAGTCAGGTGACACAGAATGTGATACATCTTGTGTGACTCTGATCAGCTTATGCTGGTTGTGAGTTGACAATCATTGGTCTATACAGATCTGAGACCCTCAGGGAACCTTATCAATATTTGTGTTCAAGATGCTTGTGCTTACCCCACTGAACATCATGTGGGAGGCCTGTTATATTCTCAGCTTCCTGAGAAACAGAATCTGTCATAGGTAGAGGCTGAACAAAACACCTGATATAACCTCACTGAACATCATGTCGGAGGCCTGTTACATTCTCAGCTTCCTGAGAAACAGAATCTGTCATAGGTAGAGGCTGAACAAAACACCTGATATAACCTCACTGAACATCATGCCGGAGGCCTGTTACATTCTCAGCTTCCTGAGAAACAGAATCTGTCATAGGTAGAGGCTGAACAAAACACCTGATATTACCTCACTGAACATCATGTCGGAGGCCTGTTACATTCTCAGCTTCCTGAGAAACAGAATCTGTCATGAGTATAGATTTTCCTCTTGATCTTCACCTTAGTTTGTCTGATGATCTACTGACTAACCTATCACATAACTATAAATATCTTAGTTGAATATCGACAAAATTATGCTTATGCAACAGTCCTTCAGAAAAATGTTTTTAAAGAGAAGATTTAAGAGGATACAAAATGAAAAGAGATTGTAATTCAGCTTCTTAAAACATTCAACTGTTGATAAAATCTAAATATAAAGTTTCCCTGCTGTCGATGATACTTACATTGCTGTAGGCTGGAGTGAAGGTATCACCATCTATGGCCACAACAAAACCAACAGGCTCTTGAGGATCAAGTCCTTCCAATACATCAAGCTTGATATTGTAGTTATCAGCACTGATAAACGGTTCTCCAATATATTCCGGGTTCAGCATGTTTTTGTCTTCATTTTCGATTTTCGCAAAAATATATGTATTTTGTGGTTCTGGTTGCTCGTTCTGTTTTGGAAGAACCAAAAGATTAAAATACACAAAGAAAATATATTTCCATGTTATAAAGTGGATGACCAAAACTTGTAGAGTTCCTGGAATTACATCTACAGAAAGAACCACGTCATTAGAGAAATTACGTAAACCACTTAAGATATTTGCTTCATTCTTCAACTTAGATGTAAATATTTTGTCATGTTAAAATCTGAATCATCTAACAGTTATTAGTATGTCGTTTGAAATGTCAAATTTTACTTTGCAGTCGATGTAATAATGAGAGAAGCATACTGTGCTTGAAAGGCTATCTTGATAGAGGCTGAACACATAGTGTAAACATACTTAAGTACAGCACAACTATTATTAAATTTTGGCATATCATCAACTTTTGACAAATTAGGGCAATGATAAATTTGCGTATCAACAATAACTGCTATACAAATATTGTTCATTATTGCTTTATGTCCTATTAACAGCCAGGATCATTTAAAGACATGCCAGGTTTGCTGTACAAGACACTGCTATTGGTGCAATTATATTTTAGTGAAATATGTTCAGCATGAAAAACACTTCAATAGAATTACAACTAAAATATATACAGGGACCTTCAATTCAAAAATCTGACTAACACAGCACAATGATATACCATCCGCATTTTTCCTGAATTTGCAATAAAACTGACATCGGGTTATAGCTTAAATAATATGGGGTTACAAAAAACAATTTTAAAGGAACTGCTTGAATTATTATCTGTGTAAGATATAAAACAGGACCAACTTTTAAAACTGGTTTTGTCGGAGAGACATGAATGCCCCGGTAACCAGGGAGAAGTGGGCACCTTCAGTGTTATTGACTTTATATTAAGATGTATATTCAGGACTTATAAGATAAAACTGAAGTTCTTCTGGCAGATTATTTTAAGCTCCCACTGTAGTAGTGCAAGGCTCTCCAATATCAATCTTACTGAAAATTTTAATTCAAATTCTGAAAATGGTCATAGCTCTAGAAAATGTATTTGATCATAACCAAATCACTTCTTGACTTAAATATCATTATAGAACTACTTACCAAATACAAGTTCTAATCTTCCTGTTAAAGAGTTAATGAACAGAAAATAACGAAATGACGACCCAGACTCACAAACCGTGAAATGAGAGAAGCCTCAGAATCACCCTGCAGTCTAAATGAGATGTTCTAAAATGTAACATAAAAACTTACGGAGGCTCGCAGCACTAGCTTCATCTCCGGATACTTTTCATATCTGATCCTTTCTTTGGCAATCACCAGCTCAAATTGTCCAATATTTGTGGTGGGATCTACTTCACGTATAATAATCAGGCCGTCAACGTTATTAACAATCTGAAGACTGACGGCAGCCTGATCAGCATTGGAGGAAACTACTATATTTCCTACAACAGTTCCGATGTCATCCACTTCTGACATGCCAAAGGTGTATTCAGCTTGAGATGTGCTGGGTGGACGGTAGTCTGACTGCAATGTCATGGTAATGGTCGTAGAGCTGGACCGCGGAGAACTTCCACTGTCTGTAGCCATCACTTCCAACACAATAGAGGGTGGCTGTAATTGAAAGAACATCACACACTCATTCAAAGTATGTAATTCTTATATCAATGTACCTAGAAAATGAGCTGACATCTTAATTAAACTAAATTCTATCTCCTATTGGCACAGTTCAGAATACACACATGTACTGGGCATTCTATTTAAATTATTCAATATTGATACGTTACTAAATTGATTGATGTTTGGGTTAGTGCACCTCCCCTTTAGATTTTACCTATTGTGATTTTCCTCAATTGCTTTCTAAGCTTCAAGATTAAGAATATTAACATCACCGAAGAATTCTAAAAGGACAAAACAGCTGTATGATGCAGTTAAATACATTATTTGTTTTTAGTATATCTATGCTTAATTTTCAATGAAAGGTGCCTTTCACTTGTGTGTCTCATTAAAAATATAGGCTGTGGCCTTTACATCATTACATGTGTGGTCTAAAGCTTTGTGGTGTTGTCTATTCTATCACAAAACATATACAAATCCTGATAATATAAAAACTCGCTCAATACCAATGAAAATTAAATTCCTTGCAAAATGTCTTCAGTATTGTTTTCCTGCTTATTGGTTACAAACAAAACCAGAGTAATACACAACTATATTTAAGTCTCTTGAACACTGCGAGGTTTTAAATCAACATAATACAAACTATCCAATTCAGAGTCAGCAAATTGTGATGTGTGACACAGATTAGCTTTCTTAACATTGTCACATAGTATGAAACCTGTATAGGATGAAAGCATTTGAGCAGTCCTCAAGAATTCATCATAACTGGGTTGGATTGTAAATTGTAAAAGTGTGGAAACAGTAAAAATGTTCATCCACAAAACAAAAACATTCAGGCAAAGTTTAAGGTACAGGAAATAATTTTTTTTTTCGCTAATACACATTTGTATTTTATGAACTATATCTAAGAAAATAATTCCCATCTTGCAGACTAATTTGTCAATTCTTGATTTCTATACCATTAAACTGCCAATCCTAGGTATCTTTTTAATGAAAATAAAGAGAGATTTTGGGCTCTATAAATTTCAGCATAAAAGTACTTACAGCATTACCAAGATTCGCAGCAGTTTTTATCACTCCATTATTGTTGATGTTGAAATAATTGCCTGGATTCTGAATGAAACTATACTTAACATCAGCATTCACACCACTGTCATCATCCTCCGCTAGAACAACAATGCCGACAGTTCCAATTGGAGAATCTCTATATAAAGTTTGAGAGTAGGTAGTGGATGTAAACACAGGAGAGTGGTCATTTGTATCGGCCAGATTCACAACAAAGGTACAAAGATCACTAAGGGGTGGGTCTCCTCGGTCCGTCGCCTGCACTGTGATAAACATTATATCAGAAAACAGCTCCCTATCAAGACGTGCTGTTGTTGTTATCTTACCAGTCTTCTTATCAATACTGAAATACTTTGAAGAGTCAAAGTTTCTGTCCCTTCTTAATGAGTATTCTACTTCACTTTTCTCCCCGCGGCTGGTGTCCACTGCTTCAACCTAAATGCAACATAATAGAGGACCATACAGTGTTTCATTCTTCACCAAACATAACAAATTTACCACAAAACTTTGATCATCATGTCACTTAATACCAGTAAAATCTACTGTTCGTTTGAGTTGTGATGTCAATTAGATGGTTTTACTTTATTAACGTTGCCCTAATAAAGTTTTGTTTTCAGTTATTCAAGAACAAAGTGTTGATGTATGTTTTTAAGTTTTCAATTTTTTTGTTTTTGTTTTCAATAATACTTGTAAACAGCAAGTTGTTTCCCCAGAAAAAGAATGCATTGTTGCTCCGAAAGGGAGATAACTGTCAGCATTACAGTATAGAATAACAGAATATGAAGAATAATGTAAATTTAGAATAGAGACAGGTTCTTATATATTTGCTAGGCAATCACCTATTATCAGTTAAAATTACAATGTAAAACAGGCTATTCATAAAGAAATGAAAAAAAATTGAACAGAAATATGTGATTTTTCAGTAACTTTCATTCAATTAAGTTTTCATTGTGGCTATGGACTCTAACAGTATTGGTTAGATGTTGGATCCAGGTAACAGTTTGCTTTTGTTTCAGAAAATTCAACAATACTACGACAATTGGTAATTATCCACTGACATTAGTTCTCCTTGACAGCTTTCACTTACCCTGGCTGAACTGGTTGAGGCAGCACAGAATTAATCCTTGACATAAATGAACATACTAATATTGGATGTTGGAAATGTTATAATGTGACGTTACAATGTAGTTTCAACAATTCATGTCCAATATGATTTCTTCTATTTTATTTAGCTATATAATATAACAAATCCAAAAATATGCATGCACATAGACCCTTGTTTTGAGCCTAACTAATAACCTTCAGTCACTTAGTTTTGGACAGGTAAGGTTAGACCTCTCAAATTTTATACACAAAATATTCAAAAGTGCTGCTTCGGTCCTGATCTGGGCTTGTCATTTTTTTATTTTTTGCTAGTTCAGCTGATCCAGCCATTCCAGTCACTTACGTGAAAGCATTCCTAATAATACACCAATACAAGCTACTTACTGTAACAACATCGGTTCCTACAGGTTGTTCTTCCAACACGCTTGGCTTGTAATTACATGTGAACCGTGGTTTCCGGTTCACAGCATCCACAATGTAGACTGTCACAGAAGCAGTGCTTGTATGGAGAGGAACTGTCTTGTCACTACAGCAGCTGTTATCATCCACAGCCAAAACATCAAAATTGTACTCACTGACATCATCAGGAATAATGTTGGCGCCAGACTTTAATCTTATAATACCTGTGTCTGCGTTTATTTCAAAAATCTCATGACTGCCTCCTTAAAAAGAACAAAAGCATGATTGTATATGAAACAAATACTTTTTATTAAAATGAATAATTTTCTCAATTTTTTTTTCTGTATGTTTTAATAAATGCATTGTATATAATATTGAGTTGTCTTTCTTGACTTATAATGCAAAGAGTTGCAGTTGGAAAGCCCAATAATTTCAACATGTAGTTTATTTATTACATTAATAATGAGATTTTAAGTTAAAAATCTTTCATGTTTTGTTTTCTGATTTTTGTCAAATTAATTTCTGATGATGCATGGAGGTTAAAGCCATGAAATTCTAAATCTAAGATGGCCAATCTGAGTAACAGCTATTCAACCCCCTACTGTCTATTAGACATGATAAATAAGATGTTTCAATATTGGTATACCTCCCAAGCTGTACGTGACTACATCACCATCTGCATCGTAAGCTGTCATATCGAGGACAAGCTTCTGATCCACATCAGCACCTGGAGCGTCAGCATTATCTAGAACTTTCATCGATATAGACGAATCAACAAACACTGGTTCTAGATCGTTAACATTGTCAAGCTTTATGATGACTGAGGCTGAACTGGTCCTTTTCATGTTTAGAACCCCGCCATCATCCACTGCAAACACGGTGAAGCTGTGCATGTGATCTGGAGCTGTTTCATAGTCAAGAGCCCTACGTAAAAATATAAAAACATGACACTACGTATGCAGCATTGTATGTTGCCTAAAAACCAAAGAAACCAATCAACAGCCCCAAGTTAACTGAAAGTGTTCTAAATCACTGATATTGGTTCTTGGAGTAAACATATTCTATTTGCAGCAAATACTTTCTTTAACATTATTTACGATAATATAATTCAGCAAAAATTCTTTAATTGCATTTGAATAGACATCTGCATTATATGTGAAATAATTATATCCTTATCAAGTGTGTGAAACCATCTGAATTTAAGTATAATTTATACCAAATATGTGGTACTTGCTATGTGTCATAGTCATTGTAAAATAAATATCTAGAGGATATCCATTAATTTTTGTACCTAAGTCAAACAACAAGTTTATTTGTTTTTGTGAGAATTCTACTAGATATGATTTCTTTATCAGAATTTTTGGGTTTTTTTTTAAATTTCTATGAAGCAAATAAAATGTTGATACTTTTTTTATAATAATACACACAACAAAACTTCAATAAAACATGTGAGTATACACGGTCATAGAAGGACAAAACCTATAAGGGGAATCACCCACACTAGGATTAGGTGATAATTTTGAAAATAACCATAAAAATAGCTAGACTGCAATTAAAAAAGTAGAATTTAATGATAAAACTGATGGAACCACATGTTTTTTTCCCCATAAAATCTGCAGCTTTATCCAGCAATATTAAAAAATCCTGTTTTATCAAATGACCAATGAACATAGACAAGCTGACTCTCTTTATTGAAGGGACAACATACTAAATGATGAGGATATTTCAAGCATCATACTTACTTTTTGACGCGGATATTACCGATGTTATTGACGCTCTCAACGTCAAAATATTCATCGTTCAGTAGGTAGTTAATGGTTGAACTGGTGTCCTTGTCCGTAACAGTCACTAAAATTGGCAGAGGAATCACCATTAACAGTATCAAACTTTCCATAAGAAAAAACAAAAGGTGGGAACTTTTCAGACCAACAATGTATAAACTTTTGTTTTTTAATCATTCAAGGTGTTTTTCAGGAGTCGCTGCTCTTTTTTACACCCTGATTTTAATCTTCTTCTTAAAATCTGTTCCTTTAAATGTCCCTTTAAGAGTGCCCTGCATACCGTATGGTATGCTGCTTGGACCTAGAAGATGAACTTTCCCTTATCTGCACTGATTGGAAGTTGGTTCGTAAGGTTTTTCTTCAGGTTTTCAATTTTTGTTTACAGTTTCTATTGAAACAGGGGGTTGCAATCATGTTGATTTCTCTGTTTTATCAAAACTCATCATTTGTTTATCTATGTATCTTTTTTTTCAATGACACACTTTAAATGATAAAACAAATATGTCATATGTCTTTGTTACCTTGCATTGCTGTTTCTCCAACCCTCAGGGACTCGCTAACTTCAGCAAAGTCTGGGGACACATCAAAAACTGGATCAAACTCATTCACATCCGTGATTCGTACCATCAGCTGTCAAAATATAGAGATAAATAGTTCAAATTAAAGAGATAATTCAAATACAGTTAGAAAAATAATTCTATTTATCATTAATGGACCATAAATAAGTCATCTTAGCTATAGTACAGTACTATATACATGTATCGAATATTCAAACAATGACAAATCTAATAAGTGGTAGAATACTAGGTGCTATTGGACTGATGATAAGCTGACAAGGAAGTGAATAATATTACAAATGTTAAGTGAACATGGAACTGAATGAAACGTGAGTGATGACTGACTGTGCCACTATTCCTGACTTACACTGACAGAACTGGTGAGTTCAGAAGTACTATCTTTGGCCTGTAGAAGCAGTGGATACTCAGACATCTTCTCGTGATCGTAAGTTCCCAAAGTTAACAGTTTTCCATCTTTGATATCAAATAATGAACTATGTCCTCTTGTCCTTGGATTGATTACAGAATAAACTGTCATTCCGTTTTGAAAGTTGACACTCTGAAGATCTACATCATTGAAATCAGAGTTCTGAAGACTGAAGCTGAAAACATCAAGTTGTAAAAGTCATGTCCATGTCCATACTCTGTTCATTGTAATAAATCATTTTGGACTGACCTTACAAAACATAAATACATTTCATACGTCATGTACATAGTATGTTACATATACATAGAATATTTCCTGTATGTAGTATTTTACCTGTACATATTATTTTACCTGTACATAGAATATTTCCTGTATGTAGTATTTTACCTGTACATGTTATTTTACCTGTACATAGAATATTTCCTGTATGTAGTATTTTACCTGTACATGTTATTTTACCTGTACATAGAATATTTCCTGTATGTAGTATTTTACCTGTACATGTTATTTTACCTGTACATAGAATATTTCCTGTATGTAGTATTTTACCTGTACATATTATTTTACCTGTACATAGAATATTTCCTGTATGTAGTATTTTACCTGTACATATTATTTTACCTGTACATAGAATATTTCCTGTATGTAGTATTTTACCTGTACATATTATTTTACCTGTACATAGAATATTTCCTGTATGTAGTATTTTACCTGTACATATTATTTTACCTGTACATAGAATATTTCCTGTATGTAGTATTTTACCTGTACATATTATTTTACCTGTACATAGAATATTTCCTGTATGTAGTATTTTCCAGTACATAGTATTTTACCTGTACATATTATTTTACCTGTACATAGAATATTTCCTGTACATAGTATTTTACCTGTACATATAACTATTTGTATAATGTTTAGTACCTGTATGTTGTTTACCTAAAGCTGTGTATTTCATACTTTTAAGGTTCAGAGTGAAAATAGCACATGTACATCAATTATATACCCTATTATACCGAAATGTACCTAGTACTTATCAGTACCGGGCACATATGGTTTATTTCTACATAAACAATAAATAAGAAACTTACATTTGTCCGCTTTGAGCATTCTCAGGAACACTCGCTTTGTATTCAGGAAGATAAAATTGAGGAGCACGATATTTTGTGGTGATGAAAACTTTTTCTTCGCTACTGATTTGTTCCGTTGGTGCATTTTTATCCTTACAGAATACAGTAATTTCCTCATCGTAATTCTGTAACAGAGGTGCTTTTGTTTTGATCTCTCCTGTCAGCTCAACAACCTCAAATTTCGAGCTGGTTCCTGTGAAGTTAATACATAAGAAGTTTAATCTCAGTCTTAATTTGATGCCAATTCATCAAGCTGCTTACCATTTCCCAGAGATAAGTGAGATGGCCATTCCGATAACACATTCACTTTATCATGACAATATATATTTACGTGACCGGTAATTATCATATTCATGGTCATTACGTAATCCCCTGTTCTTAGCATTGTCAAAAGGTTTTAAAAAAGAGAATGTGCCATAAAACTATTGCTAGACAAAAATCAGCTATGGTTCTTATCTTCATCAACTGTGGTTCTTACGTTCATCAGCTGTGGTTCTTAACTTTTTCAGCTGTGGTTCTTACCTTAATCTGCTGTGGTTCTTAACTTTATCAGCTGTGGTTCTTAACTTTATCAGGTGTGGTTCATACCTTTATCAGCTGTGGTTCTTACCTTTATCAGCTGTGGTTCATACCTTTATCAGCTGGTTTTTTTTTTACCTTTATCAGCTGTGGTTCTTAACTTTATCAGCTGTGGTTCATACCTTTATCAGCTGTGGTTCTTACCTTTATCAGCTGTGGTTCTTACCTTATCAGCTGTGGTTCATACCTTTATCAGCTGTGGTTCTTACCTTTATCAGCTGTGGTTCATACCTTTATCAGCTGTGGTTCTTACCTTTATCAGCTGTGGTTCTTACCTTTATCAGCTGTGGTTCATACCTTTATCAGCTGGGTTTTTTTACCTTCATCAGCTGTGGTTCTTACCTTTCATGTAGAAGCCGACCAGACTGCCGGGGTCTGGGTCGAGCGCGGTCAGTGTGTAACACGTGGTCCAATTAGAGGCCCAAGCATCTACGGTGGCAAGCATCGGCCTCGGTATATTCGTGAACCTCGGGACTTCATCGTTGATATTATTTAATACCAAAGTTAATGTGTGTTCATATTCAGCTGAAAAAAATGGGAGAAAATAAACAATCATATATGTGTTCAACACAGCAACTAAGGTTTGATTAATGAGTAACGTAATCTCAAATTAAGTGAGCTTTTATATTCAATAGTTTGGTTTTAATTATATCAATGGCGGACAACCTCCCTTGTGTATACGTGGTGGAAGCATTGTGTAGTGTAGTTTACTTTGAAGATCCCCGACAGGACATTTAAATTAGGTGGACCAGTCGTTACACGATGAACGTTCAGCAGGGAGTAGTCGTTACTATGTAAAACCCGGATATGTCTCGCCCAACGGACAGAACCCACAGGTTTCATCCTAGGCCAAAAACATAGAGGAGGTGTCAAGGGAGACAGGAAGACGAAATATATACTGAAGATAAAAGTACAATGTATGTATAAAGACCCGTGACGCAGTGAATGACGTCAGTGGGTTAATTTTCCCGCTCTCGCAACTTCTGCAAAACTGGCTATTTAATGGCACTGATCCGAGTTACTCACAGGTCGTGGCGTGTCTGCATATGTGTGTTACGTTTTACAACTGTCAAGATTTCATGCTTTTCATGTGCCTAGTTATTTACCAATAATTTTATCTCCAAAGGTTTACATGTTAAAACAAATTCCCAGTTTATTGCGAGTTTTCTAGCAGAACATATAAATGTAAACTGAACATAAATGTCCTTTCATTTTGATACGTGTTAGGTACTTGTATGGAACCAGTGTACTAAACGCTTGTTAAGATTTACCTGGAGCAGCTGATAGTCTATGGGTAGCTTTATGTTTCGTATGTTGGGACAAGTCTATACAGATCCGCTATTTAGCGCCCCGTCACGGGTGGCGACCATCCCCCCTCATTAATATTACTATCCTCATCATTAGTCTGTTCATCGTACAGTTTTCGCTACGGCGTTAGCTTTATGTCAACATACATCACACGTGTTTAAATCGGTAGTCCCGCTATTGGCATTTAAATTAATACTTAACATGTGCAACACCACTAAAATAATTTAGCTCTGAAATTACTGGGATTTTCACTTAGTCTAGATTGATTTCATAATAAATTGAAGCGATTAACAAAATATTACATAGAAATATTTATCATTATGTTTCAATGCAAACTGGATATGAAAAGAAACCTTGTGGGACAGAGTCTACACGACCAGAGCGGGGGAAATCACACACAGCTCATTGGGGAAATCATTCCGTGTTCTCGTTATCAATTATAGTTTAAAATGTAAGTCGACGTCTAACATCATTACATTACACATAGAAACAGCATTGTTATTTGTTATATTTACCTATTTGCTTGCAAAGAATTGTCATTTATAACGATAATAAACGCCATATCGTGATAATGCTATGCTTAAACATCCAGTGGATTTTCCTCTCGTAAAAATCTTATCCTTTTTAGACGTTATTTACAACACTATCACTATTTCAAAGTCTCCGCGTCAGGATGACCCCGATTGTTCACGAGGCGACGAATCCAGCGAAACAAACCAATACCAGGTTTTTTTTTAAATGTAAAGTTCAGGTATTCGAAAATACCTGTAATCACTTCTAAATCTAATGTTTTAAATGATTTATATTAAATACAAATGTCTGTTATTGTACACATAACCTAAATCTGATTTGTACAAAATATAGCTCGAATTTATATTGTTTTTAAACGGGACACTCCTTAATTTTTGTTTTTTAATTTACATATAATCTAGTAAGTGATATCGACGGTATGGTCCAATATTGGTACTGGATCCTAACATACTGGAATAGATATATGATCAATGAAGTAATAACGACCTCACATTGGAATGCGCTGGTGCTGTCATCGGCCGAATGGGATTATCGAGAGACCTATTTTTTCTCTACCGCTCTCGATTTTACTTATAACTTTGTATTTGCTTTTTGTTTTCAGTATGTGATGTAATTGATGTAATATTTGTGTCTTGATAAAGGGACAGAGTGCCTCGATTATCTGACCATTCACTTGCCCGTACTGTCGTTATGTGTGTAAGTGTGTATGATTCTCGCTAGTCGACAGGGCAATGTAGAACCGGATAATCTATATGTTTAATGCAAGTGTCAGAATTTAGACGGTCGTCACATCTCCTACAACTGCCTGGTTGAGTCTACTTAAAACAAAATTTACAGCTTTATAGTCACGACTTATTGATAACACCTCTCCCACAAACAAGTTCTATACAGGTACCAGTCTCACAGAAAATAAGTTCTCTACTTCATATTAAGTGTTCCCACGGACGGTGTTATATTTGGGATACACGGGAACAGTTTTTTCTAAGCAGACTGACAAAGGAAAAGTCTAAACTAATAAACGACACGGTGCAATATCTAGGGGCGGAATGTGCGGAATGTCTAAAGGCTACATAGGGAAAATGACGTAATTCCAGATAACGGATAACCCAGTCATTATTATAAAGCCAATAGTTAGTATTTGAATATATATTTAAAACACCTTGTGTGATCAAAGATGTCTGATAGCTACGACACACTGAATTGGCACACGTCATTCGATTGTTGTCTCATGGTTTTAAAAAACAATTGATTGTGTATTAATTGGCAATAATTAAGAATGAGTTTGATAATACTTCCTTCTGTATTCTACGTTAACAATGCTTTAAACAATATATTTCACTTTATAATGTTTATTCTGTAGGCGTGTCTAACTTTTTTCTGATGTGTCCTGATGTGACACCTATATTTCGGCCACTGGAACTGAGTTTGCATGAAGTTAAGAACCGTGCCAAGATATAATCACATATCATATTAAAATATAAATTTATATAAATTACCGCTATGATCATTTTAAAACCATTTCTAGTACAAATTGTACATATGTATTATACCTGACCTAACTTACACGTGTACACAGATATTATACCTGACCTTTACTAACGGCTCATCGCAGTGGTAAAGAACATATTGAATTAAGATTGACTTGACATTGGTAATAGTAGATATTATAAAGGCTGTACAGTTATATAATGAATTCCTGAATGATCGTCTTATTTGTACGAGTAGGCGGTTATGTCACGTGCGTACATGTACATTTGTGTACATATACAATGTACCTGTGTTTAATTTACATTTTATTATTCTGTACACCTGTACATTATGATATACAGGCGTATATTACCTGTGGAATGGTAATGATACAATGTATATATACCTGTACATCCTTCCATTGTGTACTTATATATGTCAGGTTTTAAACCTGTATGACAAGAAATAAACAGCACTGACCGGAAACTTACAAAGGAATGTATATCTCTAGTCCTGAGAATTGTCGACAATGATCGCCGACACATTGTTAGACATAACGCTACACCCCTGATCCTATTATATATAAGTCAATTATCCCTGGTCTGGTATGTGTACACGATCAAACGCTAATAGACCAAAAAATTAGACCCTAAAATCATAACACTTTATTACTATCTAAAGAAAATTTAACAAAAGTAATTCAGCGGATAAATTTACAAAAAATTAAGATAATAAAATTATTTTTAAAACTAAATCATTCGGCAGGGATGTGAGTAAATACCAAACCAATAGTTACAATAAAACTTCCGAAGCTCTAAGTATAGGGTATTTATTTTACACCCAAAATGACATATGTTCCAAAATATTTAAGATCTTCTACAAATCTGTTTGTAACAGCAAAGAGAGGCGGGGGTGGGTGGGAGCATTTATAGGCTTTGCCTGTTGCCAAATTCCTTTTGTCAGTAAAATCATGACAATAAACCATATAAAAATGTACAAATAACGACTTTTCTGTGTAACATATATTGCGTACGATATATGCACACATCACAGCTCTACACCATCTGGAAAGGCTGTGCGATTTTTCTTATCTATTGTGCATATATCCCAGTAAACCTTTACAGGAAACGAAGGTTTTCAATGTTATATCCCAAAGTTCTCAGCACAATAACACTGTTTAGGAACCTGATCTATAATTTCTGACCATTAGGGAAGTTTGGATAAATCTGAACATGCGTAAACCTTGAAGGGATATGATGACCTTAAAGGCACTGGTTAGTCAGCTGGCGATTCGTTATCGTGTCAACAGAGGGGATTTGAGACCGTATACTGCGTCACATAACTATGGACATAGCCCCAGGTGTTACGCAAGGCCTTGTGCATATATAGCATAACTTGACCACAACCAGACAAACTTTCTGCTAAATTACATGCATGTGATGTAATATTATACATAGTTGAAATAAATAAACTTCAGAAGCCGTGTGCTGCAATCGTGTAACGGCATGTTATTCAAAACACAAGTAAGTCTCTAAGTGTAAAATACATGATGTCACAATTACAACATAAATCGCGACTTTGTGGTTTAACGTGTAAAAGATGACATTGTGACGCGACTTTGTGGTTTGACGTGTAAAAGATGACATTGTGACGCGACTTCGTGGTTTAACGTGTAAAACATGACATTGTGACGCGACTGTGTGGTTTAACGTGTAAAACATGACATTGTGACGCGACTTTGTGGTTTAACGTGTAAAACATGACATTGTGACGCGACTTTGTGGTTTAACGTGTAAAACATGACATTGTGACACGACTTCGTGGTTTAACGTGTAAAACATGACATTGTGACGCGACTTTGTGGTTTAACGTGTAAAACATGACATTGTGACGCGACTTTGTGGTTTAACGTGTAAAACATGACATTGTGACGCGACTTCGTGGTTTAACGTGTAAAACATGACATTGTGACGCGCTGTGTGGTTTAACGTGTAAAACATGACATTGTGACGCGACTTCGTGGTTTAACGTGTAAAACATGACATTGTGACGCGACTTCGTGGTTTAACGTGTAAAACATGACATTGTGACGCGACTTCGTGGTTTAACGTGTAAAACATGACATTGTGACGCGACTTTGTGGTTGCGTATGAATGATATTCTGTTGCAACTTCACTGTAATTGTAAAAGGCATGGTGACGCGACTTCACTGTAAATGCCAATGGCATTGTGACGCGACTTCATTGTATTTTTAAATGGCATTGTGACGCGACTTCACTGTAAATGTAAATGGCATTGTGACGCGACTTCACTGTAAATGTAAATGGCATTGGGACGCGACTTCACTGTAAATGTAAATGGCATTGTGACGCGACTTCACTGTAATTGTAAATGGCATTGTGACGCGACTTCACGGTAATGGTAAATGGCATTGTGACGCGACTTCACCGTAATAGTAAATGGCATTGTGACGCAACTTCCCTGTAAATGTTTATGGCATTGTGACGCGACTTCACGGTAATGGTAAATGGCATTGTGACGCGACTTCATTGTAATTGTAAATGGCATTGTGACGCGACTTCACGGTAATGGTAAATGGCATTGTGACGCGACTTCACTGTAATTGTAAATGGCATTGTGACGCGACTTCACTGTAATTATGAATGAGGTTATGACGCGACTTCACTGTAATTGTAAATGGCATTCGAGGTAATTGTAAATGATATAGCGACACGACTTCGCGGTTAAGTATAAAATACATTATGACACTCGCGTTTACTACATAATTTATGATCACGTGACCTGAAGTCTCGATTTCACACACACTTAACTGCTATTAACATGAAATATCAATTTTAAATATATTTACCGTTTCAATAGTCACGTTCATCGCATGTGAATATTTAACTGTCAGCTTTCATATATGGTTAGTATCATGTCAATTGTGTTGTAATACTGAGGGTTCTCCTGTCTGAAATTGTGACATAACAGGTTACATAATGTCACCATTGTTTAAAATGCATGTCTGTTAATGGAATGAAAACAGACAAATCCAGTCATTTTTGATCAATTTTGTTTTGGTCCCGATTACCTGTAGCTTATGGTAACCGTCAAAAATGTTGTCTTATATTATATGAATTGTACTGGGGAGAGTATATGATACGTAAATACCATACCATTCCTGAATCGCCTAATGACCCTCATCGTTACCCACTACAATATCTCTGGTTTTCCTGGTGAACCCCTCAACGTTACCTACTACATAATCCCAGTTTCTCCTTGTGATCCCCCTCAACATCCCGTACAAAAATATCTCAGTTCCCACACTTATAAAAATACCCCCTCCTTCCGCCCATCAGATTTATGTCTTACTTTACATACATATCTTGCCCCTTTTCAAGATCCCAGCATATAATCCCTCATTGTTGTCGGTGTTCTATCGCGCAACAGTACAACGTAAACTTTTAACAATATTTCCGTGTCGACAGGTGATGCTAAATGTTCAGATTTTAAGTACCCGTGTAACTGGCACTAGTCCTATCGTACAGGCCTGCTATTAATATTATGTGCGATGTTCGCTTTCAGCAGTAACTTTTAATATAGTTTAATTTTAACTGAAAAAGTGGTTGGTAAAGCACATTCTCGTGTTATATTGTGTTTAACAGGATTACAACTGGTGTAGCGCAATGTACCAAACGGCAAACATATGCAGAAGAGAGCGTATCTTCAACTTTGGAACACGTTCATTTTTCGCCATTATACAATAGAAGGCACAAATTATAATAAGAGTTACATGATTTTATTACGTATGTATACCTGTATACATCACCTACATCTACCTGTAAATATTACCTATATGTACCTGTATATATTGCCTACATGTACCTGTAAATATTACCTACATGTACCTGTATATAACACCTACACGTACCTGTATATAACACCTACACGTACCTGTATATAATACCTACACGTACCTGTATATAATACCTACATGTACCTGTATATTTTACCTACATATACCTGTAAATATTACCTACATATACCTGTAAATATTACCTACGTGTAACTGTATATATTACCTACATGTACCTGTAAATATTACCTACTTGTACCTGAATTTAATACCTACACGTACCTGTATATATTACATAACTAAGTGTATTTTTCGTTTGCCTTTAATGTATTACCTATGTGTACCTGTATCTATTTGTATACCTGTATATATATATTACCTATGTGTACCTGTATCTATTTGTATACCTGTATATATATATTACCTATGTGTACCAGTATCTAGTTTTGTACCCAGTAATTCGTGCAATTTTTTATGCGAGTCCAAAATACCAATTCTGATGAGTTAAGAGGTATGGCGAGTTAAAATTTAAGCGAATGCCACAGGAAAACCATGAGTCCAGAACTCAAATTTTTGAATCTCAAAAATTAAAAGAGATTTGTTCTGTTTGTAACTCTACATACGCATGACCAGTGACCGTCAACAATTACCATCAGTTGACAACACAAACGAGTCTTGTTATTTACCTGGTTCAGAATTTCCGGTTCTCTCGTACACCTCCACCAGGATCGATGTTGTCCCGTTATCAGCATCTAAAACCGAGCCTGGCTTGGGCTCAACTTGACCATTTTGGTCCACCGTCACTACATCCGGTACCGCCTGTTTTAAGTCGAAAAAAGTTCCGGTACCTTGTCTGGTGAATTGGTAGAGCACTCCCGTTGAACCTTCGTCGATGGTTTTGGTGACAGCAGCTGTTTTCACCTGTCGTCTGTATCTGTGGTGGAAGATGGTCTGTTTCTTGTCCTGGCGAAAGTTGACAGTTAAATCATGGCCTTGTCTCCGGAGGTCATGTTTCTGGTCAGTATTAATGTATACTGACGGTTCTCGCGCGCCGGAAACGTCAGATTTGACAGTTGTCGTGGTGTTTTGTCCATTACGTATATCTATACGGAGGTTAGTAAACAACACTTGGTGGTCTGAACTGACCACCTTACACAGAAGATAGTAAACCCGACAAGATGGGACATCGGCTAGGTGTAACTGGAGGTTTCCGTTCGTGTCTTTTTGAAATTCAAATAAGCCCACTGATTTCTCACTTCCGATGAGTGTATAGAGAGAGTATAGGGCATGGGAAGCTTTGAATAGGGCGTTCATGTCCTCTCCCAGCACCTGGGAGGATCCCGTTACGTCTGCATGACCTCGGATTTCATTTGGGAATCTTATAAAATGCGACGGGGGTTTAACCGTTACGGTCAGTCTTGAGATTTCTGGTATGTCCGTACATTGTGGACAGTCGGTAATAGCCAACCTTGTCACATGAACGGTCAACTGTCTATTTTCATAACCTTTCACACTTTCTTTTAAAACCAAATCACCGGATCCCGATACAGTAAACAGTTGGATTTCATTTTCAGGGACGTTTAGAAAGAAGTCCCTTCCATTACAGCCTAACTTTGTCACTTTAAAACCTTTCGGTGCATTGCTGGGTATCTCCATCTCTACTAAAACGGCTGATACTCCAGTGGACCGACCAAGAGAGACGGAGATACAGACATTAATGATTAGACACAAAGTTACCTGTATGGCGGTCGCCATCTTGGAATTCTTTAAAGGTGAACCAATCAAATTTAAAAATTTGTATACAAACTCACACCTTGTATCTCCAGATAAGTAATCCGCACCACGAAAACTTCAATAAAAATGTATCACAGAATCTACATTGTGGTGTTTAGATCCATCGAAACTGAATATAAACGTCTGGACGCGGTTTCTGTGCCATGGTTTGCCCACGCCTATAGTCGATATATCGCTGTGTTGTTGACTTCGGGGCTTATGGCGGAAACGTGTGCCGTATTGATGTATTCCAGGTATGCACTACAGCGCGTCACCGCTCAGGTGTTAGAAATCGGTCCCTCTGCTCAAATATTCGAATGACTAATCATTCGATCACATCGGTATAATTTCACCTTCTCCTTATACTTAATCCGGGTATTAAGATTGTTAACGTTTAAACTTCCGATCCGGCGCACACTAGCGGTATGACAGTCTCTTTTACATGTGTATGTGTATACCATAAAGGTGTGTGAGGGTAGCGGACGTTATCTATTTATAGAAATGCCATAAATACTAAAGGGCCTTAGGACGCATGTCTAACGAATCGATCCGGGTGAACATTCTCCAAAAGTTCTGATGACTAATACAGGTGAATCAAGAGAAGGAGCGTACCTGTAGTTTTACCTGTGTAGATTTTACCTGAGGGGCATATTACCTGTATGTGTGTGTAAACAATGTATACTGTAGATAGAGTTGTTATTGTTTATAAATTCCTGAAGAAGTATGCGCTTTGTGACTATTTGAGATAAGAGTAGTAAGCTAATGCAGTGTTTAAAAAATGAAAAAAGTTGTTTTGAAAAATCTTACTACAGGGACATAATAATTTGAGGAAGTCTATATGTGATATGTGAAGAGTCAGTCTATATATGATATGTGAAGAGTCAGTCTATATGTGATATGTGAAGAGACAGTCTATATGTGATATGTGAAGAGACAGTCTATATGTGATATGTGAAGAGTCAGTCTATATGTGAATATGGAACAATCTTCTCTGCTTTAATTAGACGTTTATGAATGTTTTAGGGTGTTCTATTCATAATCGGTAACATACACCCCTCAATCACGTAAAATGTAGGTATATCATATCTACCGGAATATGCAAAAATTCACCTAAAATGTACATATATACATGTTTGTATTGATTGTAACAACTACCATGTCCCTGTGTGACGAACTCGTGGGTGTTAAACGGTCCACTGGTACACACCGATCGCGAGCTTGTATCCCAATTATAGTATACTGAGTAATAACACGACGATGACAACAGCAATCAATCTACATAGTTATGTCATTATCACGTGATCATTAAAATGTAACAAAATAAGAGCGGCAACGTGTTGAGATCACGTGGTACCTTTCTGAAACAAAGAAACAACACAAATTGAAATAAAATACGTTGTAAATGGTTTTCTTACCAGCCAGGATCACTGACGGGTAACATAAATATACAGTAGTTATAAGGTAACTATACAGTAACTGTATATATATGTATTATAAAGCCCTCTACTTATTTCTCCTTTTAACTTTTAATAGAAGTCGATCAGGACAACCATTAAATTGCCTACTTTTTCCATTCTCCGTTGTCAACGTTATACCTGGTTAATACAGAAGGCGGTCTAGTTGTGTCATAGGGACATTTCCTATATATCGTCACTGTCAGTAAAAATGAAAGTTGTGTCATAGGGACATTTCCTATATATCGTCACTGTCAGTAGAAATGAAAGTTGTATCATAGGGACACTTCCTATATACCGTCACTGTCAGTAGAAATGAAAGTTGTATCATAGGGACATTTCCTATATACCGTCACTGTCAATAGAAACGAAAGTTGTATGTCATAGGGACATTTCCTATATACCGTCACTGTCAGTAGAAATGAAAGTTGTGTCATAGGGACATTTCCTATATACCGTCACTGTCAGTAGAAATGAAAGTTGTGTCATAGGGGCATTTCCTATATACCGTCACTGTCAATAGAAACGAAAGTTGTGTCATAGGGACATTTCCTATATACCGTCACTGTCAGTAGAAATGAAAGTTGTGTCATAGGGACATTTCCTATATACCGTCACTGTTAGTAGAAATGAAAGTTGTGTCATAGGGACATTTCCTATATACCGTCACTGTCAGTAGAAATGAAAGTTGTGTCATAGGGACATTTCCTATATACCGTCACTGTCAGTAGAAATGAAAGTTGTGTCATAGGGACATTTCCTATATACCGTCACTGTCAGTAGAAATGAAAGTTGTGTCATATGGACATTTCCTATATACCGTCACTGTCAGTAGAAATGATAGTTGTGTCATAGGGACATTTCCTATATACCGTCACTGTCAGTAGAAATGAAAGTTGTGTCATAGGGACATTTCCTATATACCGTCACTGTCAGTAGAAATGAAAGTTGTGTCATAGGGACATTTCCTATATACCGTCACTGTCAGTAGAAATGAAAGTTGTGTCATAGGGACATTTCCTATATACCGTCACTGTCAGTAGAAATGAAAGTTGTGTCATAGGGACATTTCCTATATACCGTCACTGTCAGTAGAAATGAAAGTTGTGTCATAGGGACATTTCCTATATACCGTCACTGTCAGTAGAAATGAAAGTTGTGTCATAGGGACATTTCCTATATACCGTCACTGTCAGTAGAAATGAAAGTTGTGTCATAGGGACATTTCCTATATACCGTCACTGTCAGTAGAAATGAAAGTTGTGTCATAGGGACATTTCCTATATATCGTCACTGTCAGTAGAAATGAAAGTTGTGTCATAGGGACATTTCCTATATACCGTCACTGTCAGTAGAAATGATATACAAAATGTAAATAACGAACTTTTCCCCAAAATAATTATAACTATTTAACTGATAACGTATTCCGGTGTTATCAGACCTATAACGTAACCCGGTGTTATCAGACTAATAACATAATCCAGTGTTATCAGACTTATAACGTAACCCGGTGTTATCATACTTATAACTTAACCCAGTGTTATCAGACTAATAACATAATCCGGTGTTGTCAGGATAATAACGTAATCCGGTGTTATCAGACTTATAACATAATCCAGTGTTATCAGACTAATAACATAATCCAGTGTTATCAGACCTATAACTCCAACACTGTGGGAGGGACCTGTATTATAGTGTACTATAACTAGTAAAGGAGACCAACGAACTAGCAGCCCTCGCCCTTCGAAACATTGTTATAGGACCCAGTGCTGTTGTTATATGTGGAGATTTCAGTGAGATCCTCAAAACCCACGGACATTAAACATTATATTAGGCGTAGCTATCATTAACTTGTTAATAAAACTCTAATTTATTACGGAAGTAACTGTAGGTATTTCACGGTAAATCTCTTCTAGTCCTGGCGTGAATCACGAAGAAAACTTTTAGACACGTGATATAAAACCAATGTAGACATCAACCGGAAATGATAAAGGTCTTTGTGTGATGCTGACCTAACAGAACGGAGGCACAGACTTACATATGTCGTCTGCTGACTCACCTGTAAACCACCTGTGATTGATTACAGTAGAGGTGTATGTCTGTGTGAGATTAGAACCCCCTTACTTACAATGTTATCCTGTATCGTGGTTGTCCGCTGAGCATTGCTTGGTTTTTAGTTAAAATTTTGATAATATAATTCTTGTCACCACTGTGCTAAGATCGGCTGTAAGTTATCCTATTTCATTAATATTTCCAGATATGAAATGAAATTGCATCCCATAGGTTAACAAGTAATATTTCCCGTTTTATTACAATCAACCCACCGTGATATGGAATCTTTTTCCCTGTTCAACTCTATTTCAAACCAACAATTGAGGCTTAACTCCCGTTGATGACCCATGGTCAACTTCGTCCCGAACACTAGTCTAGTTATAGATAAACGCAAAACCGGACGAGTTGTTTCCCTTGCAACACAGTTATTATATGCGAGGTACAACAGTCACCACGTTGTCTGAACTCAAAAAGCTTGTCGTAATTCCTAAACATAGTATGTATTATTATACTTTCAGATGTAGTTCAATATATCAAACGTGTTAAAGTCTTCAAATTGCACTGTACTATACTTCTTTCCTTAATGACTAAAAGATACAGGGCGCTGATACTGTGGCCTGGTGGGATTAAGGTCTATCACATTTTTCAGTCAACTGACCATGACTCTCTTTCAAATGTGTTAAAATCTTCAAATAAATGTAACTTATTCTCAGTAAGCAAACGGCACAAAGTATTGATACCGTGGGCCTGTCGCATACCAAGATGTAGGGCTACCAAGATTATTCAAATTAACAATTTTGAACCTCTTTCAAGGTCACAGGGGTTTAATATAATTAAATCTTTAACAACCTAAAAACCGAAACGCGTAGTGTACTGATATTAGTCTTGTTGCATGCTTGGATGAAGAGTTACTACGTTGTTCAAAGAAATGAACTTAACCCAACCTCAAGATCACAGGGGTCAAGTGTGATTAATTTTTAGACAAATTCTCAATAACCGAGTGGTCTATTGTTATGACGTCACACCAGTTCCATGATAGAAGGCAGGACTGTCAAATATATACAGATGGGATCTTTATCACTTATAAGGTCACAGAGGTAAAATGTGTTAAAATCTTCGAGCGAGCTGTTAACCCATTAGCTAAGTATTGAGTGTTGATCATTCTTGGGAAATGTTCTTTGCATTTCGTTCCTTTCAAATTTACCTGACAATTTTACAAAATCTTCCCTGTAAGCTAGAGACCAGGTGAGAGATTCCGGCTTGTTGGGCATGTTGTTTGGTAATACCAGAAAAGTCACTAAAAGACTGACAAGACTGACATGACTAAAGATTTTAGAGTGATTTGTTACACGGACGAATTTAGTAAAGCAATGTGGCAAAAACAAAAGTAATGTCGGTAATTTCGTTTACAAAATTTCTACACCGGTTCGCACAGTAAAGCACCACCAGCGTTATCTGCTAAAAATGATTACATACATCAGAGGCTTGTCGCTTCACATCTCGGAATGGTATCAAGTCAAGTCGCCCCCAAGACAAGTCGCCCCCCTATTATCTCAATACAGGTCGCCCCCTACATATTAGGGGCGACTTGACTTACATTCCTCGGAATGCATTTTTCAGAATTTCTTTATTTCATTAAACGGACTTATAAGATAAGCTCTGTACCCTTTATTATGTCATATTTGTTATTTGTGTGAATGCCCAACATTGATAGATGTTCGCAGAAACTGTTTCGCCAACTTCCATATTATATATGAAAAGGATAGCGGGGCGTTCCACCTTGAGGTACTTCCCTCCTCGCCATTATATCCCCATCTCCACTAGCCAAAGGTGTTCAGAACAATACTCTCCTATTTCAGGAGAGGTACTGGACCGTAAACGAAACGGTCCTACCCTTGAATCTTTATATACAGTAATTAGCTTCGAAACATCGAGTCGTTTAGAAAAAATACCTGCTGTTGAAACATTTTTTTACTGTTCGATGAAGTTTTGTGTTCTTGGCACGACTTGACTTGCGTAATGAACCCGGAAAGTTCATCATTGAGAACAAACATTGTCAGTTGTACTGCCACACTCTGAGTAATCTGAAGACTATCTAACTGTAGACGGAAGATTTTCTGAATTTTATCCTTGATAGTATTCTTTTTCTTAATATCGCTGGTGCATTAATCGCTGGTGCATAATGACCCTATCACGAGATTTCCAAGAATCTTAACACTGAGTGTCTCTACACTTGCACAATTTCCTTACCGATAGGCCCAATTTACCTGCTATTGAAATGGTTGTTATCTAATCACAAGGACCTCGAACACACGGAAGAATGTAGAGAAGCTCATAAGGAAATCGTTAGTATTGGTTTCTGTAACCACGTGCCCTGCACGTAGTTAGTTTTTACGAGATTTCGGCGCTACAAAATAGGTATGTTGGAATTAAGTTTGTTATAATTATCTATCTATTACGCATGTTTCTTCTTTAATTTTACAGTGTATGTCAAAATAATGATAATAAAAGAATTGGTATGATAAGAACATTCTATTGATGAACTCAATAACATGTAGCATCCTCCCGGATGGAAACAATTATAAACTTGAAAATTGACTAAGAGCTCGTTAAAGACTTATATATACTAATATTTATCAAATGAAAATGTTTCAATCACTAAAACAAGTGATTGTCACTCTTAGACTAATTAATAGGTAATGGATTGGGGAAAACATACAATATTATTGTTATTTGTTCTTTAGATGCCGTAACAAAAGCAACTACAATAATAGTCCAACATGGTGTGGTCAGACGTACTGCAAGCTGTCTTTGTACTGCCATTCACCGCAGGAAATTCAAGGAATGTCCGGAATCGAACAGTTCATTTAGACGGAACCACGTCTATTGTTGTTATCAGAATACTATTTTTGTCCTTAATTTTTCTGCTGGTGAAAACTACAACAGAGCAAGAAGGCACTTTGATTGAATTTACCGGGATACAAATTATTTTATCCATCGTTGTCCTCCTTGGTTTGCTGTCGTGTATGACCGCTGTCATTGTCATCAAGGTCAAGGGATTCAACTCCATCATGGTGCGACGACAGAAGGTCACCACCTCTCGTCTTCAAATGATTGTGATGTGGATATTTGGAATTCTGTCTGTTATGTTTTGTTTTCTGAAGAGTGGCCATATAATTGAATGCATTTACACCGTAAAACACAATTTCATCGGCGACATCCCAATCATGGAATGTGTTTACTACGTCATCATTTTCGTGTTCCTGCCTGTCCAGATGCTATCTGTTACCTACTTTACGCCGTATCGTTTTAAAAGCTTCCTACGGATTCAGTATATGGTACTATTGGTCGTGGCTTCCAATATGACAATGTGGGTTTACGGTCTTGTAGAACATAATCAGTATTTCTCGAAGGTTACCCATGGAAACGACACTTGGCACAACAACTGTACAAACTTGACAATTACACGTATGCTTTATGTAACAGATAAAATTCTCCTCCCGATATTTCTGGAATATTCCTTGCTAGCAATAACTTTGACACAAAATTTATCAGTGGAATGGGAAACAAACAATAGCAGTGATGAAAATCAATTGTTGGAAATTCAAAGTTCGACAGAAACCACTGCAAGAACCTTTGATGAAAATGAAGTTGAATCTTCCTTCAACACAGCCGTCGGCCCCAATGCCGAAACTCCATTATTGTCTCCCGAATTGACCACAGGATCAAGTCAGAGAAAACGAAAACAATCTTTCCTGTTTTACATCATTCTATTATTGGCTTGTTTGCTAGCAATTAGTATTTTTATCGGATATATTGTCCGAATTACCGGCCACATCCAAACGTCACAAGACTGGCTCATCGGTTTAGAGTTGGTCCTTGCTGTGATCATGAGTTTATGTACATTTGTTGCATATTATCTTGCGACCAGAGACACAGATCCTCCCTTCAAGTCTGCTCCCATTTCTACGGGAGAATACGTCTTTATCATTTCATCGGTTGGATCCCTAATGGGAAGTGTGCTTCGTATCATACCTGCCCTAAAAATAAATCATAACAATTACATGTATCTAATTATACCTTCACGTGTGATTTTTTGTGCCACATCCTACCTACAGACTGTCCTGATCCTTCATGTAAGTCGCTGCAGACCTAAGCGTCACGGCTACACTGCGTCCCTGAGAGGTGTATTGCTGTTGTTGTCTCTGTATAACTGTGGATGTTGGGTCGTTGAGAGTTTTATCATAGGCAGTTTTCCTGAACTAGACCATGAGGAAAAACAACTACTAGGTTCAAGCTTGTTGGAATTAAGTACCCAAGTTTGTCATCCCTTGAATGTATTCTTCAGATTCGCCTCAGCACTGGAACTGTACGAGTTGTTTAAGAAATTCGGAAAATAAAGACATATACACACATGGGGCACATTTTTATTTCATTTTTCGTAAATTATGATTTTTTGTACAAAAAAAAGACAACACTTGCTATAATATTTAATTATACTGAATACATATGAAATCCATGTACTGAGACAATACCTGTTTTATAATATCTGTTTAATCGGATATATTCATGAATATATATCACACTTACATTACAGTTAAGATGATTCTGTAGTCTGTGGGATTGTAACTTTTGCAAAGAACGTCAGATCGATAAGTAGACTAATATAGACAAATGATGAAGGAAAGATTGTGATAACTGAATATTTAAATGATCACAATTTCAAATAAATCATCACATTTTAATGACTTCCACTTATATTTATAGAATTCATCGTGCAAATTAGTTTCACCGTGTTTTAGGCAGCACAGAAAGGCAAACACTAGCTCATGTTTAATTGGAATACCTTGAGGTACAAGTATTAGTTGACAAATCTTGAAAACCCAGAAGTTCTTAACATTGTCTTTTCGATAAATATGATTTTTAGATTTATTGAACAAAAGATTTTTGACAACAGAACTAATGATGAAATAATTCTACTTATCACTTAGTAAATGCTCTGCTTTTAGGTCATGTGAATAATTGATACCATACAGTTCAAAGATGCAAAGACGAAAACAAAAAAGAAAGGAAAGAAAAAGAAATATCACGTTCCAACTCTGCTTAATTATGCCGAATATCAGTCGAAGTATTCAATGAATTATATACTTGCACATTTCAATACATGCAACAAAACTGTAGTCAGTGAGAACGTTCAGTCTATAACATGTCAAAATTTGTTGGTTAATGCACCGAATCTCTACAGTATATTTCTCTTTAAAAAGGGTTTGTTGTTATGGAGACCCCTGGGGTCACCTTAACTTCCTTCTTATTTGTAAATGATTGAATTATATTGAGTAGAATTGATAAAAAAAATAATGAATACATTAGTCTACAACAGTATAAATTTGATTATTTCCTCTTCTCACCGTCTTTCAACAAAAGGTCACAAGATAAAAAGGACTAAACCAAGTAAAATATAGAATGAAAACAACGACAAAAACAAAACGAAAATATGTTGATAAAAATAAAATGTCTTTTTTTTTGCGATTGAAATCACTTTTTATATACATGTAAGTCATTCAATGATGACGGTTTTAGACAGGAAGTTTGTAGTGTTTCAAGAAGTCTAATAACTGACCAATCTTGAAGAAAAACTCACAATATCAACCTTTGACCAACCAGAAGACCCATATTTCGTTTCCATCTTACATTGTAAATGAACTTTTAAATTACCAGCTTTAATTAATTATGGGGCTAGTGCACCTCCCAAACTGGATTTTGACCTTTCGTTCGATGACTTTGGATTTTCCTCAATCGCCTGCTAGGCTTAGGCTCTAAGTATCGCTGACGAGTCCTATACGGACGAAACAGCTGTATGGTGCAGTTTAATTCATTGTTTGGCTCTACTGTATCTAACTTAAAGTACTGAAAAGTGCTGTTCACTTGTCTGTGTTTTGTACAATATTTGCTTGGGTTTAAATCGATGTAACTTCTCATATGATTTTAACTTCAAAATTTCTTACGGCCTTTTCGCACAGCATTGTAAACTGAATTATCATTTTTAGTAAAAGAAACAAAATAGATCACGTTTTTATCTTTTATTAAAACTTCAATGAGATCTTAAATCAATGTGTAAAACGCCACCAAACGAGACCTCCTTGTAGGCATTAGGAAAATACCAGCATGTCAACATGATCATAATCTAAACTCGAATTCAATAAAACAAGGGTTAAAATATCAACAAACGAAAGAGTTACAAGGAGACTCCTTAAAAGTTAATAAGACCAGGTGTTCCGGAAGACACCCGTCATACAAACCTTGGTCAATCCAAGCAAGTAATGTCACGTTCTCAAATGAAAACAAGGTACATAGGAACGGAACCAACAGGCAAACTAACGAGCATCAAACACGTCCAAAAATCTAAATTCACATAGGGAAATTGAAATCGTCAAGGTTATCATAAAGCTTGCTGGAAAGCTGTCCGTGTTGGAGGTAAAGATCGAGATAAACTAGTGATGCAGAAGAGTCTGTCGTGTCTTTGATTTCTAATTCTTGTGGGTATATACGACGGACTTATACGGTATAATGAATGACATGATAGCGGGAAAGTTATTCAAACTTTACATCAGCAAGTCAATCGAAATCTCCAATATTTGAGTCAATTTCTGCCCAAGAATTAGCCATAATTTGACGGCATCGGTTGATTGTTTTTACTAATCGTTCATGACCATAGTTTATACCTATATTAGCATTGATTTAAAAGCTAATTCCATTTTCCTAATGTTATTGTGAATATAGAAACGTAACAATATATTTACACCAAAGAAGACGAGCTTCTGTGATATACAACAATTATATTTGTTACGCTTTGTATCTCCTTCCAGTATCTGCTTAAGGAACATTTAAGTAAATATACATGTTTTTGAACACCAACCCACAGGTAACTTTATTTGTTCAATATATTTGGGTAGGGAAACAAGACAAAACAAAGTACTGACATGTCAATGGCATCTTAAGATTAAAACCCAAATTCGATAGCATCTCATTTTACACATGACGACCCAGATAAACATTTTTCAACATGAATAGAATACGTTCATTTTATTTCATGATTCACTTGAAAACTGTTTATTTTCCACCAGATAATAAGGAAGGATTTGCCAGTGACAATTCAAACCTATATCAACGTCACAAACTCGGAAGGTGTTCCCACTCTCTCGCTACCGTGTGTATGATAAACGTTGCTTTGATTATCTGAACAGCAGAGACCGTAAGTATTATAATAGTATATAAGAAAATCATTATACAACAATTTTTATCTTTAAGCATTGAATCTTGCTTTTGTCGATTTCATGGTTTGATGCTTGAGTTGCTCTTAAGGCAAGTTTAATTAACTGCAAAGTTTTGGCAACATATTTTAGAAATCACAAAAAAATTATCCGACAACTACGAGGAAGAAGAACGTCTGAACCGACTTCCAAAGTCATTCTTCAATTGTCAAGGGGTGTGTTTGGTGGCATTTCTCAGTAATTTTATTGTATGAAAACTGCTAAATGGACGCTTGTAGTAGCGTTGGGAGATTTTCATTTTCATGCAGCGGAAAGTTAAAAAAATTACTGCAGTTATTTGGAAGATCTCAACCAGATATTAAAACATGGAAAACAAAGCCGTTCTGTTAAAAATTGTTATGTCTTATTTTGATTTATTTGATAATAACTATATATTTATCTTTATCGATATATATTCTGCAAAATCTGATTACTTTGACTGAAATTTAGCATCAAATAGGGTTCTCCACTTACATCTGTAATGGATGTATTCATACGTTAAGATTAATGTTAATATTGTCATTTTCATGGGCAAATGAAATTATTAGTGTCATGGAATCCAACCTGAGTAGAAATTGAAATATCAGCTTTTGAAGATTTGAATTATTATTTTGGAGATGTCTGACTGTGTGATTAGTGATTATATTTTGAGTACAAGACATGGAATTATATTCGATGAAATAATTTAATGTCAAACATGGTACAGTACATCTATTCAGTTGTAAATACATGTTAACTCTTTGATTTCGTTGATCAAAGTGAATGTTTTCTAATATGCAACTCATTTACTGGTTTCTTGTCCGTCATTTCAGTTGTTTTATTTCTTACAACGATTGTATGTCTATTAATTCGTCAAGTACTACATGTTCAAAAGAAGACATTTTAGTATTGGATTGGCAGAAATTGTGGTAGTCTGGGAGCTATTTCTTATGACTGTTAAACGAACCTTTGTTTTTATTACATACAGAACAACAAGAAAATGACGTGGTCAGAGGTTTTACAGTCTGCATTCTTGCTCCCGTTCACTGCCGGGAATACGAAAGGAACGCAAAATGAACCAAGCCATATCGGCGGGGAAACATCATTTTTAGTATTTAGCACGTTCCTTTTCTCTTACATCCTTTTGCTGGCGGAATCGATGATGAGTCCTTCCGAAGTTATGTTTCATTGTCGCTGGTTCCATGTGTTTTTGACAAGTATTGCTTTAATTGGCTTAATCTTGTATACGGTTTTTATAACTGTCCTTAAAACCAGAGGCTTCAATAGTCTTTTGGAGCGTAAACATAGAAGAAATTCACCTAACCTTCAAATCATCTTCCTCTGGATTTTTGGGGTTGCAGCCGTCGTCATTTGTTCACTGAAGACCGGGCGGCTGATTGAGTGTGAACTTTCGGTGTCCGAGTCCAGTATCGGTACAACTATTGCCCTAATTGATTGTCTATATTACATTATCATCACATTATTCCTAATCATACAGATGCTATGGCTGACTTTTTTAAAACATTTCCAGCTGAAAAACTCGCTGCGACTTCAATATTGGACTCTGATGATAATAGCTGCAAATCTGACGATATGCGCCTATGCTTTCCAAGACCAGGACAACGAAACTTTATATACTGGAAATAACACATGGATCGTTTTGAATTGTACTAATCAAACATTTTCACAACTGCTTAATGTTTCTGATAAATTCCTTATCCAAGCTTTTTTAGAATATTCCTTCCTAGCGATAACATTAATCCAGAATATGTCTTCTTACTGGAACACAGTCAACAAAACCAATGTATGGGATAATCTTACTGTGACTGTAGCAAGCGACACTGAAGTGGAAAGCAATGGTACGAGCCCTTGTCTTCTTGAAAGACGGAGATCCTCTGTCTCATCGGGATCACAGGAATGCACAAATGATCATGCGAATAGTACATGTTTACTCGAAATTAATCAACGGACCCCTTTGTTACGAAATTCTCACGCATCTATAAACTCGCATACTACTGTCCAGCCTCACAAAGATGACTTCAGGCCATCGTTCCTATTCTACATTAACATGCTATTCTCTTGGATGATTGGCGTTGCTACTTTGATAACTT